ATCATCTTTGAGAATCATTACAAGTGCTCGAATGGGATAACATTAGTTAATATTATATATATAAACAATAAAGCAGCCCAGTAGCGACATAAATCTGGGAATAAATGCTTCTTAATGAAATGAATGGATTCTGACAAAGATAATATATCATGGAGTCTTTCAAGTTATTCTTACACTTCTTCTCTTGAAGAAGTCCATGACCTTTTTTGCAGCACTGGCTTCTTTCCCTTTTTCGGAAGACGATACGCTGCCTGAATTAATTGATTTTTTTGAATTAGAAGAGCCATTTGATCCTACTCTAGATTGCTCCTTTGAAGGCGGTCTTGATGCAACGTTGATTTCCGTAGAGGGTTCTAACACTTTCTTCACTGGAGCGGTTGTACCAGTGTTATGGTCTGTATTACTGAAAGAGTTCACTGATGTGACAGATGAGTTGTAGTTGCTGTAAAAAGATAAAATGCTAAACCTGTTCTTCTTTTTAGTCTCTTTGTTTTCCTTGTTGGATTCTTTCACATCTCTTGATTCTGGCCTTCTCAGCCTTCCCTTCGACAGTGGTGCCGTGGGAGCTGGCAATTCGGAATTTGGTCCCTTACGCTTAGTTGTTTTGTGTTTTGGCGCTTGTTGAGTTATTTGCAGCTCTTTAGGTGTCTTTTGAGACTCTACTATCAGAACAGGAACAGATTGAATTTGATGTTTCTCGAGGTTGTCGTTTTGGTCATCTATAACATCGGTAGAATCATTTTTCAAAGTAGAAGAATTAGAAATGTCATTAGTCGTTGAATCCAATTGACCTTCCTCTTTGATGATTCCGGGTTCAGTTGGAGAACCGACAGTCTCTGGTAATTGCTGGTTTAATTCACTAGCTCCAGGAGATTCAGCGTCAAAAGTTGGTGGCTGATTAATTTGCGGCGTTGCCGATTTCGATGGACTATGATTATCTGTGAGCTCTAATGTGTCTATCTTATCTTCCAAATAGCTTAAAACTGAATTCCTCTTATTGGTATGACTATTTAAATTACTTGTCTCACTTGTCAAGACACCGTTAACATGAACATGGGTGACCACAGAATCCCTTCTAGAATTCTTTTGGGGACTTGAGTTAGTACTATCGGATTCAATAGAAGATTTAGTCGGAGATGATGATAACAACAGCAGGATTGGCATATTCGAGGCGGGCATTTTGATGAATTCAAGTAAGGTAGATGTACTTTGATTACCCAAAGAGGTTGACATAGATGACGGGTGATAGGACGTGGGTCTGGGCTTTTTGTGCGCATGTGGTAACCTGTTTGAATCTCTACTACCTGGAAGTCTTTCAACTGGTTGTCCTACCGATTTGCTGAAACTTGATGGTGCATTTGTCTTTGGTTGTTCTTCGTTTGATGACCTAACATTATAACGTCCATCTTTGTTACCTGATGTTAATGGCTCTGGATGTTTAATCGAAGACTCTGCAGTTACAGCCTGACTAGTAGAGTCTGATGGTGCTTCCGATGTGGCTCTTGAAGCCGAAGGTTCTTGTTCCTTGATTGTTGAGATTGTTGTTCCACTGTAATTGTTCGTCATCGGTGGGCCGAATATTGGCTGTTCTAAAGAATTCAAAGATGTTGTTGAAAAATCATTTCCAACAACAGCTATCAATGCAGAACTTGCTGACGTGTACGATGATGATCTCGAATGGTAATTAAGTGGTGGTAACTTGGTTGAAGGTTCAGCAGTAGAAGTAGGTACATTTGATTTGGCAATGGCGTTAGCTAAAGATGATGATGTTGAGGGATTCGAATACAATCCAAAAAATGAGCTATTATCATAACCAGATATAGTCCTTTCATCGACCATTGAGAATCTCTTGTAATTCTTTGCAGTATTCGGAATTACAAGTTTTGTCTTGTGAATTTTATCCCATTCTGGTTGCCTTACGGATAATAAGTTGGCATAGGGTGCTAGCCAAGAATGACGCCTGATGTCATTGATGTTAATTCTCCTCTTGGGATCCGGAACTATAATCTTTCTTAAAAGATCTCTTGGTAACGGATTAATGTATTCGGGAAATGTCAAAGGAGTCCTGCAGATATAATGGTATAGTTTAATAATATCGGAGCCATCTTCATTCTCTGGATCATCATCAAATGGCAAATATCCTGAAAGCATTGCATATAGGATTACACCAAGGGACCAAATATCAACCTTTCTACCCTCATAAGGCGACTGTGTTAAAACTAATTCTGGAGCTGCATAACACGGAGATCCACAAGAAGTTTTCATAAAATCATTTTTGTCCTTGTTATATGAATTCACAAAGCCGAAATCAGATATAATTACATTTTTATGTTTATCCAAGAGTAGATTTTCTAGTTTCAAATCTCGATGTATCAACCCTTTTGAATGCATGTAATCGACACCACTAACAAGTTGAGCAAATATTTTCTTAGCGTCATTCTCTTTCAAAACCTTATTTTTCAATATATAATCGAATAATTCACCTCCACTGGCATATTCCAATACAATTCCGATATATTTACCACTTTTCATCACCTCCACTAATGAGACAATGTTCGGATGTTTCAAGAGTTTCAACGAATTTATTTCCCTGTGGATTTTGATTTCTGATTCCGAATCTTTAAGTATCGTGTCTCTTTTGATGAGTTTAATTGCAACCTGACTGGGTTGCTTACCATCTTTTCTCCATCCTAGTTTTACTTTTCCGAATTCACCTTCTCCTAGTGTGGATCCAAGGATATATGAGCCAAATCTCACTTCACGATGAATTCGTTTGGCGACGCCTAAACTCACGTCTTCCATGTTATTTAAAGGAATGACTATCTTGTATTTGTTACAAGATTTTAAGTTTGTAAGTGAAAGTTATACTGCTGAGTAAGGGTCACTTCTTGCTTTGTACACAGTTAAAAAATGTTACTGAGTTACAATTTGAGAAAAATCCTAGATCTTTGATATATGCCTAGCGTTTCGTACCACTATCGCTATTCTTATTTCCTCTAGGAAAATCGCTATAATTGTATTCGTTAGCGATTTGGTGAAAAGCCAAGTTTCTAGCTCTTTCTCCGCAAAAAAAGATTTCCCGCTATCAGTAAGATCGCCCTTAAGCTATATTCAGTTATCTTGCCCCAGATTGTAAGATATGTTACTAAAAGTGCTAGTTGTGCTAGTTGTGCTAGTTTGTTAAACAATTAATTATAACTCATATATGTTGTTGTGCTGTAAAAAAAACATCTTGAGATCCGAAACTCTATTTACATTTTGTGTTGTGCACGCGTCTTATTATGACCAAAACGGGTAGAAAAATAAACACCGAAACGTCTAACTATTCTAAGAACAAGACCTGAATAAAATCAATAATAGGATACAATGCTGCTTTGCATGATAAAGCGAGTCAGCTAATTTTCGAATGAGGAGAATGAGTGTGGCTACGTATGGTCTAGCAGTTTCGAAGGTCCTATATACTGAAATGTGCGATGTCGCACGAGTGAATGGGTGCAAAATGCTCTTCACTCTAGACGAGAACTGGATGATTGGTAGTATGAATTAGCAGCAACAGAATCTTGACGTTTCATTTCGCTGTAATGCTTGCGTATATAGCAACTGTAACTACGCTGTCGCAGATTACTACCGTCGTGTTTTTTTGACGCTAGGTGGCATGTTTCTGACAATAGTAACAAGGAGACGACGGCGATACCGGATAAAGGAGGCGGCGACTCCATCACGTATCGTCAAATTTACAATGCAGTAACTTTAGTATAACTTGGCGCGACATCAATGGGACTATAACAACAATAAAAAGAAACCTTGGACCAAGGGAGCCTTCTAAGACAACCCATATAGAAGACAAAGCAAATGGCATGTCATTTATTTTCCCTTTTTAGTCCCATAAACATTCGAACATAGGTACAACAACCTATTCAAAAGTTCGGAGAAGGTTAAACTTCTTTGGGAAGACATAGATATCCTACACTAGTCCGAGAATGCATTTCCAGTTTGCCGAATGTAGTTGTATTGCATCGCTCTGATAAGGCTCAGATAAGTATCAAGACTTGCATGAATTCCAAGGCTCACAGAATTGACATGGCTGATCATCCGTGATATATTATTTTCCTTAATAGGAAAAGGGTCTAAAAAGTCATACTGATCTTCTTATTTCTTTGTTTTAGTAAAAGCACTTGCCTATTTAAAAGGTTCAATGAAGACGTTTTTGGTTGTAGGACTATAGACTTCAAGATCTAAAGCTACAGGTCTCGATTCAAGTAGCTTGAGAAGTACTTGAAAGAACTGCTACGATTTATGTGTTCTATACAACGATGTCAAATATAGGAACAGATATCATTTGGCTCAAAATTTTGAATAAGACATGCAATGAAATCCATTCTGTCCCATACATGCCTCGCAATTCTATCAACGCTGTTCTCATCGTTAGAGGGACAATATAGAATAAAAAGTTTTATTTCGACTGTTTTCTGATCATTCGTGTAATAGGACCCTTGTATTTACAATTCCTTGTATTTACAATAACAGGCATTAGTCTGTGAGTTTCCACCCTTAGAGATGTAAAAAATTTTTAAAGCTTTTTGCAAAACTAAAGGTCTTAAAAATTATACTCATTCTAAGTAAATATCACCGTAGTCAGTCCATTGGAGCTTTCTAGCTACATTGAGGGTCTCTTACCATGTCACGCTTGCTCAAGATATTTTAGTTCTTTTCATGATAAATAAAGATAAATTAGTAGGACCCCAGCAAGACTTGAATAGGAGAAAAAGAATACCATCCTTTCTGACATCCAAATAAATTGACTGTTTTACTCTTTGAGAAGGTTTTCGAGCAGCTAAAAGTTGATGTTGGTGTTACCACAAGAATGCCTTTGATCTTGAACTGTCTTGAGTAAAGTTTTCTAATATTTACTTTCCTTATTGTGTCGAGGTCATATTAGTTTTATATTTCTATTGTACCTTGGACCTTGGACTTCCTACAGAAAGTATAGATCAATGACAAGTAAAAGGGTGATCTTGAGTACCGCTGTTTAGTTGACAATATAAATAGAAGATATAGGATTTAAAGTCTAAATAACATATGGTAACATAAGCTAGGAGGAACGTCTTGCTTTAAGAATTTGCTCAACGGAATCAACAACGCATTGCTCCAAGGTAATATATTTGAACCCCAATATCTCCTCTGTCTTTTTGAAATTCCATCCGCAAAACTGTTTGATAAACTTTTGGCCAGTTCCCGGTTTTCCTACAGGCACTTGCTTACTTAGTTCAGGGAACTTGTCATGGATAATATCAATAAGCATTTGGCTGCAATAACGACCAGCAAAAACCACAAGTCTCTGATTGTACAGCTGCTTATTCTCAAAAGCAGTCAAGTGAGCTTTGGCAACATCTCTTACATCAATATAACCGGATTGACTTTCAGGAATTGAATCTGTTTGTTTTAACTTGAGAAGATTATTGATCACTTCAGCTGAGGTGTTCAATGAGTCTTTAATGTCATCATCAAACGCTTGCGGTCCAAAAACAAAGGTTGGATTGATAGTTGCCAAGGTGAAATTTGGTTTGTTTTCCTTAACAAAATCCCAAGCTTCTCTTTCAGCAAACGTCTTCGAAGCCAAATAACCTAGTCCTGGATTACTGAGGCCCTCTTCTCTAGTGATAGGATTCCAAGATTCTTCAGTTAAAACAAAATCACGATCTTTGTCATGAGCCGCATTCTTTACAGCAGCAAATGAAGAAGTTATGACCACATGTTTAATTTGGGGGCCATGATTTTTTATCGAAGACAAAGCATTTTTCGTTCCCTCTACTGCAGGCTCTAACAACTCCTTCTCAACATCAACAGCATTGAGGAAAAATGGTGAGGCTGTATGAAGAAAAACTGTCACTTCTGGGTGTTTTTTCAATGATTCATCAAAAGATCCTGTCTTACTGATATCCTTAACTACTTCAAAAGTGAAAAGAGGACCAAAACGCTTAGCCAACAATTCACCCTTCTCCTCTGTTCTGACCGAACCAACAACCTTGTATTGTTTTTCAATCAATTGTTTTACAACGTGTTGGGCTATGAAACCACTGGCACCTGAAACATACACTGAAACCATGAATGCTATTCAATAGATATGCGTATAAGAAACTGAATAATTTCTGTCTTCCCTATCGTACACGTTCAGTTTGAGGAGTCGCACTGGTTAATTTCTATCAATTTTATATTGCCGAGTATTATACGCTGAGTAATGCGCTGAATAATGCACTGAGAAACACTGCTTTTTATCTAATCCACTTAACTATGTACGGACGAGTATGACCATATTTTGAATGTTAATAGCCAACATTCCTGTGATTCTTCTCACCTTCTTATTCGGAGTCTCCGCCTGAAATTAGTATATACAAAAGGCATCAACCCAAGATGAGACAGCGAGTTATGCACTTTACTTAAATTAGGTTTCTTTGGCTCTATCTATCTACCATTATTTGGCACGAACTTTTTCAGTAGCGAAGTTGCTATGAACATTGAGTAATTTGTGTGACTAAGAGCACAGATTTATTGATTGTAGGAAAACAGTGCCGTCATTTTCATTTCGGTGGTAAGCTGCCCTCTAAACGAAGAAGTATGAGTGTGTGCCCCCAGTTCGAAATAATAAAACGTAGATAGACTTTTTGGTTGATACTTGGTCGGGAGATTTATGTGTTTAAAAGTATCATACAAAATGCCGCAAAATTGGAATTTCGACATAGAATAGAGTTGAATTGAGTCCTGTTACTGCGTTTTTGCAAACAAGCTTGATTAAATTTTTTGATTCTTTTCTCTTTGGAGTGTTTTTATGGTCAAAAACGAATGAGCTATATTAGAAACTCCACTCGAACGTAAATCCATTGTATCAAGACTTCTCAAAAGATTAGATTAGTAATTTCAACGATCACTGAAATCCACGATTCGTATTATCTGGGCTTCTTGACTAAATAAAACTGGAAATTTCTAGTTGAGCTTTCATCCCAGAAAACAGAATGAATAGTGTCGCAGCATAAGGCATAGAGAAATCTCCCATTAAAAACGTATAATGAAGAGCATGAATATTATTTCGTCTGCTGTTAGACTTATGAGGGCTTATATATATTCCAAACACTTAAAGGCTTTATCACCACATGCTCGTACCCGATGGTAATTGCTGTCTCACTGTTTAAGAAGATATTCGAACATCTAAAAGTCGGTGTTGGTGTTACCACAACAATGCCTTTGATCTTGAAATGTCATAGGTAAAGTTTTCTTATTTTTAATTTTCTTGTTGTATCCAGGTCTCGTTTGTGTTTATTGATGTTGTAAAATATCCATTTTTTTATTTACGCGTATTGATTTCTGAACTCTTCTATACCATTTCACATACTTTAATGACTCAATCTGAAGTAAACACGTCAAGATCTGAGGATGATGAGGGGCTTGGAGGGCCTCTTTTGATCGAACAGTTAGAAGGAAATGGCATAACTGCTGGTGACATACGTAAATTGAAGTCAGAAGGGTATCACACTATTGAGAGCCTTGCCTACACGCCAAAGAAGGCATTATTAACCGTTAAAGGTATAAGTGAAGCAAAGGCAGATAAAATCTCTATGGAAGCTGCTAAATTGGTTCCGTTGGGCTTCACTACGGCAAGTGAATTTCATTCTAGGAGATCTGAATTGATTTGCATAACCACTGGGTCAAAGCAGTTGGACACTTTATTAGGAGGAGGTATTGAAACTGGGTCTATCACTGAAGTTTTTGGAGAGTTTAGAACCGGAAAGTCACAGTTGTGTCATACATTGGCAGTTACTTGTCAGCTTCCTATTGATATGGGTGGCGGAGAAGGTAAATGCTTGTATATTGACACCGAAGGAACATTTAGGCCAGTTAGGCTAGTCTCCATTGCTCAAAGATATGGACTTAATCCAGATGATTGTTTAGATAATGTTGCTTACGCCAGAGCCTACAATGCAGAGCATCAGTTTCAGTTACTAAATCATGCTGCTCAAATGATGGCCGAATCGAGATTTTCTTTACTTATTGTTGATTCTATCATGTCATTGTACAGAACTGATTACGCTGGAAGAGGTGAATTAAGCGCTAGACAAACCCATGTGGCTAAATACATGAGGACCTTGCAAAGATTGGCTGATGAGTTTGGTATTGCTGTTGTAATTACAAACCAGGTTGTCGCTCAAGTCGACGGGTCGGCTGGAATGTACAATCCTGATCCCAAGAAGCCTATAGGTGGTAACATCATAGCACATAGTTCCACCACACGTCTTTCTTTCAAAAAAGGAAGAGCAGAGACCAGAATCTGTAAGATCTATGACAGTCCGTGTCTCCCCGAGAGTGAATGTGTATTTGCTATCTATGAAGATGGGATAGGAGATCCAAAGGTAGATGACGATGATAGCTAGTCTTCACATTCATTAGTATATATGCCTTGTATAATGATACTGTTTGAAATATGAAACTCATAAATAATTAATCAACTTCTTCTACATCTATTAGCAAATCCCTCCGATTATTAGTAGCCGTAGTTTAGACTTCAAATATTTCGTCAGGTCACTTATTCACCATTCACACCGTTGGATCTTTCTCAGCGAAGAATATGGCTCCTTTATAAAAAAAAAATTTTTTAAGGTAAAAAAACCGTGCGGCTCAAGTGAGAAATTTTATCTTTTTCATCAGTCGAACCCGAAATTTGGAGGATTTGGATTTAAGAACAAGTTTATTTATTCTGAAGCGTATAATAGTCACATATAATTCAACTTATCTTTTATAAGGGTCCATATAATAAGATCCTTTAATGCAGTGTCATATAAGTACTTTCTCGAAATAGGTTATTTATTGGAAACTGCCTAGGATAAAGTTTACTAAGCGAAGCAAGAATATAGAATGGAGAAATCAAAGATCAAGTCAATCTTGCCGAAGCCAACGCCTTCACCTTCAGGATGTATATCACCTCTGTCGGGAATGCATGGAGATAATTCGCATATTAGGAAGAGGTCGTCGATTGATGGAGAAGAATTTAATGTATCAAAAAAACAAAGGTCAAGATCTAAATCATCACGGATATTGGACAAGTCGACGAAGCAGACGGGCCACAGGCCAGTTACTTCCTGTACGTTTTGTCGACAACATAAAATTAAATGTAATGCTTCAGATAACTACCCAAATCCTTGTCAAAGATGTGATAGAATGGGCTTGAAATGTGAGATTGATCCTGAATTTAGACCTAAGAAAGGATCACAGATTCAATCATTGAAAAGTGACGTAGATGACTTAAAAGCCAAAATTGAGTTGTTGACAAAGAATGAAACGCTACTTACTCAAGCTTTGAATCAACATAACATGAACTTGATGCAACAACAGTCCGTAAATGTGAACCAATCTCCTTTTCAAGAGTCAAACTTTCAGTTTGACCAGTCACCTAATTACCATTCTTCGCCATCAGTCAAATTAAATGATTCCTTAGAGAATAATAATAGTAACAATAATAATAAACTTGCTCCTGTGAATATTTTTCATGAAAACTCAGATAATTCGCCTGCATCAACAGCTAAGGATTCTAATACAGAACTGCTCAACTATGAACATGTATCTGAATTTGTCTTAGGTGATGTAAGGTTACCATTAGAAAAAGCAAACGAACTTCATGATAGATTCATGCAAAAGAACTTACCTTTCATACCTATTTTTACCTCAAATTCTGCCAATGAGTTATATCATAAATCTCAGTTATTGTTCTGGACTGTTATGTTGACGGCATCTTTATCAGAATCGGAACCTACTTTGTATATGTCACTTGCGTCGTTAATCATGCAATTAGCGATAGAGACTTGTTGGATAAGGACACCAAGATCTACTCATGTAATTCAAGCATTGATAATATTATCCATTTGGCCGTTACCAAATGAAAAAGTTTTAGATGACTGTTCTTATAGGTTTGTTGGACTTGCAAAAAACTTGGCATTACAACTAGGTTTACATAGGAGTGGTGAGTTTATTCAAGAATTTCTGAGGACTCAAGTTAGTTTGGGACCTGATGCTGAACGTTGGAGAACCCGGTCTTGGTTAGCCGTTTTCTTTTGTGAGCACTTTTGGTCCTCAGTTCTTGGATTACCACCTTCAATTAATACTACTGATTATTTGTTAGAGAATGCAAGGATTGACACCACATTACCAAAAAATTTTCGTTGTTTGATATCATTATCAATATTTCAATGCAAACTAGTGAATGTCATGGGTATTTCAGTAACGCGACCAGATGGATTGCTAGACCCACTTAACAGGGCAAGTTCTTTAAACTTGCTAGACAGAGAATTGGAGAGGTTAAGATTTAAACTTTCGATCGATGATTCTTCAGTTGAGGTTTATTATTTGTATATTAAATTGATGATCTGTTGTTTTGCCTTCTTACCGGGCACGCCTATTGAAGATCAAGTTAAATATGTCAGCGCTTCTTACAGTGCTGCTACACGTATCATTACGATAACTTCTCAGATGATAAATACAGGAATCCTGTTGATCGAGTTGCCCATTTATGTTAGACAAGCAATTACTTATTCTGTATTTTTATTATTTAAGTTGCACTTGTCTAGGTACTTAGTTGAGAAATATGTTGATAGCGCCAGACAGCTGATTGTTACAGTTCATAGATTGTTAAGAAATACATTGCTGTCATGGAAGGATTTACAGAATGATATATCAAGAACTGCAAAAGTGCTAGAGAATTTGAACATAGTTCTCTATACTTATCCAGACATCTTTCAAAATGATGAAGCTGGCGGTAGTATTATCACTAGAATGAGGTCTCATTTGACTGCTTCACTATTTTATGACCTTGTGTGGTGTGTTCATGAAGCAAGGAGAAGGACATTACTAGATAAGAATAAATCTAGGCCTATTCAAGTTGAACCTAGCGATGATCCCGAAGAAAGAAGACCAAGACCGTTGCCTTTTTATAATCAGATTACAAAGGACCATTTCAACACAATAACAAGCATAACTCCTAATGGAACTACTATTACTACATTAGTGCCAACGGATTATGCAATGAACGAGGCAAAAGTAAATGCTGCGGGTATGAACAAGCCTTTAGAGATAAACGGTATTCCCTTGTCGATGCTAGAAGCAACTGGAAGTGTCAGAGATACTTTGAAGAATGAACCAGCTCAGTCTCCTGAATACCACCACGTTCAAATGCTTGACCCAATCCAACAGCCAATGATCATTTCTCATGAGACGGCCATAGAACATAGGTCTCCCATAGAAGTGGAGCAGCTTAACGGTATAGCTAATCAAATGGATTCATTTTTCCAGCAGCAGTCTAATGGCTGGTTAAACAATGACAACTATCAGGATGATGATTTCTTAGGCTGGTTTGATGTTAATATGCTTCCATAAATATTGCCAGCTAAATTCAACCTTCTAGATGAGGAAAGGTTCAACAATGAACCTTCTACGGTATGAAGTGTCGAATATAAAAAGTTTTATATAGATGACGTTCCATACTGATGATGTACATGATTTATGTAGTTCAATATGTTATATAATAGTGTTTTATTTGTGCCAATTTTTCTTTAGATTGCAAATAGTTTGAAAGCGGTCGCTCAAGTCATATGATATGGAGCAATCGGGTTCTCATAAAATCTCAATAAAAGGCAATATACTACTTTTCAATTATACTTTGAACTACTATAGGAATAAGATTCGTATATATTATGTTTTCTAGACAATTACTTCGTTCAAGCATTGCAAATTCAAGAGCTTTGCCATTGAGTAAGCCAGCTATTGGTAAGAGCTTTTTGAACAGTAGATTTTACTCCTTCAAGGCAGAAGACCAACCAAGAATCAGAATTGGATCATTAGTGCCGAATTTCGTGGCTGATACTACCTATGGGAAAATTGACTTCCATGAATTCATTGCAGACAACTGGGTTGTATTTTTTTCACATCCGGCAGATTTTACTCCAGTCTGTACCACAGAGTTGGGGGCATTTGCTAGATTGGCCCCAGAATTCGATGAGAGAGGCGTCAAGTTGATTGGATTATCAACGGAAGGAGTTGATAGCCATAAAGCTTGGGTTAAAGATATTGAGGACGTCAGTACCGGTGGTGCCAAGTTCAATTACCCTATCATAGCTGATCACAACAAAGAGGTTGCTTTCAAATTTGATATGGTTTCTGAAGACGACTTCAAGAAATTGAATTCAGGTTTAGTTCCTACTGTCAGATCTGTCTTCGTCATTGATCCTGCTAAGAAAGTTAGATTGATCATGACCTATCCGGCATCTACCGGTAGAAATTCTGCTGAAGTTTTGAGAGTTGTCGATGCGTTACAATTAGCCGACAGAAAGGGTGTTGTTACCCCAGTTGACTGGACAGAGGGTCAGGACGTTATTATCCCACCAACTGTATCTGATGCAGATGCAAAAGCAAAGTTTGGTAGCTTCAAGACATTGAAACCTTACCTCAGAACTACTAATTTATCTAAGTGAAGCATTTTTTAGATTACACTTTGCGGTTTCCAGTCCCTCCAATGTTCTCAAAGGATACTCTTGTCCGCATTCTGTAACATATATAGCTTCTCCCTTATTATTAGTTTTCAAATGAGTCTGTATCTCGTCCCAAACTTTAGATTTCAATTTTGTAGGCAGTACGTCGTCAGTGAATGGATGAAAATACAACCGATCTCCCAAAACCGCCAGTAATGGTGGATTAAGAAGCTGTATTCCCGAATGATCAGGATCTTCAGCAGCAAGAAGCATTGCTTCTGATATCTCGCCTCTCATCTTTGATGCCTTTAAGTTTGACAATAAAACTACTCTCAGTTGAAGCATCTGATCGATCGGAATGAAGTCAACTAATCCGGAACAAACTTGTACCTTAGTTTTGGGCCCTACCTGTATCTGTGATACGTAGAGCTTGTCGGCAGCTTCATGTTTGCGGCAGTCGACTATCTGGCCCACTACTAATCTTAATGTGCTTGGAGGGTCTTGAAGGTCAGTAATCCATACTTGAAACTCTTAAAAAATCTTGGACTAACTAACACTTACATTTGGGAACTGATGAAAGAGTTCTTTGGTACGCTACTCTAAATGACATGTCTGTATATCTCCGTTTTTTTATGATTGTTAGTACTTTTCAGTTGCCCGATGTCTCAACACGAACAGAAAAAAAATTGTCAAATGATAAGAGAACTGCTACTTAGCTTATAGGAAACTAGGTCGTATGCCAGAATTGTTTACGCATAGACAAGAGGCTAAGAGTAAAAGCTTTCGATGGTTTCCTCGATTATTTAATCTCCTCGGTACAGAGAGAATACCTACAAGATTTGAACCTAAGGAACTTCTAGGTGACTGTACTCTGAAGGAAAAAATTTGAGAGTATCTTATAGAGGTTGACAGAAGACCTCAAGTTCTTTGTCACATACTTAAGTTTGCTCTATAACGGAATGAAACTTCCTACTCTTCATGGGCTTTGTAAATATGCCTCAATGTTCAATCTGTCTACGTTGAGTGAACAATCTACCATGGAAGTGAAACTTGGGAAAATGGTCAAGCAATTCTTGAAAACAGAACATTTGAAAATAAAAGACTCGCTAATTGCCATTGACTTAACTTGATGTTGAAAGGTCTATGTTGTCAATCTGTCAAAAGAAATTATAAGACTACCCACATAGCAGCAGGTAACGTAATTTCAATAAATATCTGAACTTAAAAAAAAAAGCCACTTAGGGATTGAGAGATGCTTCAGTGAAAAATCGAAAATAGATCCCTATAGTGTTATCCCTGAAGAATATGGCTCTGTTCGACACCAATATCGCTATATTGGCGTTGTCTCCTGATGATCTACAGCCATTGGCCACAGCTCTGTAATAGCAGTATCCAAATTCTTTCTAAAGCTGCTGAATTTGAACAAAAATAATAGCTATTAAAAGTAGTTCATTATAAAAAATTTATTATTAGAATAAGTAGTTTGAAAGCAATAATATTCTCTTTGGTTCTCTTTTACATCTGTTAGTCTTGTGTTCTTACCAAAGAATTTTTGAGTGCCTTGCGAGATGATTCTCAAATTTTCAATTATACCTAATTCGGAAATCATATAATTAACGCGTTTACAGTCAAAACATAAAAATCACATTTCTTCACATTTTTGGACTATTAAGAAGATTATTCGATAAACATCGAGAGAGTGGTAAATTTTGACCATAATGTCTAATTTTGTTTCATCTCCAGGGAGGATTCCTTCAGATTCAGCCCAGTTGTTACACTCATCGCAACCTCCATCATCTATAGGAAGATCTGGTGGATTGACACCGCAGACGGGTTTCAGCGAGCCTGGCTTGTCTCAGAGTACACCAGGACCATTTGCAGATTCCGGTGTTAATGGTGGTTTTGAAGGGATACATCCTGCAGCAGCGACTGCAGTTGCTGGGAGAAGAAGACAAATCGCTGTTCCAAAAGTTGTAGATGTCACTGGAGAAAAGGTAGGTGAAAGTTTTGAACTGTTCATTGAGGAGTTCACAGACCCAGACATAGACGAAAGTAGCGACCAATGGAATAATAGGGTATATCTTGCCCAGATTGAGGCAATGAAAACATATGAGACCAGCACTTTTTATGTCGACTATCAACATTTGCTTCTGAGAGAGAATGGTGTTTTAGCTTCTGCTATTCTTGAACAGTATTATAGGTTTTCGCCTTTCTTGTCGAAGGGATTAAGAAAAGTCATTAGGAAGTATGCGCCAAGCTTATTACATACGAGCTTGTTGTCTAGCCAAGTGGACGACGAAAACAGTAGAGCAAATAAAACGGAGTCCTCGTCATCTACTGCTCTGTCCAATGCAAATGAACGTGTATTTCAGATATCATTTTATAACTTACCAACCATCAATAGAATCAGGGATATCAGAACTGAAAAGATTGGATCTTTAATGGCAATTCTGGGAACTGTCACGAGGACCTCCGAAGTAAGGCCAGAACTATACAGAGCTTCTTTTACTTGTGATATGTGCTCAGCGATAATTGAAGGGGTGGAACAGGTGTTCAAATATACTGAGCCAACATCATGTCCATCTTGTGAAAATCAATCATATTGGACTCTTAACGTGGCGAAATCACAATTTATCGATTGGCAAAAGGTTAGAATACAAGAGAACTCGAATGAGATTCCAACCGGTTCTATGCCTCGTACTTTGGATGTGATTTTAAGAGGTGAAACAGTTGAAAGAGCAAAGCCTGGTGATAAGTGTAAGTTCACAGGTGCTGAAATCGTTATTCCAGATGTTTCTCAATTAGGACTACCGGGCATTAAAGCACAGTCAATTCGGGACAACAAAGGCGCCATGTCTTCTGAACTAAGTTCGAGTGTGACAGGTCTTAAGGCTTTGGGTGTTAGGGATCTTACATACAAAATCGCTTTTTACGCCTGCCATGTTTCCTCCATGACAAAGCGAATCGGTAGCGATGGAGTGGACGAAAAAGAGGACTTGGCCGTGGACTTTCAAGGGTCCAATGAACAGGAAATTTTTTTGACATCCTTAACTGACTCTGAAGTGGCCGAACTTAAAGAAATGGTGAAAGATGAGCACATTTATAACAAGTTGGTCCAATCTTTGGCCCCAGCTGTATTTGGACACGAGGTTGTAAAAAAAGGGATATTACTACAATTGTTAGGAGGAGTTCATAAGAAAACGATTGATGGAATTAATTTGAGAGGAGATATAAATATTTGTATCGTTGGTGATCCATCTACTTCAAAATCCCAATTTTTGAAGTATGTCTGCGATTTTTCTCCTAGAGTGGTGTATACTTCAGGAAAGGCCTCGTCAGCTGCTGGTTTAACAGCGGCGGTTGTGAAAGACGAAGAGAGTGGTGAGCATACTATCGAAGCAGGTGCGTTGATGTTAGCTGATAATGGTATATGTGCAATAGATGAATTTGACAAAATGGACATCTCTGATCAGGTTGCTATTCATGAAGCGATGGAACAACAGACGATCTCAATTGCTAAGGCTGGTATACATGCAACTTTAAATGCTAGGACTTCTATTTTAGCAGCAGCAAACCCTATTGGTGGAAGATATAATCGTAAAGTTGGATTAAGATCAAACTTGAACATGACTGCACCAATTATGTCAAGATTTGATTTGTTTTTCGTTATTTTAGATGATTGTAATGAGCGAATTGATACTCAGTTGGCTTCTCACATCGTTGATTTGCATATGTTACGTGATGCCGCCATCAATCCCCCATATTCAGCTGAGCAGCTCTCGCGGTATATAAGATATGCCAAAACTTTTAAACCAAAGATGACTAAAGAAGCTAGAGATTATTTAGTTCAAAGGTACAAGGAATTAAGAAGTGATGACGCTCAAGGTTTGAGTAGATCATCATATAGAATTACTGTGAGACAGTTGGAATCGATGATTAGATTATCTGAGGCAATTGCCAGAGCAAATTGCACAGAAGAGATAACCCCTAGTTTCGTTTCAGAAGCATACGATTTATTGCGACAATCAATAATTAGAGTTGAAATGGATGATATCGAAGTAGACGACAACGATAATGATACAAATAATGCAGAGAGTCATGAAGATGCTGATGACGGAAATGGAAATCTTCCTGACGATAACCATAGTCATATCAATGAGAGCGACCAATCTAGATCTACAAATAAGAGTTCCACAGTCATCTCCTACGATAAATATGTATCAATTATGAACCTTATGGTGAAGAGAGTATCTGACGATGATAGCTCAGGGGGCGAAGGTCTAACTGCTGAAGAATTAGTAACTTGGTACTTAACTCAAAAGGAGGATGATATTGAAACTGAGCAAGAGTATTATAATGAAAGAAAATTGGCATATAAAGTCTTAAAAAGATTAGTGAAGGACAGAATCCTTATGAGTGTTACTCATAATGCTAATGATGAACTACCGAACGAAGGAGACAATCAGACAGCCACAAAAACAGTATATATTTTACATCCCAATTGTGCTATCTTGGATTTCTTTGACCACGCCAGACCAGAAAACGAACAAGGCTCGTTATGAATATTCACTTAATTTGTTCTACTTCTTAATAGCATATTATATGGAAATTTATTTTATCTATTTATTTTAGTCCCTTTTTGATCGTTTACTGTCTGTCTCACTCTCCAAATCATTTTTTCTCTTCGATAGATTATTAGGACTCGTCAAAGATGGGTCTCCTCCATCGTCGGAATTCAAAAAGTAATTCTCCTTGTCATCATTCTTGCCAATCTTCGGAAGATCATAAATAGCTGCCGCTGCACTTTCGACTTGTTGACGTTGATTATCATCGTAATTAACATTCTGAGGAGATGTATTATTAGCGGCTGACTTTTGTAATTGATGATCCGTCGTTGGTTGACCTTGAAACCCTGTTGCTTTCCATTCGGCTGGACTTAGCAGCAGAGCGCACTCCGTGCAATGATCAATAAACTGTTTTGAATTCGAAAACATCCTTTGGCATGCCCTACACCACCCGGGGTCTTCTTTTGACCCTGGTATAATTTGTTGCTTATCTTGAATATAATGAACTAGTCGTAAGTGTCGCTTTAAAACATCTAGACGATTGAAAGCTCCACCATTACGATGGCATGTAGGATCATTTCTCCAGTAAGGACAGTGAAACATCGGCTCAGCGTGGGATTTCGCATGTCGTCTCAAGTCAGACTGTCTGGCAAAAGCCCATTCGCATCCAGGAAACGAGCAAACATAAGGCCTTGATTGAATGTCCTTTATTTTTTTAGAATTAAATTTCCTAGAATATTCGTCTACTTTACTCTTGGACCCTCCAACTTTGAATATGTAATTTAGGTTCTCCTCAGAAGGAACAGATGACTGAGTGAAATGTTGCTGACTTTGACTTTGACTTTGATGCTGTTGCATTTGAGAAGGATTCTGAGGGATTGAAGTGGTATCTGAGATACCCGTAGAACCCTGTACCGATTGATTTATAGTATTCGAATTTAACTGATGGTCGAAGGGCTGATTTGGGACCCTTGAATTGAAATAATTATTATATGACAGTGATGGTGCCAAGTATGGAACAGATGGGTAGTTTGCATTTGTCTGATAGCCATAATGGCTGAGATATGGGGAAGAATTTTGAGGTGATGTAGAAGGACCTGTCGCTGGAGTTGCTGTCATCGTTGATACCGGAACTGCTGAACTTGAAGGCATGGGCACGGGTAGAGAATGCGATACTCTCCCTATATCCTTCTCACTGTTAGTTGCGTGATTATTTATCTCCGTTAGATTTGAATTTGTGCCAGAACTTTTATTCGTATCATTATTGATGTTGTTATCGTCTTCATTAGTTACTTTCGACATTTTTTTTTTCCGAAAAAAATTAAATAATTCTAAAGGGAGAACACCACTTTAGGTATATGGTGACTTTTCTAGCCTCTTTTCAATCACACGATAGCTTTAGATGACTATCTCTACCTTAGATATTTGATAGATGATAAACCGTAAAATGAGCCGCTTTACGTGAGGTGCTTATTTTATTATATATTTATATTTTAGGAAGTGTCCACGACTGGGGTAATTAGAGAAATTGGGAAAGGAGCAAGAAGAGAAAATGTGAAATACAAGATATAAAAGGCCAAGATTGTAAATTGTAGGTGGTAAGGTAAGATAAATCAGTTTATCTGTTTATTTATTATTATCCTTTGATTTTAATTATCTGTTCCTTTTGTTCTCTCTTATTAACTGGAATCAAAGCATATTCTCCACTTAATACTCTTTTTTGTTTTTAATAACTTATTCAATAAAGCAGAAACCTTCATGGATTGCATAATGATGGTTTAAAGTAATAAAGAGAGCTGTAATGGGCCATGTTTTTTTCACACAGAGCCTCTCTCTTTCGAGTTCTTTCAAAGATTGTGGCTCTTATTCCTGGTCGTGTCGTGTGTGTAACCCTTTTTTTTGTATCAAGCACGCTTATCATTAATTAGCAATTCTTAGTAAATTGTAATCATTAATGTTGAAGTTTGTTAATTACTTGAACAAAAAATATGTCTGAAGTAAGTAGTAGTATCAATTCATCTTTTGATGTGATTTCTAACCGTTTAGAATAAACCAATTGAAATTTTAAAGTTTGCAGACGACTCTGGCTCCTTTAAGAGACGTCCTTCTCTGTTTAGGAACTTTATTAGTTCTAAATCAGGAGCTAAATTTCCACCCGAGGCAAATAGATACCATTTGTATGTATCATTGGCATGCCCTTGGGCGCATAGGGTATTAATTACAAGAGTCTTGAAAGGCTTGGCTTCACTTATTTCAGTTTCAGTTGTTCATTGGCATATGGATGACAAAGGTTGGAGATTCCTAAATGATAGCGAGAAAAAATTGAGAAAGGGGGCTAGTGATTTACAGTTTGGTACTGAGGATCATTTGTATGGGTTTAAGAGACTTAGGGAAGTATACTTTAAAGCAGAGCCTGACTATACTGGGAGATTCACCGTTCCAGTATTGTGGGATAAGAAGCTCGAGACTATAGTTAACAATGAGTCTTCTGAAATCTTGAGGATGTTTAATTCAGAATTCAATTCCCTCTTACCATCTGAATATGCTGCAATTGACCTTTATCCGGAGACATTGAGATCCGATATTGATGAATTGAATTCTTGGGTTTACGACAATATCAACAATGGTGTTTATAAGGCAGGATTTGCTACCAAGCAAGAAGTGTATGATAAGGAGGCGTATAATGTTTTCAATCATTTGGATAAAGTCGAAGCGATATTGGAAAAGAAGTTTTCTGGGGAACACAAGTTCGACTTCCTCTTAGGTCAACAACTCACTGAAGCTGATGTTAGGTTGTTTACGACAATCATTAGGTTTGATCCCGTGTATGTGCAACATTTTAAGTGTAACTTGAAGATGATCAGATGGGATTATCCACATATCCACAAGTGGCTCAGGCTTTTATACTGGAAAATTCCCGGTTTCAATGAAACTACGAATTTCCATCACATCAAGTATCACTACACTAAGAGCCATGTTGGTATTAACCCTCTCGGTATTACACCAATCGGTCCCCAGCCAAATATTCTTCCATTGTAAGTAGTGGAACTCGAATTTATGGAAATACGACTTAGCAGTATATATGATGTCTTATAATCTAAGAATGATCAGAGTGCTACCCATTCCTCTGGAAAAAAAAAATTTTTTTTTTGAAATTGTATTTAGCTGTCATGGATTGTGTCAATGAACTATACCTTATGAACTTTACTTCATAGTTGTAAAATCTCTCTCATCTTTATTACTTTTATGTTTTCATCTTTTTATCTTTTTATCTTTTCTATATCAGGTTTAACAATAAGTTTGCGAGACGACGACACGCAAATAGTCGAATAATTGTCGAATGTCTAAATAAGGAATTTAAAATAAATTTAAGAAATTTTCAACCGTCATTAGTGATATCTGCTTCAACAGACTTAGAGAGTATAAAATGAGAGGTATGTGGTTCTCGTTGTATTCATGAATTTTCTTGTCTAAAAACACGTCCAATGGAAATTCTATGATTGGAAACTATCGTTTAGATCTAATATACTAACAAACATTTTTTAGACTACAAAGTGGTTGTATTGGGAGCAGGAGGTGTTGGAAAATCATCTGTAACAGTGCAGTTTGTCCAAGGAGTTTATGTCGAAAGCTATGATCCAACTATCGAAGATTCTTACCGGAAACAGATTGAGATTGATGGAAGAGCATGCGATTTGGAGATATTAGATACTGCAGGTGTTGCGCAATTTACAGCTATGAGAGAGCTTTATATCAAGAGTGGAAAGGGGTTTTTGTTGGTTTATTCCGTGACTGATGAGAATTCTTTGAAGGAATTATTAGCATTAAGAGAACAAGTTTTGAGAATTAAAGATTCAGATAATGTACCCATGGTCTTGATTGGTAATAAATGTGACTTGGAAGAGGACAGAGAGTTAAGCATAGATGATGGTATTAAGGTTTCCCAGGAATGGGGAATGGTTCCATTTTACGAGACTAGTGCGATGTATAAAACCAACGTAGATGAGGCTTTCGTGGATGTTGTTAGACAAATTATGAGGAAAGAGGCTGCCATTAGTGCAGAAAAGAAACAGAAAAAGTTGCAAAAGGATAATGATATTAATAAGTCGTCGCCTAGTGATTATGAGTCTACGAAGGAGAGACCAGAATCGACAACACTTAACAATAAGGAAAAGGCTGCTAGTGCTAGAGCGAATCAATCCAACGTATCTTCTCCGAAAGCTTCAAAGTTTAAAGACAAATGCTGCACCATAGTGTAGCCAATCAAGTACTTCTCTTCGTTGTGGTTTCACAAGCAGGGACAATCATTAACGAGAACGTCGTTAGAGACGACGTTCATCTCTTTCCATCATTAGATTGGTTTAAATATTTTAGCAAACAATAACTATAATAAATATCAAGTATATCAAAAGGACCTCGAATGAATCATAATGGTTCACAAATATTGTCTGGGCTTTTAAATTGTAGCTATCGACCGTATGATCTTGAATGGCCTGCATGCAAAAAAAGAAGTTAGGAAATGGTGTTTGAAGGAATTGCTGGTGTGATGATACCCGCGAGATTCGAACTCGCGCCTCCGAAGAGACCAGGACCTTACCCTGGCGCCTTAGACCAACTCGGCCAGAGTACCCAATTCCTAACAAATCCTTTATCGTACTTGTAGATAGGGATACAGTAGCGCCGGCAGGTCAATTTTTTATATTTAACCATTAAATGAAATGACGTTGGATATGGCGTGCCATATCATGTATGTTCTATACTTCTTCGGGCTAGTATCAGTGTGATTGGATTTTAAATGAGATAGCCAGAAAGCTACGTTTATCATCTGCCTTGGATCCCAAGCCTGTTTTATCTATCCTGCTGTCCCCACTTTCTTCGAAAAGAAGGAGTTATACAATGCAAACTATTAAGATTTATCATCACTACAGTTCAAAAGTCAAAGAGTCAATTAGACTTGGATTTCATCATCGATGCCTAGTACCATCACATAATTTAAGATTTCGTATGAGAATATAGACGTCTACGGTAAGGAACGTAATTTAATTTACTAAAGTCTTGTCTTCTGTCCACAGTCTGTGACCAAACTAACGAAACAATCCAGGAGCCCTAAGGTAATATTCCTTTCGGAAATTCTGTCTCGGTGTTTTGCCTAATCAGAGGGCTTTGGGGTCAGGGACCGCGAGCGGCATGCCTGGTGCGCATAAGTTCAGTATTTATCCGTTTCTTCCCTTAAATATTTTTCTTTGGCGAAATAAAAGAGACTATAAGGTTATAATAAAGTTGACAACCGCTGTCTTGATTGCAGAAAATTCTGTTCAAAAATAGCTCTTTTTTCAAATAAAGTTCGAGTCCTTAGGAATTGCAATCTTAATAGGATGCTAGTATTTGAGTACATAGCACCTTGGGTGCCAATCTTTAGGAACAGCTTAGAAGCAGAATTGGCAGCAAATAGTAATAAACCGCTGTTCACCTCATTTCAATTAGCTACTGTCGACTTTCACGGGTTACCTCGAAACAGAACGTTAGTATATAGGGGTTTTTTGTTTGAACAGGAAAATACAAATGTGATCACATTCACCACGGATAAGCGAATGAAGAAATATGAAGAATTGTTAAATAATGATAGATACGAAGCGGTGTTCTACTTTCTGAACTTGAAGTATCAGTTCAGATTTCGTGGCAGAGCCAGAATGATTGATGCTAAGAATCGACCGGTGATTAGTCTTTTAAAAGTGGATCCTGGCTTCCTCGGTGGCAAAAAAAAACCTTTAAGTCAGGAAGATATACTGTTGAGCAGTGAAGGGCATCTGCCTCAATCGGTTCCGATAAATACAGCATTGGTCTCTCCGAAGATAGAAAAGAATCTTCAGAAACTGGAGCAGGACTTCATGAGCTCCCCACATCTTTTTCCGCCCACTCAGGAAGACTGGAACCATGAAGTACATCGCCAATGGGATAATTTATCAAAAAACTTGAAAAAATCATTCAAGAAACCACCACCTAAGGCTCCTTTAAATGATGAGTACATAAAGACAATGGATGCGATTAGAAGAGGTGTCGATGGTAAAAAGGATGATGAAGGTTTTAAAAACTTTAGTGTAGTAGCAATGTTTTCTGATTATGTGGATTTTGTTGATCTCGAACGGGACAGGCGGATTATATACCAATTAGATGAATACGGCCAGTGGGCGGAAACTGAAGTGTGTCCATAGTAAGTTTTCGAAAAGTTATCAAACGTATCGAAAACTACCCTTTCTACAAGAAATGGTTTACATATCAGATTGCCGCAACTCGTCCGTATCAATTGTACATATCAGGCTGTCGAAATATTAAGCTGTAGGACTACACTTTTGTATTGCAGCCATAACTCCTTTAGTATGGTTCCAAAGGTTCCATCTTTCAGCCCAAAAATGTTTTGAGGTATGGGCTTGTAATTTTGTATACGATTGACTCATTTTGGCCCTTTAAAATGAGTCTTTGTCGAGCTATAAGCTGTTTTCATGTTGGTCCCTGCGCGATTATTTTGCAATCATGTTTTTGAGGGTGGGAAAATAATATAAATATTGGAATCCGCCCTTTATTTGTTTATTTTTACTTTTTTTTTTTCCCATCAAGTCAATTGTAGACAAATCTCATTGATAATGGCACCAAAATCTAAGGCAAGCAAGGCTTCGGCTGCTTCATCAGCAGCAGCCTCAAAAGTTACTTACAAAGGTATGTTTGTGATGGTCATTCATTATTTATTTACAAAACACGATTTACTAACAAGTTAGATATGATTAATTCTGCGATCATTGCGTTAAAAGAAAGAAGTGGCTCTTCGTAAGTATTCAATTCATTGATGAAAACAAGACAGAGTTCATGTTAGCGAGTTCTTGTATTAACATTTCTAGTCGCCAAGCGTTGAAAAAATATGTTCAGTCTAATTACAAATTAAAGGCAGCTAATTTTGATTCATTATTTAACACCGCATTGAGAAAGGGTGTTGAATCTAATGATTTTGTTCAACCTAAAGGGCCCTCAGGTCCCGTTAAGCTTGCTAAAAAGGAGAAGGCGCCAGCTCCTGTTGTGTCTAAGGTAACAAAGCCACCAGTTAAAAAAGTTGCGAAAAAGACAACGAAGGCCCCAGCAAAGGCGCCAGTAAAGTCTGCTGCTAAGACTTCAAAAACCACTAAGGCTCCCAGCAAGTCAGTTGCAAAGAAAGCTGCCCCAAAAAAAGCTGCCCCGAAGAAGGTCACGAAAAAGGCTGCTCCTAAGAAAGCTGCTCCTAAAAAAGTCGCTCCGAAGAAGCCTGCTGCTAAGAAAGTAACCAAGCCAGCTCCCAAGAAGACTACTACTAAGAAAGCTGCTGCTACGAAAGGAGCCTCTGTGAAAAAGGCTGCACCAAAGAAGGTTGTGAAAAAGACTAAGACTGCAAAGAAATAATTCTTGTTTCCGGATATCTTTTGTTGGGTTGCTTTTCGTAATGTTCAAGCGATGTTTATGTGTTGATATCGAACATATGTGTTTTGATCATACTTTAATACTTTCATGAATATTTGAATGTGTGTGTATCTTAGTGTATATTATTGTTCTGTTCTTTTTAATGTGTTTTATCTATGTAATGATAATATTTGTATTTATAATTGAAGCTATTTTTACATACAGTCATTTACAATACGCGATTCAAAATATTATGATGCGCTACTATATCTTTTGCTTCAGCTTAACCCTATCAAGTAATAGTCCATAAAATATGACAAGGGTGAAGCCGATAGTTATCATTGTCGCTGCATTACTTCCTGATCTCGGCATAGGCATAAGAGGGAAAATGCCGTGGAGATTAAAGGAAGAAATTAAATACTTTAAAGAAGTCACATCGAGGACTGAAGACCCAAACAAGATAAACGCAGTAGTAATGGGAAGAAAGACATGGAATTCTATTCCTGAGAAGTTCAGACCCTTAAAAGATAGATTGAATGTCATTTTATCACGAAATGTTGAAAATCATATTGAAAATGATATAATCTATGCAAATTCCTTTGCAAATGGTCTTAAACAGATTGAGAAATATCCAAGAGCAGTAGAAAAAATATTTGTTATTGGGGGTTCAGAAGTTTATAATCAGCTAATAAAGACTGACGAAGTGAGTCACATTCTTTTAACTGAAATTACTAATTCCAACGCAGTTGAGATGGACACTTGGTTGGACTTTCCGATATATCAAGAAGGTAGTCAATGGAAAAAACAACCAGGACACAAATTGAAGGCTTTCACAGGGTATGGCTTAGATCCAGAGCAGGAGCTAAAACAAGACGATTATTGTTATAAGTTTACCTTATGGGAAAAAGATTAAATATGTATATAATTGTATCACTATTTACAGCTAGTTATTTTACTTAAGTTTAGGGTCAAAAACTTTCATTCGGTTCGTAATTCTTTCATCAGTTATGACATCTTGGACCCACTCAGAGTTTCTTTCTTTACCAGACTCGACCCATTTACGTGGCCAATCTGCTTCTTCTTCTTTGCCCAACAAGGTGTCCTTATACTCAAACTTTCTTGATTTATTGTAGACTAATGCTGTTGTCTTATTCCCGAGATCGTCCGCTAACTCCCGTTTAGTGAAATACCTAAAGATCTTTTTCGGAAAATTTACAAATCCTGAGAGATTTGGGACTGGAAAGACATAAACTGGTTGCTCAAACAAAACGGGAATATTTTTCTTGTTCTTGATAAGCTCATGAAAGTTCAACTCTGGAGCAAGCTCTGCCCCGCTATAATCCCCTGGTTTTATGAATGGCTGTGTAACAGGTTTCAACCCTTCCTTTCCTTCTTCTTCCTCTTCAGGTTGACTTGTACTTTCGTTGGCATTTTCTTCCTTCTCTTTTTGCTTTTCTTGTTCAGCCTTCTTTTCCTCTTGTACTAACCAGTCAGGTTTCTCTAGGGGACCAAGTAAGCCTTCATGAATTCCTGCGAGATATTCTTTGTACGCACCCCTTCCTACGCATACCACGCCACCAACTGATTCTGAGATCAGGTTGGTTTCATCATCTCTTTTAACATGAAGGGGTTCCACGATCTTGTAAAGACCCAATAACTCAGTTGGAGTATAGAGGTCTTGTCTTCTAACGAGTATTTCACCCTTAGTTTCGTTATCGTCGTCAGACTTCTTACCTAAAAGGTCTTTAAAGAAAGCAGTCCAGGATTTATTGTATTGCAACTGCTTCTGATGCTCCTCCTCTTTTTTTCTCTCTTCAATGGCATCTTTTCTCAATTGTCTAATCTTTTCAGCAACTGAAGATCTTATATCTCCTTGTCTTGTTTCGCTAAACAATTCCAAGTCAACGGCACCAGCATTCAAGACAGGTTTAATGTATTTTCTGAACATTTTCAATGATTTGTCCAAAAAATCATTTGGAGGTGGTGCAATAAAAATTGTCATCTTTCTTGGTATTCTATCATTTGAATATACTTCATCCCCCAAGTACTTGACTTCATTCATCCATTTTTTTCTGATTTGAGCCTGTTCGTACTTATCATATGCAATGCCTCCTCCTATAGAAGCAACTACACACCAAAAGATACACCAGTTTCTTGATGGTAATGATATCCTGGGTATCCCCATCATACGTAATGCAGGATTTGACCATCCCTTTTTTACTGGCTTTTTCACCTCAGGCTCTGGTTTAGAGCTTTTAGGTTCAGGCGGAGTAGACTCTGTCATTCTCTTCAAGAAATGCTCTATCAGTATTTATATTTAGTGGTGAAGATTTTTCTTTTTTAAGAATTTTATCAGTAGTGCCCACGCAAAATCATCTAAAGAACAGAGTAAAGAGTATATCAATTGAACAGTTATTAATAAGTAGCTTGGGTTAAATAATCCACCAGTACGAAGAATTACAATAGAAGCCATTAGTGGGTTACTGTAGAATTGAGCAAGATTGAACTGGTCCAAGCGTAGTATTCATAATTCTTTCTATATATTCGCAACAATTTCGATGCTGCAATGCAAAAATATGGAATTGATGCAATTTTTTACACGCATAATGATAAAATATGAATATAGAAGGAAACTAGTATTTGAGATACTTGTTTAGCTCAATATTAAGATCTTTAACATTTAACCCCTTTCCAATTAGAACCAACTTGTTTTCAACTACACCATCTAGTAGTCTACCACCTTCAATTATATCATAAGTATCCCTGACTCCCTGGGCGACCTTGACGACCGGAGGGTCACCCTGCTGAATGAACAAACCCTTGACACGATGAATCTCGACAGGCTTGTCATTAACAGTGTCTTCCCATAAGATGTTTTGAAGAAATGTTTCAATTTGATGAAACTGCTCCGTAGAGTTGAAAAACGGGAAAGTCAATGTGACGGTAGCAATTCTATCATCATGAAAAGACATATTGCTTGTGTTTTGCAATGCCTTGGCAAGACTTTCAGAGTTTCCTTCGAAGGCATTTAGGTGTAAGATTTTGTCTAGATCGATATCACCAAATGATGTCTCATGGATCGGAGAACTCCCATTGATTGCCTTAATTCTGCTGGTGATTTTGTCTATTTTTGCCTTCGAATTACCTACTTTATCTATCTTGTTAAGTAGAATGACATCGGCCAATGCAATTTGAAGATGGGCTGTTGTGATTCCCTCTTCGAGCTTCTTCAATTCATCCAGTATTTCTTCTTCCAGCAAATCATCGTTTAATGATTGTGAAGCCTTCAAATGGTTATTTACCCTATGCCAATGTCCACCAACATCATCTAGACACTTGAGTATATTCTCAGCATCCAATACAGTGACCACACCGTCAATATATATATTCGACGCTAATGCTTCGTCTAACCAAAACATTCTAGCGATAGGTGCTGGATCAGCAACTCCCGTAGTTTCCAATAAAATATGGTCTATCTTATACTTAGAATTCGCAACGAGACGCTCAATAGCCTCCACCCCACTGTCTTTGACTGTGCAACAAAGGCAACCATTACCTAGATCTAACCATTCTTGTACGGCTTCGTTTTTCTCTGAATCTTGGATTGTCACTGATTTTTCAATTTCTGCAGAGTCTCCAAACTCATTTAAAATAATCGCTAATCTCTTCTTCGACTTCTTTCCGATCATTTCCAATAAACTAGACTTACCAGAGCCCAAGTATCCTGTAATTAAAGTTAATGGTATCTTTTTACTGTCTTCAGTATGTGATGGGGCAAAAGAAGTATCGACATTAGTTTCATTATTAGTTGAGGAGCTTTCCTTGCTTTCGATCCTATTTTCGTCTGATTGCCATTTTATGCCATCTTTGGGTAATTCTACTACTAATTCTGGAATATCAGTCATCGTCGTACAATTTTTCAATTCTTAGCAGCTTGAATATATTTTATACGTTAATTCTCAAAAATTTCGATTCCATATATGGCCACTTTAGCTTCAAAATAAGTTAACGACATGAAAATAGTGAATAAACTTTTGGATTTAGCTATTATTGTTACGGTTTTGTTTCACTTGCTAGTATCGCCATTTACTAAGGTAGAAGAATCGTTTAATATCCAAGCAATTCATGATATAATAAACTATGGAGTATATCCTAGAGAACTGGTATCGCAGAATTACGACCATGTTGAGTTCCCAGGGTCAGTACCTAGAACATTTGTAGGAAGTTTGGTACTTTCAGGGTTCTCTAAGATAGTAACAACAGTACTAGGCAGTCTTGGGCCCTATGGATATGATAAGATTTCACAAATTGAGCTGCAAATATTAGCGAGAGCTATATTGGGATTACTTAATGTTTTAATGTTGATAAAGTTCGGCAACAGTCTACAGTATTTAGGGGCAAGACGATCTGGTTTTAAGAGGAAGATCAATGTGGCGTTTTGGTATCGGATATTTCTTTTAACCCAGTTCCACTTACTTTACTATTCATCAAGAACGCTTCCTAACTTCATTGCTTTACCACTAGTCTTGTTCGGCCTTGCAAGCTTTCTTAAAGGCAACTTATCGGGATTGGTTTGGATGGCGTTTACAGGCATTGTCTTTAGGCTAGAAGTGGGGGTCTTTGGAGTAATTATAGCATTGGTTTCATCGCTTATGTTTAAGCATTCGCAACTTTTCGTTAGTGTATTAATGCTTGTCGTTGGCACTCTAATGGGATTGGCAATCACATTCCCTATTGATAGCTATTTTTGGAATAGACCGGTTATACCAGAAATTTCCTCATTCGTTTTCAATATTGTTGATGGAAAGTCATCAGAATGGGGCGTCGAGCCATGGTCTGCTTATTTCACCCACTATATATGGAAATTATTCAGGCTTCCTTTAATTCCCATTTTATTGTTGCCAGGTCTATATTGTGATCCAAGTTATGATGGAGTCAATACTAAGAAGAAAAATGCCGTTACCCATCCCGCAAGAAATTCTTTAAGGATTCTTTCTATTTCCTCGTTACTCTTCATCGTTGTTATGTCATTCCAACCTCATAAAGAGTGGAGATTTATAATGTATACCATTCCTGTCTTCACCTTACAAGCTGCAAATGGTATGGATTTCATTATGTCAATTGAGGCTGGCTTTATTAGGCGAAAATTATTTGTCATGACTATATTTCTTGTATCTCTTATTGGGATTGCATCATCACTCTTCATGGGATACATATCCAGCTACAATTATCCAGGCGGAAAGGCATTGGTTTCCTTGAATGAATATATTGAGACACATTCTCTGAAAGACCCAGTTGTGGTTCATATGGACGTTGCTGCATGCATGACTGGAGTAAGTAGATTTGGCGAAATACATAATGACTTGGTGGCATACGATAAAACAGAAAATATCACCGCTCTCGCTAAAGTTTCAGATACCTTTGATTTCTTGATATCTGAAGTAAAATTAGATGAAATTAATTCCAATGATATCTCTGAAGTATACAGAAACGAGGACTGGGATCTTCTTTTCACTACCGAAGGTTACAGAGGGTTCAATAAACTCTTGGTCTTGAATCTAATAAGGCAAGCACAGAAGGATAAGGCTAATACCCTCGAGTATATAGAACAACTTGTTCGGGATCCATTGGATGTTCATGTTGAAAATCTTAAGTCATTTTTGAAGTCATTGGTACTTACACAGGATTACTTGTTCATTTACAAACGAGCTAGAGACGTTAGTCCCACCAGTTGAATTTTTCCGTGTCAATTTAGTGGCGTCTGCAAGGAGAAAGAAGTTATCATGAAATATATTTTATATTAGTGCATTAAATATTTATGTAGAAACAGTAACACTTAATAAGCATAGTCAAAGGTTCTATCATATCGTCACATCATATCACATAAGGTCTTTGCTGGTACCAGAAGAGGTAGAAATGTTACTTTTCCTCATTCTTTCCTTTATCTTTGCAACAGGAGAAAGTTTGGGTTCTGCGAAGTTATCTTCGGTAGGAAACATTATTGGAGTAATTCTTCTTAGCTTTTTAGCAGTCTCAATCAACGACATATCATCTTCTTTGGCACTACCGGGTCCAGAATATGTATCAATTAATGTAGAAAATTCCGCGGTGGATTCAAAGCGAGACGATTCACTACCAACATTAAAATTGGGAGGTTGTGGAGGAGGTGCTATATTATAGTGCTTGGTTTTTGGAGGAGAAAGCCTAATGAATCTAGTATCGTTTTCATTGAATACTTTTGAACTGGATGATATGGATCTAATTTGTTTTCTAGAATGATCAGGACGCCCAGGGGTCGACGAATCATTGGGAGAAAATTTGTGAGGGTTCCTTGCCCGGCCAAAGTGCTTTCGTAATGCATCTATCCTTTCATTCTTAATTCGCTGTGTTGTATCCTGCAATTTAGAAGGACTCCATGATGGCGAACGTGAACTCCTGCTTGTGACCTGCAGTTTCAAAGGAGTGAAAATGTAACTTCGATTGCCTTCAGGGGACGTATTAATGGTTCTCGATGACTTCTTCGCCAAGGGAGATTGATTACTGAAAACACTTGTATCTGCCTCTACATACAAGTCATCTCCCTTTGGCGAGTGAATGCGTTCTTCTAGCTTCTGGGCCCATAATTGAAGCACTGATCTTAATTTGTTATTTTGCCAGCGCTCAATAAACAAATCACAAGTTTGTTCATTTCTCTTGATGGTCTTTATATATTTCATGGACCAATACCTCAAGATGTCATTAACTTTTTGGAACTGCTTCTGATCAATGTGCTCGTTTACTAGCTCTTCCAAATAAACGTTCTTATTAATAAATTGGTCATACCATATCAACAAAAACTTCTTGAAGAGTAATGTTCTTTCAAACTTGACTGCATCTATGGCAGACTGTGATTTATCTCTGGTGGATTGGAGCCAATTTTTAAAAATACGTGCTCTGGAAACAGAATGCAATGCAAAATGATCATATCGAGATTCGAGCTGAAGCTTCTTAGATTGGGTATCATTAAAAGCAGCTACCCATTGAATAAAAAATCGACTCATAAGATTTGGTAGAATAATATTCTCATTTAAGTATTGAACCTTGAACTTTGCACCGTATTGAAAGTTTTCCTCATACTTTTTTTGCCAAATGAGTAAGAACTGTTTCTTCAAAAAAAAGTTGTAAAAATCCAGCAGACTTAAAACTTCATCGGATGTTTTTACCATTTCGAAACTATATAAGTGCATTTTAGAGGACCATCTTTTTAAAAATGCTCTTTTAAACGAAAGATCTGCCGCAACATAATCTTCTTGCCTTTTCGAAATCGCTAAATTCCACTTAATGAAAGCTTGCTTGACCAATGTGAGCTCATTGAAAGTCACAGAGAATGCAACCATGTCATTCGCTTCGTCGAATCTTTTGAACCAAAGCTTTCGAAACTGTGACAAAGCTGAGAAACGTCTTTTGTTAATAAGAATTTTCAGTTTATGTGATATCAACCAGCGTTTAAAGAAGCACTCAACTATATGACGATCCGATAATTTTCGGGAAGAGTTAATGGATTTCTGATATGAAGATTGAATCTTCCAAATATGGAACGCTCTGGAAAGTACGTTACTTCTGAAAAACTTACTCGCCAAAAGTTTCGAACTTTTGAATTCATTCCAATCTCTGAAGGTTGCAAGTTTCAAGTTTCGATCTCTTTTATTAGTGAGTTTAGCTGCAGCCAGTTGTAGCCTTGATTTCTTGAGCCATTGGTCTTTAAATACAAATTCCAACAAAATTTTCGAGTTTTTGGACTCCACAGTCTGAACTTTTCTCCTTATTAAATGCTTTTGCTTCCATGCATAAAAATTTTTTTTCAAAAGAAACTGCTTTTCCAAATCTGATAGTACGAGTACCTTTTCATTCCAAGTAGTAACTGGCGAGGGACCCGAATTTAATGCAAAATTTGAGTTTACTTTCTTAAACCAGCGCTCAAATACAAGACTCACAAGGTTAACTACCGCTTTTTCCTCTAATTTATTATGCTTATCAACAGCTGTTTTTGTCAAACTAAGCTGGTAATTATAATTTTCTAGATATTTCTTAAAAGTATTTGCAAGCAATACCTTTTTATCAAAATCCAACGACATATCTTTAGTAGTATTCATATGTTTAAGCTTACGTTGCCAGATTTTCATGAACCTAATGAGAAATTTCATATCAGCAGAAGTATCATACTTTTTTAATCTGAAAGAACGTAATAACCACATTTTATTAAATGTCTTATGCAAAAGACCCATTTGATAATAGTTTGAGCTTTCCGACGCTAGGTTGTGAAATCTGCTTTTCTTGTTAAACCATTTTTTCAAATATTTTCTTTCAACAGACTGATGTGAATATGGGACCCAATACTGAAGTACAGAAAGCTCTAACTCGCTGATCTGAAGTGTTCTTATGTTCCATTTCTTAAGCACATTGCTCTTTATTAAATTTCTATGAGAAAATTCCAATAATGCTAACTTCATTAACGGAGTTAAATCAGACGAGTCTCTGAAGTCCTCATCTAAATATTGATGAAGCTGATATAGTTCAAGGACAGTCTGCTTAATATCAGAGCCCTCAGCTATGTGCTCCTCATTCTCAAAGTCAACAATACAGTTAACTAAAGATACAAGAGCATCAACATACCGTAAATCAATATCTTCACAAAGATCTGGAAGTTCGTCATAAACAAGACTCATATAATGCTTCATAATTGAAGGAAAACTTAAGTTGAAATTAAGATCAAATTCATTAAGCAAGGGAACTATATGACGCAAATTGAGCAGTAATTTATGTTGGTCTTCTTTTGAATAATAAGTAATACTAATATGATTAGAATTCAAGTAGTGTGATAGATTTGACGACGTAGCTGACTCAAAACGATGGGGACCATCCTGATGAGTTTTAATTGTTTGATTGACACCATGATCGTTTTCTTGTTTAATAATGGGAGAAAATGCGTCTTTTGTGATATTTGATTCATGTTCTTTGCTTAAATCAGGAAACGGAAAAACCTCATACAAGACCTTTTCACTAATAGCTTTATATTCTGGGGGTAATATGGTAAATCCATCTTTATTTACATCCCCAATAAAGAAATTATAAAAGTAGTTGAGCTTCAATTCCTTTAGCGTATAGCTGTTAAGTTCAATGGAAGTTATACTTCGGTGTTTCTTATAAAGGCTAATCATTACTCTGACGTATTTTATCAATTCTTGTCCTTCTAGGTTCTTTGAATTCAAAACTTGTAAAAATAATTGATATAACTTATTGAAGGCAGCGTCATTACTAATAAGGTTCAAGCGAGGTTTATCAGAGGAGGAAATATTGTGATTTTGGTTGCCAAAGCTAAAAATCGAATTATCCTCATCTTTTATCGGTGTAGACGATCTCACATCGTCCACTATGATATCCAAAAAATTTCTTATCCTTTCAGTATCTTGTTCACTCAAGTCCACATTCGACTCTAACTTATGCTTTATTTTAGTGAAATAGCTCCATTCATAGCGATAGCAATGGCGAATATAGCGGTTGAGCTGAGTCTCTGATTCGGTGTACAATCTTATGAAAAACTCAATTAAGTCAGATAATTTAAATAAAATAGCAGTGTAGGTGTCTTTGATCCTTGTTGGTTTTCTTTCATTAGTTAAGGCTTTGACCAATTGTTTTATGATAGTGGATCGGCTGTGTTCCTGCCCATCTCTATCATACGCGCGGAGGTAATCGAAAAGATTCAGCTTATCGAGCATGTCATCGTCTGATTCCTGCTCATTCAAATAGCATAAAAATGAGGCACGTCGTATTTCTTTCTGATTTTCATTTACTGAGAACTTAAGCTCTTCAAAAGATTTACCTTTCAAATCCAAAAGATCTAACAAACAATCAATCGTGCTTCTTAGAAGCGCTTCATAATCATCTTCCTTGAACAGCAGAAACGTATTCAAGAAATGCAAATTCTTCAACGATGTATGCAACAACTCATTCAACGGCGGTCTTGACATCTCTGTATCATTTTTATGTCCTTTTAAGTTGTTTTCAACATTTGTTATGATCTTTATTTCTTTAAAGATGCCTCAAAAGACGTAATGTATAGGATCTGATAGATACTCATTTTTTTATTTATATGCAAGCAAATAGGTTTTGTTTTCTCCTATATAAAACTGAATATTTTAATAGACTGAAAGTATACAAGACCTGGGGAGACTGTTATATAGTCGGTTAGTGGTTAATTTTGAGAGGAAGTTAAGTACAAGGCAGGCTTTATTTTGATATATCAAAAATAATAAGTGCCACTTTTTACATTGCATCCATATAGTGAGTTGAAAGACTTAGATCCTTCGGCTGCAGAAGAAAAGAGTTCGAAAACGCAGCCGAAGGGAGGATCAGGATATGGAAGAATAAATTCCAAACTCCCTAGTCATCCTTGGAATGAGAGAGGGATGAGACTCCATAGCGACTCAGCAGTTCGAGGGCCAGAGCAATACATACAAGATGGAAAGACGAGGGTAGCTTCAGACGGCCAAATATATTTCAAATCATACGATAATGGACAGTTGATACCGTTGGATAACCTTGATGGATCCGTCACATTCATGCCCCCGACTTTCGAGAAATTTCAAGAAGAAGTGCATTTTGAACCTCCAGAATCTGGTGAATCTACATTTATACTCTCCAATTCGCCTACTAAGTCACTTGCCGCGAGTTTGAGCTCGAATCCTATAGGTCTGATAATTGGCGAATATAACCTGAGTAAGACCTCCGTAAACTTACCAAAGAATGAGTGTCCCGAAGCCTTAGAGAGGCCATATGAATCAAATTTTACCAAAGTGCAAACGCTACATGAGGCAGATCAAAAGATAGATATATCAGGCAATGAATGGAGCACCAAATGTAGACCGAAATCACATTTGAGGAACGAATCAGGTTCGTCCACAATTTCAAATTCTTCTCTTTCTTCGGCATCTAATAATGTTAACGGGAACCACAGCAAAGATAAAAGGTTTGTCAGGTATGCTATGAACACGCAAACCATTGATTCCAAACCAAACAATAAATGGTGTATTTCGAATGTACTAATGTGGCTTGATGCCCATAACTTTAATGAATCATGGAAAGAAACTTTTAAGAGAAATGAAATATCAGGGAATCGATTCTTAGAACTAAGTAATTATGATAGTGATTCAATAGTATGGAAGCAGTTTGGAAGATTTCTAGTGACTGATAATGACATGAATTCCGTTGAAAGATTTTTATTTCTTATTAAAAAAGAGAATACTGAAGGCAATTCTAGGAATTCTGTAAATAATCAGAATTTCAACCATGAACCAAATCTATTCACAACAAATGTTTTGAAGTCAGAAAACAGAAAATCAACACCTATATTTAGCAAGCATAAGACGTCCTCGTCAAATGCATCTTCTAGCTCATCAGGCTCATTAAGTGTTGTCCAGAATAATAAACAACAGCAACAGCATCAACGTCCAATTTCTTATACTGATATGTCAGGATCCAAGGCTGTCACAAAAGATAATAATGTGTCACACAAAATATTCAGGAAACATGATCGCTCGTCATCTGAAACATTTACGGTGAAAGATTTCATGCCGTCTCCGAACTCAACTCCAATAATTAACAATAATGGTTTGCCTCGCCAGAAAGGTATACCTTACAGCTCATATGAAGAATCTATTGCAGATTCAAAGCGTAAAAGTAATCCTCAAAGCACCAAATACCTGAATCAGCAGAATGCAGCACCATTGAAGTACGAGCATAGAAAAAGTGGTCTATTCAGCAACTTGATTAAATATGGTGGCGATAAGGCAGCTGGTATTGTCAAACAAATACATACTTCGTCATCCACTAACCCTCCTAGAAAGAGTTCTGGAAGAATTTCGACCGCTTCCTCTTGGAGCGAGCCTTATCGAGATCGGCAAAGTATGAGTCAAGATGGTAAGTCTTCGAGTGAAGAGGTTGGAGTTCCTTATAAGACCAATATTAATTCTATTGCAACTGGAATAATTTCAAAAGAGCTTCAGTCTTCTATCTCTTTGAGGTCAACATCTTCTGGGACTCTGTTTGATGACGAGAAATTATCTCCAAATTCCCTGATACCTGCTCGAAGATTGGATTCATCTTCTGAGATCGCTTTGAACGCTCTCAATAGCATAAGCGATGATATAATTGATCAAAAATATGTTCCAAAAAGAAATGCCATGAATGTTGACTCTACATTGATCCTTGCAAGTCGGGATAGTAAACAGTTTGTTCTGATTTCAATTTTAGAACAACGCCTTCATGACATTGACTTCATTAAATCAAGAATTATTCAGGAACTTGATTTAGTCCAAGTAGGGTCATTTTCTTTTCATTTGACTGATTTTAATGGAGCTGAGGGAGAAGCTTTGCCTGATGATTTGTTTCACAAGATTTTAAAACATTCCAAAATTATCACAATTTTGGTTCGTCAGGAGCTCTCTTCACCAGCTGGTACAACTATGTCCACAGCTTCATCAGACTCAAAATCTTTTGAGTTAAGAGGTGATAACAACGAGGAAAAGGCATATCCTGCCACTCCACAGTATCTTTTGCAAGTCTCAAATGATAGCAATGTAGATTACTGGAATTTCAAAGATAACAGCCAGCCAGAACGTTTATCTAAAATAAATGAAGACATTCCGATAAAAAGTCTTGTTAAAGGACCGCAAAGAAAACCTCCTGCAGACTTAGTGATGAATGAATTACCTAATTATAGTGAAGGAGAACACACACCCTTAAACTTATCATTTCCATCTAATAAGAAAGGAAAAAAAGATGCCAAAAAGTATGATGAAGCTAAGGTATGGGATTCGAAAGTTGGTGCGACTCATCCTGACCATACTAATTGTTCTTTGCCTAAAAAGGGAAATGGTTTGGATGGTATTGTAAAAAAGGCTCTGCTAAGTTCAAGACCACGCTCACCATCTTCAACGCCTTTGAATAATATTCTGAAATCTTCATCGTTAAAAAGCGCGATCAATTCACATGGTGGTAATGACAAAGAGAGAGTACTAAGTATTGTCGCAAAGAGGGCAGCGCCTCCACCTCCGTTGAACAAAAAGCCAAGTTTAAAAGCAGATGTCGCAAGGAGAAGATCAAGCTCAAAAAGCGCATGTCTGCAGCACCAAGTGAATCCAAGTGACCTAAATTTACGTAGAAGAAGAAATTCGAGTTCTACTTCGAGGCCAATTACAAATGATAGTCCTGATGCTTTCAAAGAAAATGAAATCACATTCGATGAACGATTTGATGATTCAAGTTATGATTCAAATGTGAATGAGTCTGATGATGATTTTTTTGTGAAACCTTTAGAGATGAAGAAGGATGATGACAACGAATTAAAAGGTGACTTCTATTCAAATTCAGACGAAAGCGACTTTTTTGTTAAACCTCTTAGGGCTGAAAATGTCAAAAAATCGACGAAGGCATTACCTAGACCGATTAATAAAATGCAAGTTAGACCGCCAGTTGAAGAGGTTTACAACAATCTTGAAAAATATTTTCCAAATACTAATCTAGACAAGCCTATAATTGACGACTCTCCAATGTCACCTATTGTGGGATCGAATACAACACCAATTGAGCTAAGTAAAAGTTTTACAAGGAAGCCTTCTATAGCGAGAACATTTTCAAATGCTAATATTTCACCCATAAACCCTAGAGCAGACTCTGGAGACGAGATATTATATGGAGAAAATAATGGACCGAAATTGAGTCGCCGTAGAATGAAAACGATTAGAGTTGTTGCAAACGAAGCTCGACAAAAGCGTTTAGAGAGAAAGAGGAGGACTGAGTCAAACTCAGTTACCCCTGGATCCTCACTTAGTAATAGTGGTAATGCTTCAGGTATGGTAAGAGCTAATACCAAAATGTGGGGCCAAAGGGTTGTAGAAGTAACTTCGACAGAGATAGAAAAAGGTTTTGTTAGTAAGTTGAGAAATAAAAATAGGGATTTTGAAGAGTTTGCATGGATTAAAGGTGAATTAATTGGAAGAGGGTCATTCGGTGCGGTTTACTTAGGATTGAATGTAACGACGGGGGAAATGTTGGCTGTCAAACAAGTTGTGGTAGACCAAAATTTTGAACACCAGACTGAGGGAATTGATGCTTTACACAAGGAAGTTGAGACAATGAAAGACTTAGATCATGTTAACATAGTGCAATATTTAGGGTTCGAACAGAAGTGCAGCACTTATAGTTTATTCTTAGAATATGTGGCTGGTGGATCAATTGCCTCATTGATGAAGTCATTTGGTAAGTTCGAAGAACCACTAATTAAGTTTATTACAAGACAGGTATTATCAGGATTAGAGTATTTACATTCTAACGGAATTTTGCACAGGGATCTTAAAGCTGATAACCTTTTACTCGAAGTGGATGGTACTTGCAAGATCTCAGATTTTGGAATATCTAAAAAATCACAAGATATTTATGCCAATAATGCAGAAATGTCAATGCAAGGCACTGTGTTCTGGATGGCACCTGAAGTAATTGATAGCATTGTTGAAGACAAAAAACAAGGGTATAGTGCAAAGATAGATATCTGGTCTCTTGGATGTGTTGTGTTGGAAATGTTTGCTGGTAAACGTCCTTGGTCAAATGAAGCGGTTGTCAGTGCAATATACAAAATTGGTAAGACAAAATTAGCTCCTCCAATTCCTGAAGATATAGACCATTTGATTAGTGATGATGCGAAAGACTTCATCAAAAAATGCTTCACAATCAATCCTCAAGAACGGCCAACAGCCAAACAATTACTTGACCACCCATTCATGACGGTCGATCCTACGTTTGTGTTCGAGGAGTCTAGGTTATCTCAAACTACCAAAGGCAACTCAAGAAAGAGTATGACACTAGATTAAAATATATACAATAGGTACGCTTGCTATTTACTTGAGATTCTATACTACTATGTACCAATAATGAATGCATGTGAGAACAATAGATACGAATTCTATAGATATCCCTGTTATCATTTGAGCCTAAGCTCACTGATTCGTAAAATTGTCTGGAAGTTTTGCACTGGGAATGTCTTCTTTCTTCTGCATCTCTGTTTCTTACGATAAACCTCGTAATATGGCTCCCTTGTGATCTCCACAACATTTGCGTTAATTTCATATAACTCATCTGAAATCCCATTTTCATCGTTGTACGTTATTTCGGGCGACCCCAAAGTTGTGATTTGCTTCAATACCAACAGGTCACCCACTTCAACATTCTTAAGTTTGTAGGGTAATACCACTTTGTCTCCCTTACTAACTAAAAATGGAATATTATGGAGCTTGAAGACAGCATACAAATCTTTCGAACCGTTAGAATCCAACTTCATAGCGGTCAAATCTGGAAACGTCGTTTGTTTCACCGGGGTCGATGAACCATTTTGCGTACTTCCTATTGTTTTCCTTACTACCGTCTGACTCATCCCACGTAAGAGTGGAATGTTAGGAGTTGCTAACCTCCTGTTAAGAATTTGTAACCTTCCTGCCATACAACGAAGCATGTTAGTTTCTATTTATGATATCTGAATTGGTGTTCGGCTTTGTCAGTTAAAAAAAATTGTTGAAAACTGCCCTGTTGAGCACTTTGTGTAACTAATGAAGGCAACGATCTTTTTGGCGATAATTTGGGTAGAGCTAAACAAAAGTTTTCTGGCTATTGTTGCTAATTCATCAATTAATCAAACAGTTTAACCTTGATAGAGCCCAGCTGACATAGGCCAGACGTAAAGAGTTGATACAGTGGCAGCTTGTTGCGGAAACAGCAAAAATCTTGACGCATTCACTCATTTAGGACAATATTTAAGAGAAAAATTTTAAATGTCGGGTTCCTTCTGGAAGTTCAGTAATGGGTTCACTTCCCTATCAAATATATCTACTTTGTTAGAGAACTACTCCACAAAGAGTGATAGGGAGGCGCTGCCGAGAGCCAGAGGATTCGACGTACTCTTGAAATTGTTGGATGAGAATGATCTATTACAGGAGTTGTTATCGAACAACTCCATGTTGTTGGAGTTTTTGCGAGATAATGATATATTAGGCATGTTAGTGGACTTGGTGATTCAAGATGGAGTAATAGATGATGAGCTTAGCATGGAGTTGTCGACGCTACAACTAAAGGAGAAGGAGGGACAAGACGCGGAACTTACCGAAGAGACTGACGGCGATAATAGCAAGCGACTGGGAAAGTCAAAACACTCATCAAAAGAAGACGAGAAGGAAGAACAGGATGTCGAAGGAGAGGATAAGGACAAAGAACAGAATTTCGATGATGAAAACGACGACGATGAAGAAGAAGAGGAAGAAGACGAAGATCATGAAGAAGAAGAACAAGACGACGAAGAAGAGTTTGAGGAAGAAAGGGCTACTAGGCGAGCTACTTTGGCTGCTGAAATACTCAGTGCTGATGTATGGTCCTTGACGGATACGGTCATGGATTCTACTCAGAACTTGAATCGACTTTGGTCGATCCTAGACTCCAAGGCACCTCTTTCGTTGAGTCTTTCGACGTATTTCATGAAAATTATGGAGCATTTGCTAGACATGAAATGTGATGAGATGATCAACTATCTTGTTGATAATCAGCCAAACTTGGTTGAAAAGTTTATGAACCATTTATCAAACCCTCCTTTAATGGATTTCCTATTAAAACTAATTTCTACTGATAAACCAGACAACTCAACTGGCATAATAGACTTTTTACAGAAACAGAATTTAATTCCTCTTTTGATTGATGCTTTGGATACTTCTGAGAGAACCGATGAGGACCCAGAGATACTATTAGTTCAGCAATCATCTGCTGCTGATTTCTTAAAGGCACTCATTACTATTTCGGCAAATTCAACGACTGACAACTCAACAATTGGACCAAATGAATTGACCAGAGAATTAGTTTCTTATGAAGAAATTGATCGTCTATGTAACATAATGTTAAAAGGAGGCTATGCATTAGCAAACGGTGTTGGGATAATTATAGAAATCATTAGAAAGAATAACTCTGATTATGACATTTTACCTGTGCTTTATATAACATTAGAGAGTCATCCTCCAACAAGCAGAGATCCTATTTACTTGGGCCATTTATTAAAGGTGTTCGGGTCTAAGATTGATAAGTTTGCAAGTCTCTTGACTAAAAAGAGAGATGGTGAGAAATTGAAAACACCATTTGGAGAGATTGAACCTTTGGGTTTTGAAAGGTTTAAAATTTGTGAGTTGATCGCCGAATTGCTTCATTGTTCTAACATGGCTCTTTTAAACGATAACAAGGGCTTTGACGTTGTTAAGGAAAGAGACGAGCTAAGAAATAAGATGAAAGAATTCGATCCGATTAGTTTCAAATATAATGAAGTAATCACATTACCTGGTGATGAGAACAAAAGAGACGACAATTATGCGAATGATACAATTGATTCCTTCAATGCAAACTTACAGGAAGATGAAGAAGACTCATTGATTCAAAATAACCAAAATATTGATGAAGATGAACCTCATGCTAATGCTAACTTAACTGAAGAGCAGATTAGATCACAGCCAGTGATTGGGGATTTTTTGAAGATTGCGTTATATGATACTCAAATAATTTCGACAATCTCTTCAATGTTTTATAAATTTCCTTGGAATAACTTTTTACACAATGTTGTGTTTGACATTGTTCAACAAGTTTTGAATGGATCAATTGATATTGGCTTCAATAAGTTTTTAGCTATCGATATATTTCATCTGGGTGATATAACAAACAAGATCATAGCAGGTCAAGAAATGTGCAATGAATACGAAAAAGCTCATAATGGATTGAGGTTGGGATATATGGGTCACTTGACTTTAATTGCCGAGGAAGTAGTTAAGTTTATTCAAATTTATCCAACCAACACGTTGAGTGAATTAATCGATCAAAAAGTTCAGGAAGAATCTTGGCAGGATTATGTAAATCATATCTTGTATGATACGAGAGAGAAATATAATGCCATCTTGGGCGGAGGAGAGGAAGATGAAGATGAAATGTCGAATACATTTGATGAAGGAACAGGAGAAATAATTGATGAGGCCGAATTTAGTTCGGGCCTAAACCTCGATCCTAGTGTCGATCATGATATTACTGGAAGTGGTTTTGATGAAAGCATGCCAGGAGCTTCCAATGATTCTGATGAGGATGGTGATGGTGAAGCAGATGAAAATGATGAAAATCAAAGAGAAGGCGAAGCTCTGAATCGATTTAGTTCCAGCGACGAATCCGAGTCAGAAGATGACGATGACCATTTTAGTAATTACATGTCTCAGCAACTTACGAATACTGCTTCCACGGAAATCGTGTCAAGCGTAGAATCACCAAATGAGGACGATTTAGGAAGAAATGCACATTTACCTTCTTTTACTTCTAGAGGTCATAATAATCATAATGATGACAATAGCATTAATTTTAATGATGACGACGGCGATTATGACGAATATATTGATCCTAATGATGATGGGTTATCTTACAAAAAATCTAACCCTTTATATGACTCCAAGGGTTCTTTAATTAACATCGATGACGAAATTTCAAGCGGAGGTTCGAGCTCAAGTTCGGATGATGACGATGAGCTTAGAATCGATGACGAGAATGACGAAATAAATAAGATCACTTCCAATAATAGACTAACCAGATCTGCAAGCAAGAGCGAATAGCAATGAAATGCAGAATAATTTTATCTTTTCATCTACTATTATCATTGTGCCTTATTCAGTCCGTTAAGTTACATTTTATAGCAGTTCCATCAAACATTCTTATAAATAAGTAAAAAGAAAAAAAAATCCGGAATGGCTTTTAATATACAGCTACCTATAATTTAAAGGTTAAATAATTATTCATGCTACTTCTGCTACGCTTTTCCTGCCTTCTCGTTGTAAAGGTGGCACTTCTGAAAGAGGTTGCACTTCAGATATCGTGAAATCAGCTGGAATCGAATCATTATTCTTTGTAGGGACACCTCCAATTAAACCCTTACTCATAGCCAATCCACTAGATCTCTCTATAGCTCCACCATCATAAAATTCGTCTTCAATTGGGTGCATCAACACGGTATTGCTTTGGGTGATAGTTAAAACCGTATTTGTAGGAACGCATATCCAGTCTCCTCTTTCGAAAGTCAAAGGCTCACTGGCGACGAATATTACATCCTGAGATCTGTTCATTCTTTCCATTTTAAACAAGCCAGGCTTATATTCGAAGAACTTTGAGCCAGCACTAAAATATAGGGATGCAGCTTCATCTGTTTTAGAAGTAATATAGCGACTAACAACAACTGATTCCCCATCAGTCACAGCAAAATTCATTAAAGAAGGCTCATCGCTAAGTTCTTTTTGCCAAGTCTTAAGAAGCTCTATAGTGACCAATAATGCCTCTTTTATAATATGATGAGTGAACTTAACGGATTCATCTTCTGGATCATATCCCTTCTTATATAGAGTGTTTAAAAATAATGCAAAACAGCACTCAGAGTCCGTTGAACCTTCAAGCATCAAAAAAAACTTATCTTCTAGACTATTAATCAACTTTTTCTTCATCTTTCCAAATGCTGAGATCCCACCATTATGCATAAACATCAATCTTCCGTATGAAAATGGATGACAATTTGATTCTGACAACACACCTTGGGTTGATGCACGGACATGCCCAAAGACAAGTCTTGACTCAGTGCATTTTGACAAATTATTTAAATTTACGTTGTTCCATGCTGGTGTAATTGCTCTGAATATACCGGGACTATCATAGGAAGAATAATAGCCCACCCCGAAACCATCTCCGTTAATGGGGTTTCTCATATCAAGCCTTAGCCTTGAATCAAATGACTGATTAATAATAGAATGCGCTGGCTTTGTAAGCAAATCAGAAAGCACCATGCTTTCACGGCCCTTGTAGATCATGAACCGACACATCTTTATAAAATGCAGAGATATATCTGGAGGATCCAGCCACGTTAAAAGAGACTATTAATAGTAAATACTAAATCATCATTAGTTCCTTACAATGTCGCAAATATAATAATGTCGCGAAATTGCGACAATGGGGCAACCTTTATCAAGCGGGATGCTTCGGCCCAGACCCTTAGTTGTTATATTGCTTTTACCTAGAATTTAGTGTTGAAAAGCTTGAACTTTCATCATCTTAATTGATAAAAATAATGTCTCTCTTCAGAAGCTTGCAGAATTCGCCGGCTACCATTTCAATCTTTCATAATGGCAAACTCCCGGCTTCTGCAAAGATATATAAACTTCTTGATAATGCATATTTTAAGTTGAATGACAAGAAGAACAAATTTCAAATCGACTTGATGCAAGACAAAATGCCAACATATGACCAATATGTCTTATTATCTCAAAAGTTCTTGAAGGACAAGGCAAGCAAAGACACTTTAAAGCAATGCTACCCTTTGTTCAGTGACAGGAAAACTTCTGGCCCTGATGATGTAATTATTAAAGGTGTTCAGCCATCTAGTGGCCTAAAAGTGTTTAACGAAGGTGAATACAGCATGATATATGATGCCTTCAACACATTGATAACAAAAGACGACGCTGATATTAAGGCCGAAGACATATTTCGTCCACCTTTAGTTGTTGATTGGGATCAAAATCTCCTTGCCAATGATGAAAAAGGGTTAAATCATATCCTTGAAAAGTATCAAGACTAGCACTAGATCTACGTAAATTTGTATATAATTATATGAACCGTAACTTATGATGAGGTGATGTCCCTGCAGCAAGTTTTTTTTTTTTTTTCTTTGTACCCCAGAGTATACGTACGCTCCAATCTTTCTAATCTAATTTGTATTGAGTATCTTTATTCATATTTGTTCAACTATCGTACCTCAGATTCTCCCCAACTATCCTTCAAATGAACAAAATCACCAAATACTATCTAGTTCTGTACAATGCCCTTTCAGTGGTGCTTTGGTTTATTATTTTGGTTCAGACTATAGCAAACTTCAAGTTTCATGAGAGCCCCTTAGACAAATTGACAGAAGCAATTAAAGCATATTCTAAAAATGGCTTTCCTCACAAGTTTTTGTTCTATGTACAGATACTCAATGCTGTGGTAGAGGTAATGAATGCATATATAGGGCTCGTCAAATCCCCGTTCGCTACTTTATACTTGCAGTTCTCGGCAAGACTTTTAATTGTGGTAGGGGTAAGCTACGTTCTCCCTGACAGTCCAGGGAACTACCATATTTCTTATTCAGGGTTGTCTCTTGCGTGGTCACTTACCGAAGTTATCAGATATGGGTTTTACATTGCAAAACTTTTAAACCACGTTCCTTATCCTTTAATGTGGTTACGCTACTCAGCTTTCTTAGTCCTCTATCCTGTTGGACTTGTGTGTGAAGCTTCCGTTGTTTACCTTTCATTGAGCCTGGCGAAATTTGCTTCTCTTGGTAACCTTGGCTACTTTTACTTCCTTGTATTTGCCTTACTTATGTATGTTCCTGGCTTTCTTATATTATATTCCTACATGTTGAAGCAGAGGTCTAAAGTTTTACCCAAAGCAACAAGAAAAAAAGTTGAGTAAAGTCACTAGAGAAATAAAGACAAAATCAAATTAACAATATGTTAGATCCGTTATTTTATGAATAAAGCTATTCTCTATGGTAGGAAACGATATATATATGTATAGAGCATCTAATGAGATTCGGTCCATCACCCATCAAACCGGAATGACGGTGAGAACCGGAATGTAGAATATTGAATCATAAGACTATCAAAGTTTTTGTTGAGTTTTTACACATTAATACTATACTCAACTCAATTCGCCATGTCTGCTAGTGAAAGTCATCCTAAGAAATGGTTGATCGCTTATAATTCAATATCATCTTCATTATGGTCTATTATTTTATTTAATACCGTTTTTTTGGGCACCTTTTTGGGCCAACCGATACTCTTCGACAAGACTAACAAGATACTTACTATAGTTCAGACGTGTGCTGTAGTTGAAATCTTCAATGCTGCATTTGGATACGTGAGATCACCGTTGTTTACTACTATTGTACAGGTATTTTCAAGGTTGCTAATTGTGTATGGAATTTGCCAATTTTTGCCTGATTCACCGGCGAATTCTCATTGGTGCTATATAACCTTGGGCTTGAGCTGGTCAATTACTGAAATAATCAGGTATTCTTATTATGCGTTGAGCTTAACTGGTCCAGGAAAGGTACCTCATTATTTGACATGGGCTAGATACTCATTCTTTTTGGTGTTATACCCCACAGGTGTAAGTTCTGAGTTGCTTATGATATACTTATCATTGGACGAAGCAACATCCAAAGTTGGAGCATGGTATTCTTTGCTTTTGAAAATTATTATGGCAACGTATATCCCAGGTTTCTATATGTTATATACTTATATGCTTAAACAGAGGAAGAAGATTTTGGGTAAGAAAGTTGAGCCATCTTCTACCAAGAAAACTGATTAAGTATTGAATAGCTATTTACATCCACACTCAAGGGTTTGAATCTTTTATGTTCTCAATCCATGTTAGCATCTCTTCAAGGTAGTCAAGAATGGTGTCCTTTTCCAAAAATTCAAACTTTTCAACTTGTTTCTTTTGGGTTGTATATCCAAAGAGTGTAGAGAATGAATACAGACTCTTCTTTGTATTTGCAGCTTTATTTTGTTCAACAATCATTTTCAACTGGCTTCTTATGAAGATTGAATCATGTTTGAAAATCAATTTGGTCAATATCTTCATAACTAAATAGTTCGTAGCATATTGATACCACCTTAAGTTCCAACTTACCAATTTAATTAATTGTAAAAGCATAAAATCGAGTGTCAAAAAATCATTTTCTAAAGAACTTACGAACTCAGTGTATGCTTGTCCAGTCAGCTGTAATGCAAGCTTTGTAGCATAAAATTTATTATCATATACGTCGTGATAGACATCCAAATGAGAGCCACTTACGTCACTCAACACGAACTCATCATAAATTTCAAGCAATTGCACAGTTCCAAAATAATCAAAAAGGCCCTCCATAGATTTTCCCATCACACTCGTAATTAATGAGCCAATGGATTCTTTAATCCCATATTTTACGTTCCAGCCGAGTAAGCCTAACATTTCCCACTCAAGAGCACTGTGTTGCTGATTTTCCCTGGAGCGTATTGTCATAATTACCCTCAAATCCTCATATAATATTAAGAACAATTGATCTAGCCATGGATCACATGAAGCTGTTTGAAGTGAGCTTGAGTCATTGTTAACGACGTATGCTTGATTTGAACTTGAATTGGATTCCTTTCCACTAAATGAAGACTCTTTAATACGAACTAATTCGTCCCAGCCTACTTGTGCAATAATTAATGATAAAAGATCATAGCATCTTCCCCATGTCGATTTGTAATTAATATCAAGAATTGAAGTAGAAGGTGTCCCTGCGGAATGTGAAGCTAACAAATTCTTTGCAGACGACGGTCCACATATTCTGATTAGCATAGGATCGACGGATGATAATTCTTTTCCTGAACAATTTATCAAAGGCGATTGATAGAAGTGATAACCATTGATTGGATGCCTCAAATTTTGATTGAACAATAACATATCATGCCACATTTTTGTTATCGAGCCCATTTCAACCTCAACTGGCGGAGCAGGGCTGGTCCTATACCTCTGATAGATCTTTGAATTAACTCTTGGTGGAGGAAAAAAAGAATTTAGTAAATTTTCATTGATGGTCTCATCTGGTAAATTTAATCTATGACTAAATGTTCGACTGTACCAATCAGTTATGCCCGATATTGTATCGATATCATTGTTTTTTTGCTTATGTGATAAGACAACAGGGATGTGGTTCATCACTAATAGTGCTTTTCTATAATCGCCAACTAGAACGTAACATAATGCTAAATAGTACCAACTGTCAAAGTCTAAAGATAATATTTGAACGCATTTCTTTGCCACGAGTAGAGCTTTATCATAACTCGATTTTGATATGAGGTACTTAACTTGTTCAGATAACAACAAGGACAGCTGAGTGGTATAAATATTAGATTTCAAATGCTTATGGATTAGATTTAAGAAATCTTGCTCTCTATTGATTCCAGCTTGAATTTTCATTATTAACACTATGACGTAGTCCCACTGTTTCGCATCTTCCTTCTGATAATACTTGTTCTTGATAGCATCAATAGCGAAATTGCCTATGTCACCATTTGGATCTAGGTAGCACAACCTAAGAAGAGAGTCCACAAGATAATTCCTATAGTCGGTTGACTTGGAATCATTTTTTGTACCGCTAGCGACAGAAGAACCAAAAGATGGCCTAGTACCAGCTCTGGTACCTCTTGGTAATAAATTGACTAAGGTTATTATAGCATTTAAAATCGTATTCCTCGTCTCTGTGATACCTGGAAGACTAACAAGAGCGGTTAACAGCCTCGAAGGATCATCTAACTGAATAAATAACCTGATGATTTCCGAAGCCTTCAATTCTTCCCAATAGCTTCGTGGTATCTTGGAAACTGAATCTGCGTTGTATGAAGCATTCTTACGATTCCTATCGTAAGTTCCACTAGAGAAATACACGATTTGGTATGACATGTCTATGTGGGCTGCAACCTTCTTTGTCGAACCACTAAGATTTATGACATACCTCACTCTAAAATCAGATTTATCAAAGAGATTATAAGAGCAAAATGTCACTATCATTTCTTTCCTTGAACTAGCAAATGATTCATTCGTTGGATTTTTCTTAAAGTAGTAATCACCATTTTCCTTTTCTATTCCCAATGCTCCTAGGATGTAATTCTCGATGTCTCGCTCAAAGGATTCATACTTCAAGCCATTGACATAGTGATAATACCCAACATAGCCCTCATCGTCCCTCTTATCCTCACGACTAGCTCTCTCGACAACAAATTCGTTATGCAAGTAATGATTTGACCTCATCCCATAATATTTGCCCCAATGTACCAAATTAGGGGGTCCAATCGTTGATTCCGTTATCAATTCCTCCAATAAACTAGCCCTAGCCCCTATGCATTGCCCATACTTTTGTTCTCGAATGAAGGGAACCGTTAATGGCCCCTTTGAATATGAGGCATCATGAACTCCCAAGTCAATTGTTGATGACTTTGCGGACGCTGAAGCTATGCTATTATGATTCAGATTGCTCAATGACATCTTAATACCTTTGAAGATGTAATCTGAACACTAATAATGATATCTTCAGGCTCCTTTACTCTATTCTAAATCGTTTTAAAGTGTTCGGTTAACTTCGTCTTCGGTAAATTATGAGTTCAATTTTTCACTTCGAATATCCTTCTACAGTATAAAAATTATTATGGAAAATTATATTTCAATTATTTACGGCGAAGGCTCAATGCTATCGGGCCCAACTTCATTAGCAGCCTTCAAAGCTTGTAACGTATTAAGATAATCAGCAAGCTCAGTCATTATATCGTAAATTGGATTCACTGAGCAAAAGTCAATACGACCATGATTGCCTTGGAGGATCCCCATCTGTTGTCGAATGTACAAATTGGTTACACAATTTTCAATTCTTGTAGTAACATGATTAAGGAGTGCTATGAAATCCTTTTCTTTATAGGCATAGTTAAGATGTTGGGTTATGACATCCAGAGGTTGAGTCTCAAAGGTGTCTTTAAGTCCTCCACTTAATCTCGAGCAAATATTTTCCAACAGTAAAGAAACGTCACGCAAGTTGTAAATGGCATTAACTGGCAATGTGCCGATAACTCTGGTACTTCCAGCTTGTGAATCTTCATTTTTGAAGCTCTTTTGAAAGATTTCAAATCTCATCTCCAACTTCTTTGGATAAACAAGAGTAATCAGCTCAGGAGTTTCAAGACCCTTTAATTTTTTCTCACCGATATCGAAATAGGAACATCCTATTTCTTCTAGAGCATTAATTTCTTTCTCAATGATTTCACCGGCCCTGACATTGCCTTCATACGCTTCACTTAAAGTGGCCCTTTTATCCACTATAGACTCATGGATTTTATACAATGACTTCATTTCATCCAAGAAATCAGAGCTAACACAGATTTGACCTCCATCAGCAACAGCATTTATTCTCGCAGCTCTATTCACCATGGGTCCAAAATAATCCATCCTACCTGTCACGATATCAGGTTCACATACCGGTGCACCCCAATGAATTCCCATACGGACAGAAAGGCCTCTGAAGATAATGTTTCCATACTCATCAGTGATTTCACAGCAGTGATCCGTTTCCAATATCTCTGCTGGCCAGTCTGCTGCCATTAATTTCTGTTGAACATTGAAACACCAAAGAAGGGCAGAAGTCGGAGAAGAAAACGAAACCATAAAGGCATCACCTTCCGTCTTGACTTCATAACCACCAACAATTCTTAATTGACGACGCATAATTGAATTATGAATCTTTATGGCTGATCTCATAGGTACCGGATAGGTATCCCACAACAATGTGGAGTTTTTGATATCTGTGAAAACTAATGCCAATTCTCCAACAGGGGGGTCGATTTCTTCCTCTAACCTTCTCAAGTTAGAATCACCTGGCTGAATCTTGTCACGTCTTTTCCTAGAAGCAAATATTTCACTTTCTCTTCCTAGGTTGTTGTAAAGAGCATTTGAACCAAATTTTTTGGATTTTTGTTCTCCCAATGTTAAAACAAGAACTGCAACCTTATCATTGGCACCGTAACATATAGCATAATCTCTCAACTTTTGAGCAGCAATCATTGGATCGTCCTTTTCTTGCCTTAATATATCATCAGCCAATTCATAAGATATTTGATTCCACAATACATTCGTAGCTACGACTATCATGTCATCTACATTAGCCAAGGCTATTTCCTTTATATCGGGACCTGAATGGGTATGTGGTAAAAAGTTGAAGAATCCGGCTCCTCGAGATATTGATAACATACCATCCAAGGCCCCATCACCCGAAACATAACCTCCAGCCGCTTTTATTCTTTCAAATTCAGATCTCTGAGTTGGGTCATGTTTTGATGTCAATAGAACATATTCACCATTACTCTTCGATAATAGGGCTTCTGTGTCACCGATATTTGCCACATAAAGCTTCTTACCGCAAATATACACCATGGTGATAGAACATCCAGGATTAGAATCTTCTGTAAAGCTCAAGTCAAGTATATCGCCAGAAGCTTGTGGGTTTGGAGTAAAGCCACCACTTTTCTTTGCTGATAAGATCCCATTTACCTCTCTGTTTAAAGACAAGAAAGTCCTTCTTATCGCATCTTGCACCTGCTCTTCAGGCTTTAGTTTGTTCAACTCATTAGTGAAATTTGGAACAAAGATTTGCCTAGCCAATTGAGCTATCCTATGTCCTTGATTGGGAACACCATTTCTGCCGTCAAAAGTGCATAAGAGGACTTCGTTTTCATTTCCTCTGAACTTTTGGATAAAAACATCACGGTTAGAGACGTTTTCTCTCACACCCATCGAGTCAGAAACTCCATAACCGACATTTGGTAATTCTGATGACGTAGTTCGTATCCGCAAGTCCACACTTTGATCTGGAACGGCAGTAGTCGTCAAGGTCACATCTATGAGGCCCAAGACTTTAAGGTCCTTCAAAACTAGTAAGCTATCAAAGAATTCCCCAGTCTCTGGGTTCTTGATATGACTTTGCTTGATTTCGAATCTTTTATTACCTGAAAAATTCAAATACTTTAGATTCTTATTCCAATACCAATTCCAATCGTATGGCCAGTTAGAAATATTATACTTAAGTTGATTAGAACCAACATCCAAATGCTCCAAATCAGAAAGCTTACTCAATTCCGCAGGCAAAGAGACCAACTTATTATTATTGAGAAACAATAATTTAAGAACTTTCAAAGCCTCTAAATCATCAGCAGGCAAAGTTGTCAACTCATTACCAGACATGTATAGCTCAGTTAATTTTGTTAATCTTCTGAAGGCTCCTTCAGAAATCTCAACAATGTCATTGTAGGACAAATTCAAATACTTTAATTCCAGCAAGAATGAAATTGAGTCAAAGCAATCATCAGTTAACCTATTGTCTGCCAAAGTTAAGACTAATAAGCTATCAGCCATCGAAAACGTTGTACTAGGAAATTGGATAGATGAAGTATTAGGGTTAGTATCATCCATGTCCGTGCCATGCGACTTCGGAGATTGCAGATTGTCTACGAATACCGATGGCCTTCTTGATTGATCGGGAGTAGCATTAGGGGTCAGTCTGGCACTTGAGAAAAAGCTTCTGAAGTTTGCTGATGAAGATATTCTTTTCGCAACAGAAAGCGGAGGCTTGGGGAGTCCAGAAAGGATGTTTGATGATACATTCAAGACGGATAAAGACTTCAAGTTCCATATATCATCAGGTAACACCTGCAAATTATTTGAATGTAGATCTAAATATTGCAAGGAAGTCAATTGCCCAATAGTTGATGGTAACAATTGTAAGTTGTTACCATAAATAGACAAGAAGGTAAGTTTGCTTAGGTAACCTAACTCATTTGGTAAGCTGACAATATGATTCTTATCCAAAATCAATTTTTCAATATTATTGATTCGGGAAATAAAGTCTGAAGGAAGAGAAGTTATTTTTGCTTTTGATAGATCTAGGACTGTCAAGACAGGCATTAAGTTTTCAAATTTGAAGTTAGTGATCGGATTTCTGTCAAAGTTAAGAAGCCTTAAACTTTCCATTTTATCACTAAAGGTGAATATATTATTCTTCGATGCGTGAACAATTTCAAGATTCGGTAAAGATTCAAGCACATCTACTGATGATAAAGAGTTATAGCGAATGTCTAACCTTTGCAAAGAAGTCAACTTCGAAAAGCAAGATGGTAAGGATTTGGAGAGCTTGTTGGTACATAAATTCAACTTTCGCAAATTAACCAACTTACCCATTGATTCAGGTATGGATGATAGATTGTTGTAGGATAAATTAAGGTCCTCTAAATTCACGAGCTCGCTTATTTGTTCTGGAAAGTTTCTAAAATAATTAGTTGAAAGATTTAAAGACACCAAATTGACAAGTTTACCAAATGATTTAGGTAACGTAGAAAGTTGATTCGAGTTCAACTTCAAATGGGTAAGATTCTCCAAATAATTTATTTTGGACGGTAACTCGTCCAAGAAGTTTATTTCCATGTCAAGATTAGTGAGCTTCTTTGCTTCCAAGAAATTTATAGGAAATTTAGAGCACCCATTATTCGAGAAAATAAGGGTATTCAAGTTGGTTGAGGACTGAATAAAATCCAAAGGAATATAAATGGAAGGGTTATTTGCAACATTCAATTTCTCTATTTCATAAGTGTGTTGATGAAATATGATTGGAATAGTTTTCAAGTCAAGTCCAGAAATATTGACATCAACATAATCTTTCGAAAGCATTGCCTCTTCTTCATGTGTCAAGTTTCTCAAGTGAATGTTTTGCATGACAAACTTGCAAATAAAGGACAAATCTTCTCGCCCAATGATACTTAAATTATCTTTGGACAGGTAACCACTAAGTAGAAGTAAACCCATTTGGATTCTAAGAGGTCTCTCAAAAGGCTCCAAGACTTTGACAAAGTTTCCAATGTGTACAGTAATCTGATAATTATTAATAGAATCAAGAAAAAACTTTCTTTGTACGATTCTTAAAAGTTCAGCAGTCGATGTATCAAGAGGGCAAAGCACAGTAGTGAACGTGTTGTCTTCTTTGAAGACTCTTACAATGTGGTTTGGTCCTTTCGCTTTCACTTCTTGCTTTATGTTATCGAAGGCCCTAGATCCGAATAAGATTGGTAAGTTATATTTCTGTCTCACACCGCCAGAAAGGTCGGATGTTGCTGATTTATGCCTCGTGTGATCGTCAGAAGCCTCATTTGTTACATCACTAGTATCGGTGATTTCACTACTCTTCTCGTCGTCAGAATCGGATTCGGACGCTGACAGTCCTTCAAACTTTTTAGCGTTCAAATTATCAAACTTGACGTCCCAACTATCTGGCGCTTTCCACGCGGACTTATCTTGATTCTGCGAAGTTGCAAGCGAATTTGTTGATCTCTTTGCGGTATATTTCGGAGGCTTATCATCCTGTGTATTTACTGACGATCGTCTTGAAGATGTTGAAGGTCGCCTATAAGCGTCAGGAGATTTTACAATTCCTTGCATTTCCTCTGGGTCCATATAGAGACTAAATGATCGAGATGACTTATTAAATGGGTCTTCCTCTGTAGATTTAGTGGCCACAGACTCATCTTTCGAATTTTGCAGAGTCACATCGGCTGTTTCAGAATCTTCATTATGAACACTATCCGAGTATATGGAAGGCATTTTAAACCTATGACGAGTTAAGGATTTTCCTTGAGAGCTCTTTCTCTTCGCTACGTGAGCTGGCTTATTCGATTCTGCACTGCTAGGAACATCAACACCACTTTCTCGGCTTGCATTACTCCCAGGAGTATTGAGTTGCAATGGCGCATCACCTCTACTCGAATATATCAATTTTCCAAGAAGAGATCCACTCTTCATCTTCATTTTTGGGCGTATTGGGTTCGCTAACGCAGATATTTTTGGTGCATGTGCATGTGCATGATGATGGTGATGGTGAAGATTAGGTGGGAGCTGATCCGATGGATTAGGTGGTCGCTGTTGGGATTCAGAGGAGCCACCTCCTAATGCTACCACAGATGTTCGAGGACTGTATCCCTCGGAGTAACCCACAGAATGCTTCTTAGGAGGTCGATCCAGCGCTTCCTCCTGTGAATAATTGGGTGTAAAGGGGCTATTTTCCTTCTTGTTCGAATTCTGTGAACTTAACGATGCCAGACGCAGCAATTCAGTTTTTTCATCTCCTGACTCTGTATTCCTGTTCGCCGTTTCACTTTGTTTGGCTGCCTGGTTCTTAGGCTTCTCTCTCTTTAAAAAGCTCATACTTGCAATTTTGAATTATTCACCTTGAGAGAATTAAACAAAGACAACGAATCTATCATCAATTAGTGAGCTTACTGCTCTATCTCATATGACAATATGTATTGGTAGAGGTGCCAGGTTCAGCTGTTCGTTCTATCAAATTTTCAAGAGGAGAGTGATAACGATATATTTGCTGGTTGTTGAATTAGTATTTTTAATTCTCGGGAACGGTGAATAATTTTTTAGCGTGTAAAATTTTGCATCAATAGAGGATAAGCAGGCACAAACAAAAAGAGGATGGAACAAGGAAAAAGCGAGAGCAATGTATTAGAGAGGGTACGATTTAAAGCTAAGACTAAACAATGGCCCCTTATATAGAGATTTAAGGGACGAGGACTCATGTAGCATCAGTTGTGCTTGAATATGAACTACTCGTTAGCGCACTCTTTGGCTCTGTTGGTCAGAATTTGAAATCTCTATAGCACAATTGGCCACCCCTCGGTCACTTGAGCAGGCTGAAACTCCAGTTACGCCTTACGGGGAATGCCAATGCATGTTTCTGTACTTTAATGCTAGCCCGCTTTCCGGTATTCGATTCATGATTCTAAAATAGTAAGCACTGTACATGTTAATTGTGCATGTGCTGTTTAGACAGCTTAACTGTTCAAATGGTTCAATTGGTTATCAATGGTTTCTTTGGCTGTAGAAACGTCGATATTTATACCAGAGAAGCGTTACAGGTTCTCTCAGACAATAAGCATGTATAGTCTGATTATTTCTCGTCCTAGTCTATTTAATTTGATATCCTCATGACAGAGCAGCAAAGGACCATTGTGGGATTAGATAAGGATCATTGCGTGAGCTCTATTCAGTCCTTCAACTATTCAATTCTGGGGGGCCTTGTCCATCATCCTTAACTTAGAGTGTCGCAATTAGTCTGAGAAAATAAAATTTACTTGAATAGGACATATCGAGAACAATAGTAATTGAAACTAATAGATTATACAGTGGACAACATTACAGTTTAGGGAGCATATAAACAATTAAAGGGGATATACGATGAGCGAATCGTCTAGATCTATAAACCATAAACTCAATGAATTGCTAAGTAAACGTAAGTATATGCAAAAATCAGAAAATGGGGATATTTTCTTTGGTTGAATTTTTGATGGACGTACTAACACAAGAAGATAATATTAGTAAGGCTACTTTGGATATAGAAACAGCATTAAGCTATGCTAGTGTATTAAGGACAAATATATTGGGTAAAGACAAGCAGGAGAAGGTCAATTCTATAGTTGTATTGGGTAAACTCTTGGATTGCAGTGGAGACGTATACTCTGACGAGTTCAGTGATATCTTGGATGATGTTTTATTTCGTACGCTATACTCTATAATAAGTACTAATATGTCGACAGAAACGTATAAAGCAATTATAAAAATATCAATGTTGCTTATGATGGGTTCACTTTTCAGAAATGAAGAACTCAATCATTACCTTCCTATCTTTGAATCGTTGAACGACAACATAGAGGTTATAGACATTATAGCAGAGAAAACCCACTTGCAAGACCCTAAGATCACATCTAACTCCATCAGATTCGTCACAGAGTTGATTAGTAGGGCCACAAGCTTTGAATATGATGGAATCATTCCGATAGTGTTGAGGTTGAGACGAGTTAAGTTCTTTTCCACAGTGGCAACCTATCCTGAAACGGAAGAAAGGTCGTTAAACGAAGTCATATCTCAATTAAGAGTGGCTTATTCTGAACTAAATGAAGCTTTCAGCGATATGATTTTGGACAGTTCATTAGCATCGCATCAATTTTTGATTGACCAATTGGTTCAAGCATTAGATCTCTCCTTAAATCCTAATGGAGTACATGCCTCAAAAGAAGACTACAAGAGAGCAGGTTTCCCTGAGAATATTACAGCCTTCATTGTGTCTGAATTTTCAGTGCTGCTTGCTGTGGACCTTGTAATTTTTCTTGAGGATCAGGATAATGGCTTTAAAAAATTATTTCACGAAACACTTTTAATGGATAGAAATGTGAAGTTTCCTCTTTATTCTTTATTTCATAAAAGCAGCATCATTTTGCATGTTGTTTTTCATCAGACAAAAAAGTTTCCAAATATCGCCTCATCTACCCTTAATAGAGAATTGATGATAAGCTATACAATGACTGCATTTTTATGGTTTTGGAAACAGACTATGATGTTTGCTTCTGAGCCTGGAGATTTGGATAAGCTTGCTAGTCTAGTACAGACTTTGTTAGAGCAGCTAGAAATAGAGTTCTCTAAGAAGAACAAAACAGTAAAGGAAATTTTTGATTTGATATTGCTGCAGGCGACAGATGAAATGAGAACTGCTCAGGTCGCTAAGATAAACAAAAAGCTATCTCTCAAGTGGGAATATGAATTGAAAGAATTCACCGATCATCTAATCTCTGAGGCATCGGACTTCGTTTTGGAACAACGGGTATCGCAGTTATTTAAAGGCTCCTGGGTTTTTACAGAGGATCATGGAGATTCTTTGTTGAAATCAAAAGATAATTTGCTTAGACCGCATAAGGTTTACTTTGTTACTCTATCTCCCAATAAAAAAAATTTGTATTATAAGCCATATTTTGAGAAACCATCAACAAACCCTACATATGAGGAAATCGAGGGACAATTTATTAAATTGTCTGATGTGGTGGAGTTTATACTTACCGATATGAGCCCCCCTGACGATGAAAGAAGTAATATGGGTATTATGGTCTCAGGTTCCATTTCACAGGAAAAAATCACGATAATGGGTATAAATAATCGCAAGTTACTCAGCTTTTATCCTGATAGTCAATTCGATAAAAGTGTTTGGCTCGATGGATTAAGAATGTTGAGAGATAATGAAAAAGAAGATGAGAAGCTCATGGTGACTGAAGATCACTTACGCACCTTGGTTAATGTCAGAATGTCTTCTCAGTTATTTAAATTAGAAAAAGAAGATCCTGCGAACATAGAAGAGAATGACTATTACGATCCAGAGGAGTTAGAAACGGTAACCGAATCATTCTATTATGGCTCAATCTGCTAAGTTTCATAGAATTCTTAATTAATATAAGGAAAGACCTCTATATGTTGATGTAGCTCAGTGGTGGATACGATACTCCTTGAGAAGACAACAATTACTGGCGCTTTTAACAAAACCTGAATTACTTTCTTAATGTCAAATAAGTGCAATTATTACCGGTAAACTCCTAATAGTATGCTTTTTAACACATGAAGATTAGCTGCTCTGGTTTCTAGATATATACTACATTGAAAGACAAAATTTAGACTTTGGTCATATATTCTTCTTCAAAAAACATAGTGAAGTCGGACAAGGTAACTGACATTTACGAAGCCACACGTATTGCTATAGTACTTGGATAAAAGTCACCAGATCCGTCACCTTCTTCAATATTATCTTTTCATCAAATTAGATTTTATTTCAACAATTCCTTCTATTTCTTTAAAGTTGGATCGTAGGAAGAAAAATAATGAGATTCATTCATACGTTCTACACTTGCTTTTCTACCTCATCATTGAAAGCATATCTCAGATCTTATTTCTTGTATCAAATGCCATATTCGCTTCTCAAGTGCTTCTTTTTCGCTAATTTTATGTTTTCAGAAATTATATGCTTGCAAGCGAATCATGTTCTGCAGTACTTGCGTATCGATGTATCTATATCGTAGGTATTCATTGACTTCAATTCGCAACAATTTACTAGTACAGATAGCCCCTCTATATCTTATAGGTGCAAAAGTGAAATGAAATTCGTAATCAGTCACTGCAAATGCATAGATTATTCCTCTTATTATCATACCTTATGACAGCAGACGAACTCAGGCGACAGCCTGCTCACTTAAAAAGTTGTACGCTATCAAAGTGTGTATCTTACATACATTTTCAAGCTCCTCAACTTCAACATATTCATCAGCTGCACCCATGTTATTCGGAGTGAGTCCAACAACAACACTAGGAATACCCGAGAGTCTGAAAAGTCTTGTGTCAGAAGCGCCCACTCTCATATTAGCGGTAGCCCTTCTGCCTATCACTTCACTTGACGCCTTAAGCGCTTTGGTGATGATCTCATGAGACGGAGAAGTGAAAGTGGGCTCAAACATTCTAGTGAATCTCCATCTGACACCACCTATTGGTTTCAACAATCTTTCGATTTCTTCAGAAATCTGTTTCGTTGAAAGACCCACTGGAATTCTAATATCTCCTTGAGCCCGTGCATCACTTGGAATTAAATTGGGGGATACACCACCAGCTATTGTCCCTATGTTAACAGTAACTCTTCTCAATGTTTCTGATTCTCCTTCACCTGATAGAGATTCTGATAAGGCACTTGAAGTCTCAATTGCTCTTGCTATCTCTGAAGGAGTGACCACTTCCATTTCTTCTAAATGTTTTAGTTCGTCCAAGGCAAGCCTTAAGCGGTCGATGGCATTAATACCGTTATGGACATGGGCACCATGTGCCGAAAGCCCGGTGGCCGTTATCTCAAACCATAACATTCCCTTCTCCCCAAATCGTATTACTAATGGAGACCCCACGTCACCGCATATAACTGCATCACCTCTAGCAAATTCAATGTTATTTATGAGCCAGTTAGCCCCCAAATTGCCCATGCTTTCCTCATCTCCGGCCAAAACCAAAGCTATTTCTCCGTTCCATATCTCAGTGTTTTCGGCTAAAACTAAGAAAGCTACCATAGAAGCAGCTATACCTCCTTTCATGTCACTTACTCCACGACCATAAATCCGACCCTCTTTCAACAGTCCACTCGTAGGCGATTCTGACCATGCTAAGTCTTCACGCAAAGGATATGTGTCTAAATGTCCATTGAATATTAATCTTCTACCCGGTTTTTTGCTTTTTAAAAGGGCAATTGTATTAATAAGGCCAGGTGATGTCTCATAACAAGTAACCTCTACCCCTGGTATATTTTCCAAAAACGAAGATATAACTTCAACGACATGTACTGTATTCAATGGAGGGTTAGGGGAGGCTGCTCTTACTAGTTTTTGGGTTACTGTGATAAGTAGATTCCTGTATCTTTCAACTGATGTACATAATTTGGCTTTTGAGTTACACATGACAGCTGATTCAATCTCAAAAAGTTAATCTTGTGGACTAAGCGAATCATTCGTAATACAAATGCTATTTATATGCCAGCATAATCTTTCATCTTATCAGTTCGCATGTTTCTCCGCGTCAGAAAAAAATTGTGACTCGGAATATAACGGCTAAAGAGCATCCAGCGAGTATCTTAATCAGAGACACCAGAGACAGAGCCACTGACCATGATATCAAAAGCTGTTTGTTTCGTTCAAGTACGTCAATGCCTTGACATGTCTGTCTATATTCGACAAACAAATAATAAAGTATCTGTAGAAGTCAAACGGAGTCAGCTCAGCTTTCATATTTAGTCAAAGCCGTACTTAGAAACGGAAACGGTACATCCGCAGATATGAGATATCAAAAAATATGATAACGATAGTTATTCTACGATTCACTTTACAAAGCAATCACATAAAATGAATGCTAGACCTAATTCTTTTTGCATACAAAATGATTAGCTGTTAATGATTCGAAATATGTCTAAAATTCTGAATATTAAGAAGGTGATCAAAGGGAATTCTTCCGAAGTTGTTTACAGTGAAAAGGACTCTAATTCGCCTATTCCAATAGCAACGATAAGATCTCATGCAAGCTATTTGAGTGGCGGAGAGGAGCAGCTGAAAAATATGTCGCTTAAAAGAGATTTAAAAGCCAGACATGTAACTATGATTGCTATGGGTGGAGCTTTGGGTACTGGTTTAGTTATAACTTCAGGATCAGCATTGGCAAGCTCTGGTCCGGCGTCGACACTAATAGCTTTTATTATTGTTGGTGGGATTATGTGCACAGTTATGTCTGCCTTGGGTGAAATGGCGACATATTTGCCGCTTCCAGATGGTTTTGCTGGCTATTCTTCAAGGTTCGTTGATCCTTGCCTTGGTTTTGCAGTCGGATATTCTTATTGGATAAAATATATGGTTCTTTGCCCCAATCAACTAACTGCCAGCGCTTTGGTAATTCAGTATTGGGTAGACAGTGAAAAGGTAAACCCTGGGGTTTGGATAACTATCTTTCTTATTGCGATTACTTTTATCAACTATTTTGGTGTCAAATATTTCGGAGAATTCGAGTTTTGGCTATCATCCATTAAAATTATTACTGTCGTTGGTTTAATTCTATTGCTATTTATCATCATGTTAGGAGGGGGTCCAACTCATGATCGTCTTGGGTTCAGGTACTGGAAAGACCCAGGCTCGTTCAAAACTTATTCGGAAACAATTACTGGAGATAAGGGAAGATTTGTTGCCTTTGTTTCTACATTAGTTTCCGTGGTTTTTTCGTATTTAGGTACGGAATTAGTAGGTGTTACTGTTGGCGAAACTCAAAATCCTCGTCGAAATGTTCCTCGTGCAATCAAACTAACTTTTTTTCGTATCTTGTTTTTTTACATTATTTCCGTCTTGCTTTTAGGAATGTGTGTGCCTTTTAATGATAAGCGCCTTATATTTGCAGCTAGTGCAGGAACTTCGGCTTCCGCTTCACCTTTCGTCGTAGCCATACAAAATGCAAGAATTAGAGTCCTTCCTCAGATTATCAACGCTGCCATCTTACTTTTCGTGTTTTCTGCCTCAAATTCTGATATGTATATTGGCAGTCGTACCCTTTACGGACTTGCAGTTAACGGAAAAGCACCAAAAATATTTGCCCGTACCAACAAAAATGGTGTTCCAATTTATGCTTTGGGCGTCTCAGTATTATTCTGTCTCTTAGCCTACATGAATGTTTCCTCATCGGCGAAAACCATATTTATTTATTTTGTTAACGTTGTATCCATGTTCGGTCTTTTGACCTGGATTTCAATACTCGTTACACACATATGTTTTATGCGTGCTGTTATCAGTCAAGGGTATGATCGCCACTCATATTTAGTTTGGTGTGCCCCATTTCAGCCATATGCATCATATGTTGCATTGTTTTTGTGCATTATTATTGCAATATTCAAGAATTTCACGGTATTCATAGGTGACTTTCAGTATAAAACATTTATAACAGGCTACATTGGAATTCCTGTCTATTTATTAATGCTTTTCGGCTACAAAATTTTCATGAAATCAAAGAGAGTGCTTCCAGAAACTGCAGATCTCTATACATTCAAAGATGTTATTGATAACGACGAAGCAATATATTTAGAGAAAGAGGCTATCAGGAAAGAAAATCTCAAAAATAATAAGAAAAAGGACTTACAAAGTGTCTACGAAAAATTTATAGGGTGGTTATTTTGAATGTTAAAAGAATAATAATCCAGAAAAAGCAAGATGATTGCAGAAAAAATGATTTGAATAACAATGAACCCTTGAAATTTTCAATAAATAGAAATAAGAATAAATTTTGCGAGCTCTTACCCTACATTTTTGCAATCACCTCACACTTGTGACCGTTATATCCAGGTATCCACCAGCTGAAATTTTTGGGAATTCAATAAAAATAGAACGCTGTTCCTTCAATTAAGTGATCTCAACCGTCGCGTCGACAAGATTAAATTTACAGCCTTTTGTATTTTCATTCAATGGTTCCTCCTTGTCTTGGTGATCTTTTCTCCTGTGACTTTACAACCTTGCGATAGTGATATCGGGGATTTGAAGAAAGTATGTGAGTATTTATTTTTTTTTTCTGGCTGCATTTCTGATTTGTATAATCATTGCAGCTGTTCGAGAGTTTTTTGAAACAGCTTTATGCTCTTTTTTATAATGATAAATCTTATGATGCTTTAATCAAACAATATGCCATAATGGCTAATATTTCTTGTTTCATGGAATCTTAATTAATATAAGGAAACATCTATATATATTGGTTATGTAGCCCGAGGTCGGTTTTATTCTCGTACCCTCAGAAATTTTTCAGTCTAGCTCATCTCATACAATCTTACTATTGTTGAGATATAGAACCATAGATTGATATGGGGATACGTAAGTCATCTAAGCAGCTGAAAGAGTCTGTTTCTAATGATGGTTTCATTTTGACCATTGAAAGTGATTCTGAAGGTGAAGTTGGGGCACATCCTCTGGACGATGAGCTAAATGCGACCTCAAAAGATGGGAAGCCTATTGATAAAGACGATGATTTGATTAAATCTGACTTTAAATTTGCTTTAGATGGTGATGATACAAGCAAAGAGTTTGATGGTTGGGACTTTACCGTAGAGGAAAACGATTCTAGAAGAAAAGATGTTGATTTAGATGGCATCTTGAGAAGAAAAGGTGGATTAAGTGGTTTGGCGAAAAACGAAAACGAAGTAGAACAAGAGGAAGCCAATGAACAAAGCGATATTGAAAAAGGAATAGAAGAGGAAGAAAACGAGAGTGAGGATGAAGATAAGGACGAGGAAGAGGAAAAGGATGAAGACGAAAATGATGACGATGAACTTGCATTGGATGGATTTGGAATGGGGGCAGAAGCTGACAATGAAAGCGAGAGAGATGAAGATGAAATCGAGGACACTCAAGGATCTGAGAATGAGAAAGATTCTGATGATGACGAAATAATGCAACCTGTCGAATCGGATTCTGATGCCTCTGAGTCTGATAAAGATACCGCTGATGATATGGCTAAGTTTTATGCCAAGGAATCACACAAGACTAAAGATCAGTCTCATATGACGTTTCAGTCTTTGCAGTTGTCACGTCCTGTGTTAAAAGGGCTTTCTCAGCTTGGATACACCAAACCATCGCCAATTCAGTCTTCTTCAATTCCTATCGCTTTGCTTGGAAAAGATATTGTTGCTGGTGCGGTGACGGGTTCCGGTAAGACAGCAGCTTATATGATCCCAATTATAGAAAGGTTGTTATATAAGCCAGCTAAGATCTCGTGTACTAGAGTCGTGGTCTTAGCGCCCACAAGAGAATTAGCTATTCAGGTTTGTGATGTAGGAAAGAAGATTGGGCGATTCGTCAATAATTTAAACTTTGGTCTAGCTGTTGGTGGACTTAATTTGAGGCAACAGGAACAACAGTTAAAATCGAGACCCGATATTGTAATTGCAACTCCTGGTAGACTCATTGATCACATTAGAAATTCACCGTCCTTCTCTATCGACTCGTTAGAGATTCTAGTGATCGACGAAGCTGATAGGATGTTGGATGAAGGTTTCCAAGCAGAACTTACAGAAATATTGACGTTAATACCAAAGCATAAAAGGCAAACTTTACTTTTCTCTGCTACGATGAACACCAAAATTAAGGATTTAATTCAATTATCATTAGACACACCTGTTAGAATTATGATTGATCCTCCGAAGGCCACAGCTAACAAGTTGGTACAGGAGTTTGTACGTATCCGTAAGAGAGATCATCTCAAACCTGCTTTGTTGTTTGAATTGTTGAAAAAGGTTGACCCAAGTCAACAGAATAGAATCGTTGTTTTTGTTGCTAGAAAAGAAATGGCACATAGATTGAGAGTGATTTTGGGTTTGTTAGGTATGAAAGTTTCTGAATTGCATGGTTCTTTGACACAAGAACAACGTCTTAAAAGTGTTTCCGATTTTAAAAGTTTACAAGTTCCCGTTTTAATATGTACCGATTTGGCTGCCAGAGGTTTAGATATTCCAAAAATTGAAATTGTTATCAATTATGATATGCCCAAGACTCACGAAATATATTTGCATAGAGTTGGTAGAACCGCTAGAGCTGGAAGAGAGGGTAGATCTATAACTTTTGTAGGAGAATCAGGACAAGATAGAGGAATTGTCAAAGAAGCAATTAAATTTCTTGAGTCTGGCAGCAAAGCTGTCTCTAGAAATGTTGACTGGAGTGAAGTAGAAAATCTGAATAAGATAATCGAATCTAAAGAAGACACGATTCAAGAGGTTCTTGATGAAGAAAAGCAAGAAAAAGAAATTCTCCTGGCAGAGATGGAACTCAAGAAGGCTTCGAATTTAATAGACCATGAGAAAGAAATTCAATCACGTCCTAAAAGGACATGGTTTGAGGATAAGAAAAAGGCTCTGCCTAGTCAATCTGATGCAATGCATCATTTAACAAAGCGTGGGAAGCCAGTGAATTCGAAAAAAAGAAAGGCAATAGAAGCAAGAAAGGAAGACTCAAAGAGGTCGTATAAGAAGACTACAAAAGACAGACTATCCCTGAAACCGAAGAGCAAGAAAAAGAGAAGATGAGCTCTATATAAATATACCACTATATAGACAGCAGAATTCATTCGACGGGATTTTTTGTATAATATTATGTACGACATTTTTGCAATTTCGGGCGACATTCATCGGCTCACGACATCCATACTAATATTACGCTCGAGTAGACAAATCACGGTATATATCAACGTATTTAACGACGAAACCTAAAGAGGCGAGGTGATATGGCGTTATATAATGGGTATAAGCGGTTATTCAATAACACACAATCGACTGATATAACTAACCCGAGCAAATTGCTATTTCAGATCGTAATCTTACAATGCTTCTATTATCTTACTGCGTTGATCGTATTTTATTTGGTATCGTCGCTAAATGGATATGAGTTCCGAATCGATTGGGTATTTCTGTGGGAACTAGTTTCGCTGGATAATGCGATGGGATTGACTTTATTTGTATTCTGGCTATTTGATTCTTTATTATGTGTGTTGTTTGTTACATTTATAGTTGGGAGATCTAAGTTAGCATGGGATTTTGCTTTGACGGTGCACATCATCAATTTGGTTGTCGTATGGATTTACACAGGTGCATTTCCTACATCTACACTATGGTGGTGTTTGCAGGTTCTAAGTGCTACCATATTAGTCACATTGTCCACATACCTGACAAGGTGGCATGAGTTGAGGACAACATTCTTCGACAATATGATGAGCCAGCAAAATCAACAGGAATTAGGGCAAATTGAAAGTTTGCCCATAGAAATGCATGATTTCAGTAAAGAGTCGCTGTCCAATGTCGACAGGTGACGGGTGAATGAAAATTTTTTGCCTAGGCAAAGCTCAGGATACTGTTACTCACAATTAATATAATTAATGGCGCCCTTAGTAGCTTTTGTCTACATTATTTCCCATATATGTATCATATCTTTGCATTTAGAACATGTATTCAATGTAGCTATTTATATATGGTTTTGCTTATCATGAACTTACATCCATGCCTTCAATATAAGGAGCCTTTCAAAGCATTGAGGTTTCAATACATGACAAAGGGGCTCATTTTTGATCTTTGAGCCCGATTACGTTTACCTAGTTTCTAATAGCAATTGCTTCATGCTGCCTCATCGGAGATCGGTATGTGCCGTATTCGTGGGACATATATAAACTTTGCGTAATCTATAGCACGCAACGTTTATACCACAGTTAATTCATTACTTCACTTACGGCAAGCAGACTTCCATATTTCAAAGATAGATATAGACACAAGAGAAATGTCATTAATCATACCAAATAGACATGATTATGAAGATGCTACCATTGGTAGGGAACGCATCCCAATTTATGAAAAAAAGATAGAAAAGTTGGAGGAAGAGATTGATCCGACGACTGGGGAGCCTTCCTACCCTTGGAGATTCGAAGCTTTGTCAGGTTTCTTTAAGCAAGCTGATCCAAAGACAGAAGATCTCAAATTTAACTATATAAATCAGGACTTCGGGGCCACTAAACCTTGGCATGAAATTATAGATGAGATTCAAAAGTTGAATGAAACTGCTAACGAAAATGAATGCTACAAGTTACTTTTTCTTGCTAGGCATGGCCAGGGTTATCACAATGTGATCGTTAGTAAATATGGACACCATGCATGGTATTCTAAATGGCATGCCTTAGGTACCGATGGAGACATTGTCTATGCCCCAGATCCAGATCTTACTGAATTAGGGGTCAACCAGGCTAAAGAAAATCATGCTGCTTGGAAAGAGCAATTGGCTAAAGGTGCTCCAAAGAGCTCTAAATTCTACGTATCTCCATTGAAGCGTTCTTGTGATACCTTGAGGTATACTTGGGAGGGTTTGGCACCAGAAACATTTCATCCGGTAATCGTGGAAGACCTCCGGGAGATAATTGGATTTCATCTCTGTAACAAGAGGTCAACGAAGACACAAATTTTAGAGAGGTTTGGAAAGTATGGATACACAACAGAGCCTGGTTTTACCGAAAAGGACGAGCTTTACGGCGATACCGAAGAGCTTTTTGAGGATCATTGTATCAGAGTTAACAAATTTTTACAAAGATTATTCAACAATAATTACGATGAAAAATCAGGTAAAACGAACCCCACACTGGATCAAATTATATCTACTACTTCACATGGTGGTACAATCAAGTGCTTTCTCGCAGTTACTGGCCATAGGGCTTTTACCGTTTCTACGGGAGGTATGATTCCTATCGTGGTTCGCGGAGTTCGAACTAAATCATCAAAAATTTAGTGACGGGTGTCGCCGGACAAAATATCGGTGTCGGAGCTGTCGGTAGTTTAGCCACGAGCGCGTATTTTTATATCACTATATTTGGGGAGTAATGATGGGAGCCTTGCGGCGAGTGTCTACTCGGTATACTGTACCGGCTAGTGCGAACATCTTTTAGCGACACTTAACAATTTAGACAGATAGATTTATAAAGTTTGTACAGAGATTAGATATAGAGTATATATTTTCATCTTATCCTACTAAGCCCAATGGGACTTATTATCATCTATCAGGGACATTGTAGAGTAATTTTCTATTAGAAAAATTTACTTGAAAAAGGTAATCGCAATAACAAAAGTCTGTTGAACCCTGTTCCTCTTTTCTTATTGTAATACAAACGTCTTGCCATATCATTTGAATATGAGACTCGTGATGGGTCTACTTCATGACAGCAATATTACTTGTCCTTGTTCAAAATAGTCTAAATCAAACATTCGGTTGCGAAATAGACTGTCCTAAATAGGAATGGCGATTCAATTTTTTTTTTTGTATATAGATGTTAATCGCTAATTTCTAAATTCGTAAGGTTTTTCCTTATGATTCCGTAAGAGATAAGACATCTTATTAATAAAATATCTTACTTAGATACTTCATGAGGAAATATATGTCGAGAATTTGTGGGATTAAGAGATATATTTATATCTGAAACTCACTCTATCCAAAATTTAGGAGAAGTTCCTGTGTCACCATAAAAATGTCTAATACATCTACTATCACCGCTCAACAAGAAAAATTATCAGCCAAGAAAGCGTATCCTGTGAGGACAGTGGGTCCACAGAATACGGCAATGAATATGGAACATCCCGATGTTATTCCCCAATTCGAAGATCTTCAAGAAAAGAGAAAATGGGTGAAGCAGCATATGGCATCTGCATTCAGAGTCTTTGCGAGATTTGGTTTCACTGAAGGCACTGCAGGTCATATTAGTGTTAGAGACCCAATAGACCAACACACATTTTGGATTAATCCTTTGGGAGCCCATTTCGATATGATCAAGGCTTCTGATTTAGTTCGGGTGGATTATGACGGTAATACTGTAGGTGGAAATAAGGCAGCCATCAACAGAGCTGGATTTTCGATTCATTCAGCATTGCACAAGTCTAGGCCAGATGTCAATGCTGCTTGTCATTGCCATACTACTTATGGAAAAGCATACTCCGCGTTTTGTCGGCCATTGGAGATGATCAACCAAGATGTTTGCACCTTTTTTAATTCTCATGGCATTTATGATGATTTTGGAGGAGTTGCTCTTGAAGGGGAAGAGGGAGAAGCTATAGCAAATGCTGTTGGAAATGGGAAAGGGGCAATTTTGAGAAACCATGGCCTTATTACTGTTGGGCAAACTGTGGATGAAGCGGCATATCTTTTAATGCTTATGGAGAAATCATGCCAAATTCAAATGGCTGTAGACCAGTTTGCAGCGACGACTGGTTACCCTAAGGTTCTTGTGGGCGATGAAGAAGCATCCTATACGCAAAAAGTACAGTCCGATCCTGGCACTTTATACACCGAGTTTCAGCCTGAATATAGAGCTGAAATAAAATACTCTGATGGTGACTTTTTAGATTAGTTAGTTCAATTTCAAAGTTATTTAAATTAAAAATATGCAGATACCAATACTAATACCATATTGATAGAAGAATCCCAACTTTTTGCCCGACAGCTCGATAAGTTTTACTAGAATGCTACAGACATAACCTTTGTGTGAAAAAAAAAAATGTATATATATATATATAAATATACTTATTCATATTATTTAAGCCTTTATTGGTCTTTCTTTTGGTATTTTTATTAGTCCTTTCTCTTCTTTGAGCCTACCTTGTACAACCTTGAGAAGTTCATAAGCCATGGTCAAATATGGAGCAGATACACCATTCTTTTTTGCAATGCGTACCGGATTCCCAGAAATAACTTCACATTCAATGAAATTTCCTTTCCTAACATCCACCAACATTGAAGGTGTACACCAAATACCGTCATCTGCTCTTATCATTGTTTCCATGATACTTTCTGGTAAGTCAATTCCATCGGACTTTGCTATCTCCAATACTTCTCTCATTGCAGTTCTAACAATTCCATCCACGCCTCCAAAAATGTCTAATCTACCACTATCGACTCCTGTCAAAGTACAAATAGAATTAAGTGTCGCATTGTAAACTAGCTTTCTCCATCTAGCATATTTGACGTTAGGATCATACTTGCAATCGTTGAATTCGTTAGCATAAAGACCAATGAAATTCTCCGCCGCTTCTTTCTGCAGTTCTGCATCAGAGAAGCCATCATCAAAATATCCAACACCTAAGATATCAGTACTCACATGCTTGACATCTGTGACGTACTTGTTAGAACTAATCATGGATACCCCACTCAAAACGATGTTTCCTGGGAACTTCTTGATAATTGGCTCTTCGATCCCAATGCCATTTTGAGATAATAAGATTATAGTTTTTTTGGGTGTTACAACAGGCTCAATGAGGTCCTCAGTCTTGAATATATCTGGGGTATTTTTTGTTGTCACAACAACATAGTCATAGGGCCCATACTCTGCTGCTTCTTCTACGGTCTTGACTAGCTTGGAAGGTTTGTAGTTCACCGTTCCGTAGTCTACTGACTCAATATTGTAACCTTCAGATTGTGCCTTCTCAAGATTTGACCTAGCTACAGCAACAACGTCTGCTTTTCCGTTTCTTTCAAGAGTGTATCCTGCAACAATACCGACACCTCCAAACCCAACAATCAATACTTTACTTTTTGTCATACTTCTTAGACTTTACAATTACGAAATATTTTGCTTATAGAAGGTTCACTAATCAGCAAGTACCTGAACCTTATATAAATTTTGATCCTAAGGACGGGTTATGTCTTATCATCTTTAAACCTTTAAATACAATAGGGAATAATTGGCTGCAAGTTCATCTTTGGATTTTACTTTCCTCTTTGGGATATCCCCCAGAATCGCGGTGTGAAAAAAGAAAAAGTTTTGATAAAGAATTTGACATTCCCGATTTGGCCAAAGCTTTCCAGACAAAGAGGCCCTCAAGCAAGAGTATCCGATAATCTATGTGCAAGACCGATAAGATGACTGTTGGGACTAAGAATATATGAATCCGTGAAAACTTTGATCTTCTATGTTTCTAAAGAACGTTTCAAAAAAGTACGTGGCTCATGGTCGATAAAGATGATAGGTTGTTATTTGTTAACACATATGGTTCAACGTCTGAAAATTACGAACCACGCTATGAGTCAAGAGGAACAGTATTAAGTGAAGCGAAAAACATTGCTTCAGCTACATTTCCATTACTTGTCACTTTCTTGTTGCAATATCTCCTCTCAGTGACCACAATTTATGCCACGGGAAGATTAGGATCTAAAGAATTGGCTGCTGCAACTTTAGGGACATCTTCATTTACTATAAGCGGGCTAGGGGTGTACCAAGGTATGTCTACCTGTTTGGATTCATTTTGTTCTCAAGCTTATGGGGCAGGAAAGCGGCATCATGTGGGTCTCTTCTTTCAAAGATGTTCCTTAATGGGTATTTGTCTTACTATTTTTCCATTAAGTGTTCTTTGGTGGAACTCTGGATATATCTTCCAATGGTTTGTTGAAGACCAAGATATTATTGAAATGGCTCAATTACATTTGAGGATAGTCACATTTGGCGCACCTGGGCTACTTTTGTTTGAGACTGGAAAAAGGTATCTTCAAGCCCAAAATATTTATTCTGCTGGGACTTATATCCTAATTTTCGTTGCAATCTTCAACTGCTTTCTCAATTGGATATTAGTATGGAATAGCACTACTGGATTGGGGTTTTTAGGGGCACCCATAGCGATTACTATTTCCTATTGGATGATGCCAGTCCTAATGCTATTTTATGTCTTGTTTGTAGATGGTGCAGAATGCTGGGGTGGACTTAATTTCGTTGAGGTTACTAAGGAATGGATGCCATTGATTAATTTAGCTATTCCAGGCGTTTTAATGACTGAAGCTGAATATGTCGCTTGTCAAATAATCAATTTCTTAGCAGCTTCCATGGGAACGGACGAGCTAGCAGCGCAGTCTATAACATCTAATGTAGGCTTTTCGTCTTTTCAGCTATCATTCGCATTATCCGTAGCTGTGGGGACGCGCTTAGGCCAATACGTTGGCAAAAAAAATCTTGAGTATTGCTCCTTAGTAGTAAGAACAGCTTCAATGATGGGTGTTTTCCTTTCAGCTTTTAACTTTTCATTCATTTTTTTCTTCCGTCGTTCTCTTGGTCGGCTTTTCACCAGCTCAGAGGAGGTCTTAAAAATTAGCGATAGAACTTTAATTTTGTCTGCGATTAATCAAATTAGTGATGTGCTCAATGTTGTTGCCGCGGGGATACTTAGAGGACAAGGTAGACAGAAAATAGGGTCTATTTTGACAATGATGGCATACTATTGCATCTCAGTTCCTATTGGCTATTATTTTGGTATTATTAAGGACCTTCAATTAAGTGGATTATGGCTAGGTTACATACTGGGTGTGTTTGTGTTAGCAATTGCCGAATTCTGGGTTATTTATACATCTAATTGGCAAAAAATCTTCATTGATTCATCTAAACTTCAACAAGAATAGCGTTAGTTTACGTATTTGACTTGAAATAAAAAAATAATTCTTGAACTATAAAAAAAAAAACCTTTACAGTCACCAGTAATGATTGATGAGTTTCCGTAAATATAGAATATTAAACTCAAAGGACTATTTGTGTTCCACTCATAGGAAACTCTTTTTTCCATTCGAAATATGAATGGTCACCTTTTCTAGTTTGTTTATTAGCCTTGATTTTCAATGGACCCTTTTTAACCATGCTCGTGGCAATTTCAAAGGCAATCTGAGCTGCTGCCAATGCAGTAATCTCAGCATTTGGAATATCGCTTAGCGGATTTACCTCAACTACTTCGGCACCAACAATGTTTAAATGATCCAATCTTCTGAGCATTTGAATTAACTCTCTAGTGAACCAACCACCAGCTTCTAATGCACCTGTTCCAGGGGCATTAGAAGGGTCTAAGACATCAATATCAACGCTAATATAAACCGGTGCGTCTTTGGGAATCCTTTTTTTTATTTTATCGACGATTCCTTGAACTCCAATATCCATAATCTCGTCAGACTCAATCCTGGAAAATCCTTGTTTTGCATCCATTTCGTAATCATCCCAACCAACGCCGCCTAATCTTGTCCTCAACCCAGCATGAACGTTTGTATCATTTGATATAATTCCCTCCTCATGGGCCATCCAAAGCATTGAACCATGGTTAAAAGGTGGGGAACTTGTTCTGTTAAAAGATGGGTATGTATTGGGATTCCAAGTATCAAGGTGAGCATCAAATTGAAGTACAGTGATCGGACCATAAACCTTATAAAGATTTCTCAATGCAGAGAGTAACACTGAGTGATCCCCACCGAGCATTACGATTCTAGGTACATTTCCTTCATTTTCCTTTGCATTCGTCTTATGACTAAGTACATTCTCGTAACCTGCAACCATTTGATGTAAGGCTAGCTCATTGTCGACAGGAGTGATGGGAATATCTCCACAATCAATTACTTTTGCCCAATCGCTATATGGATTCAATCCAGCTCTAAAATTAAAGCCACGGTCCTTGTTCTGACGCAGCGATGCTGATCTAATAGTTCTGGGGCCGAACCTAGCACCTGTTCTGTACATAGTTGCCGTATCGAATGGGGCACCAAGAATTGCTATATCATAAGAAGCTTCTGGGTCGGCCAAGCATTTGGTATAAGGTAAATGAGCGAATGTCAGGATTCCCGTGAATGTCCAATCATTTCCCCAAATCTCTTCTAATTTATCCCTATCGTTAGGGGAAAGATTGATGAGTCCTAAAGTATGGCCCCAAAGAAAACCAAGTAAAATGAAGTATCTTAAATTAATTAAAGCTGCCATTTTGCATATATGGAACGTTCGTTCTTTTTATTCTTGTGAGGTTGGTTGAGCTGCAAACTGTAGCGTAATATACTGTGCGAACCCGATATTAAACCTTTTGAAAATAGTTTCCTCTTAGGAAATACTAACAGACGGAAACCAAGACCCATTTATCTTCAATCTCTCATAACTCAAGAAAACTATCAGCACATTGCTTACATTATCGCTTACGCAGTATCCTACGAATAATATGTTGTGCGGAATTTCTTGCTTTAATTTTCTTATCTTTGATGTATTTAGCGGATATCAACGGTAGCCCTATTTGGTAACTCAATTTTTGATATCGAACATTAATAAATTGATCAACGTTGAAATAAAAAGAACTTTATCCGAAATTAGTTTCTCCTTTTGGATTATCTATATCAATTTCTAACGATAAAGGTTTAGTCCTCTAAGGACGTAATCAACCCTTCAGAATTAGCATATAAATTAGCTCAAAGATGGAAGGAAGATAACTGCAAGCTTTGATTTTTTGGGCCTCAAATACAGTCAGGGGTTCAGAATACAATGACTAAGTCAAGCAAGAACGACACGTATGATGTCGATGTCAATAGCCTCAAGACCGATATTGAAAGAGGAGAGATACAAAGCGTTGATGATATTGGTGAGGTACATAGAGGATTGAGTTCGAGACATCTTCAGTTCATCGCATTGTGTGGTTCTATTGGAACTGCACTCTTCGTTGGTTCGGGTATACCGTTGTCCACCTGCGGTCCAGCACCTCTTTTGATCAGTTACCTTGTTGTGTGCTGTGCCGTCTATTTTATTATGAACTTCTTGTCAGAGATGGTTTGTTGGTTACCTGTAAAAGGAATATCTCCAGCTAATATGGTTTCGCGCTATGCTGAGCCATCGATGGGGTTTGCATGTGGTTGGACGTACTGGTATAGTTATGCTATTTTGGTTGCGTCTGAAAACACAGCTGCGGCAATGGTAATCCAATATTGGGTCAGTAATGAGAGAGTTAATATAGGAGTTTGGATCACAATTTTTTGGATTGTTATGGTAATTGTGAACTTTTGTGCCGTCAAATATTACGGCGAATCAGAATTCTGGTTTGGTATCATAAAGCTCTCTTGCATTATTGGTCTAATTATTTGCGGGATCGTTATCTTCTTTGGTGGAGCACCAACTCATGATAGATTGGGATTTAGGTACTGGCAGCATCCAGGTTCTTTCGCAGAACATTTGGTGAAATCCAAAAAAAATACTGCCCGATTCCTTGACGTATGGACAGCAATAGTGAGGTCTTCACTTGCTTTTGTCTTGGGTCCGGAACTTATTATTACTTCGAGTGGTGAGGTGGAAAGGCCAAGGTACAACATTGCGAAGGCAAGCAGAAGATTCATTTGGAGACTCATATTTTTCTATATCTTAGGAGTTATTGTTATCACTGTAACAGTCGCATATAATGACAAGCATTTAATTGGTGCAATCAATGCTGGTAAATCAGGAGCAGGTGCTTCTCCCTTTGTTATTGGTATCAAAAATGCTGGTATTCCTGTTTTGAACCACATAGTTAACGCTGTGATTTTCCTGTCAGCGTTATCATCTGGAAATGCGTTTCTATATGCTAGCTCTCGTTGCCTTGTTGGCTTAGCAAAGGAGGGATCTGCTCCAAAGTTCTTTGCAAAGACAAATCGATTTGGAACACCTTATTTCGCGGTATCAGCAGGTGCTGCCATGGGCTTGTTAGGGTATTTGAATGTTTCTAATTCCTCAGCAACAGTTTTTTATTGGTTGACAAATATAATAACAATAGGTGGTTTTTTTGGATGGATTTGCTGTGGAATAGCCTACCTCAGGTGGCGCAAAGCAATTTCTTACAATCAATTGGAATCTAGAGTGTCTTTTAGGACTCCCTTCCAGCCTTACGGTACTTGGTTTGCGATTCTTTTCTTTTCAGTTGTAGCCATTACCAACGGTTACGAAGTTTTCTTCTCTTGGAACACTCTGAACTTCTTTGCTGCTTATGTTTCATTTCCATTCTTTTTCATCTTATATTTCGGACATAAGATTTGGTTTAAAACACCATGGTTATATAAGATTTCAGACATAGATGTTACAACTGGATTAGCTGAAATTGAAGAAGAGGAAGCAAACGAACTCTTACCCCCTGCTCCCAAAAATATATGGGAAAAAGTTCTTCAGTGGTTGTTTTGATTACGATTTAGAGCTTAAATTCCGTATTTATTGTTTAATAGGTTACAGGCTATCTAATAAATTTAGTATATTATATTTTCTACTTTAAAGGTTGTAATTTGTGCATTATATTTGTAATCCTCGTGAGAATACTTTAGAAACCACCTCAAATAAATATGTGCCACGAGATAACTGTCATTTTCCTTCTCAATGGAATAACCTCCCTTATTAAGTGTCTCGTTTGTAATAATTCGGGGAAGTTAATCAAGTAGGCTTCGTTATCTCGAATTATGTTGCTTATCTGGGAAGCGCGCGAATTCGAGATCTTATCAGTTGAAGGATGCAAAACTTAATATAAATATTGACGTAAAACTATCACAGACTACAATGCTGAATAGAATTCAAGAAAAGCATCCCCAAAATGTTAACTGAAGAAGTTCTTAACGGAAATAAGTTGTACGATATCCCGAAGGATACCATTGACAATGAAATTCAAACTTTAATGGAGAATTTACAGGCTAAAAAGGGATTCAATCCTTATCAGGATTTTGACCCCGAGAAACATCTTTTATACAAGGATGGTGATTATGAGAAAGTAAGAACACTTACTTTGAACGAGCTAGGAATCAACAAGACCCATGTTCCTCCGATTTCGGAAGTTGCTGTTTCTGATCCCTTCCCATTGTTCACAGAGGAGGCTTGTGAAATAATGAAATGGGAAGCGTTCCAAAGAAAAAGTGTTACTAAGTATGGTAAACTACCAATAATGTCGAAGGGCGGAACTTCAACAGATGTTCAGGTCTGTGGATACACTGACTATGCTCCATTTACGGTAGCAGCTTGGAAACATCCAAAAACTCAAGCGATCATTGATAAGTTTGCTGGGGTAGAATTGCAGATAATGTTTGATTACGAAATTGCACACATTAATGCTTCTCTCATTGATCAGAGCAAGCCACGGGGTAAGATTGCTCCCAGTAAGTCAGGGAAAGATAAGGATTCCAAAGCTGTATTTGACTGGCATTATGACTCTAACTCTTTTTCGGTAGTCCTAATGTTATCTACAAACGATGAAATGGAGGGAGGCAAAACAGGATTACGAGCAGGCAATGAAGAAGTTGTTTTCGTAGATGGTCCAAAAGTAGGCTACGCAACAATTCTTCAAGGCCGGGTTGTTAAGCATATCGCCACCAAGCCTGTTTCGAATGACGAACGTATTTCGTCTATTGTTGGATATATTCCAAAATCTCTCCATGTTCCTGACACTACGGTATTAACAACTTTCAGACCTTCTGTATCACCTAGGTCTTTACATGATGAGTATTATCCCCAATGGATGGAGTATAGGTTTAAGCGAATTGAAGCTCGTTTGGCAGATAAGAGACAAGAAATAATGAGAAACCTGAAAGACGGAAAGCGTTTTGATCAGCTAGAAGTCGTCGAATTTTGTAAAGATATTTCTCAGTATTTGTTTAAGAGCTGGAATGAATTTGAATCTGTTGTTGAGAATGAAATTTTTCCACCTAAAGTATTTTCAACTCCTTACAATGAATTATGAAGGGAATCAGAATCTATTTAGTTAGTTTCATATTACAGAGGAACTTTTGTTCTTTCATTTAGACATTTCAATTTACGTATATTATTTTTTTGCGTCTAATCATTTCTCTTGGATGATTATCTGAAAAAAGCAGATTTCTTATATGGAAGTTTGCTTTGATTTTGTCGATTGCCGAACATCCAATGCCCTGAGGAAGACTTCAATTGTACTAGATTCAAGATTTAGATATTCAAATTTATATTTTGATAAACAGTAAGTATATACTCTAAAAACCTTCAGAATATGTTTAAACTAATCAATTTTCTGCACCTTTTAGTTCGTCATTCAATTCACGTAATGACTTTGAAACCTTTTTCACGACCTCGAGAGCGATTTCAGGAGTCATAACGAAGGAGGGAGCAATACTTACGTGGTCACCTATACCAGCTGCGCAGCCCTGAGATCCCATTACAGTAACACCATTCTCGAAGCATATTTTTTGCAATCTGGGAGCGATTTTCAAGTTTAATGAGAACGGCTCTTTAGTCTTTTGATTCTTGACGATCTCAATGGACCAGAAGCCACCTAATCCTCTCACATCACCAACAATACTAATATCCTTAATCTCATTTTTCAACATTTCTCCCAAGTAGTTTCCTACATTAAAAATGTTGTTAGTCAAGTTTAGCTTCTCGATTCTCTTTTGGATTTCCAAAGCTACGTAACAATTGAAACCGTGACTAGAATAAGTTTGTGCTCCGATAATATTTCCAGATCCGTTTATGAATTCTTTTCTGACTTTAGGACTAATTAAAACTCCAGCAATGGTCACATATCCAGAACCAAGCGTCTTACCTACTGTCTGGATATCTGGGCCCTGATCTGGCTGAAGGAAGTTTTCCCAACAATTCAATGCTCCATTTGGATTGCACCTACCTGTTCCACACATGACTTCATCCAACATGAATAAAATGTCGTACTTCGAACATATTGCTCTAATACCTTGTAAGTAAGTCGAGGTTGGAGGTGAAGTTCCCAAAGACGAACCAGGTAAAGTTTCCACTATAATTGCAGCAATAGTCTCCGGGCCTTCATCAATTACCATTTTTTCGAGACTTTGTATTAATCTTTGTGAATATTCCTCTAGGGTTTCATGTTCTTGTTGATTTCTGTAAGGATAAAAAGGTTCCATTTTAAGACATTGGTCCTCAGGTAAAAGAATTTCCTGGAACATCTTACTGCGAATACCCGATCCAAGGGACATTGCACCAATTGTATAACCATGATATGAGGTCTTACGAGATATGAACTTTTTTTTGCTAGTTAAACCTCTTTCCAAATAGTACTGCCGAATAATTTTCAAAGCATTTTCATTAGCTTCAGAGCCTGAGCACGTCCATAATGCTGCTGCGAAGGCATCGGGTGGTGATCTCGAAATATAATAATCAGCCAACTGCTCAGCATACTTGTTTCCAAAGACGGCAGGATAAGAATAAGTTGTGGCTCTTGCAGCATCATTGATAATTTGTAAGGCAGCAGGATCACCCCATCCTAATGCGCCAACTGCAGCGCCAGTCATAGAGTCGATTATATCTTTAATTTCCCCAGTATCAGGATCCTGAATCTTTAAATAAACTCCATTACCACCGACCACCTGTGGGAGCCAGTCAGAAACTTTTGCTTGGAAGACAGATGATGTTCCTTTTTTGATATTAGTGGAGAAATCGTCCTGTGTCATTTTATAATGTGTGAAAATTCAGTTTGACAAACTGCAAATTCAACTTAAGACTACATATATATATATATGTCTAATACTCTAGGGGAAGATAGAACCTAGATTACTTGAAAAAGAACATTAACTAACTAGCCGGAAGTAGCTTTTAATTCCATTCTTCTTTTAATTGATGCAAAAATGAATAGAAAACAAAGTAGTAAAAGGATTGCCACAGCAAAATGACGGAATGCCATATCCTAAACAAATGGCTTATCTCACTCATTAGAGGTTTCTAACTAAGTCTCTTTTGAGTGGTGCTCATGATATCCATTATAGAGATTGAGCACAAATATTTGATGGCATAAATCTGCTTATCAGAGAAAAAGAGTTTCCTATTTAGGAAAGTAGTTTCGAAGTCAACTGATAAACACTTCTGATAAACTTTGACTACACGCGAATTTATATAAGATTTGGGCTCTAAGGAATTTGCGTACTATATTTGGGAGTTCATTCCTCTGGGTTAAACAGATAGAATGCCAAAGGTAAAAGCGAGAGCTGGGGAACTTATACAGAAGAGAAACTATAGTAGAAAAGGTTGTATTGAGTGTAAAAGGAGAAAGCTCAAATGCGATGAGAATAAACCAGATTGTTTAAACTGTATCAAATCCCTGAAAGATTGTTCATACAAGCAAATTGCCAAGTTTAGTGACTCAAGAACTGTTATACTTAGTGAATCTACTTTCCTCGTATCGAAGAAGCCCTCGTCGCAAGAAAAAAAAGCTAAATTCACAATTTCTAGTTTGATTGATAATACAGATGCTAAGAACAATAATTCTCAAGAGAAAGCATCTCGCAATTCGAAACCAGATGCAAAAGGAATAGTCCCTGAAGAAGCCCCATCTTCATCCAATCTCTCGGAGTCTGGCTCTAGTACAGCAAACTCTCATGAGAATAAAACAGAGCTGTCTACCGGTACCACAGGTCGACTTCCTTATAAAGCTGCTCCATTAATTCCCCAAAGCCCTAGTTCCCCAGAATCCATTATTCAAGAAACTACATCGCCGAGTTCACTAGAGAGAATTTTAGATAAGTACGATGAATATGATCAAAAGCTACTCTGCGACGCTTCATTATTAGCTAATGGTTTAAATAATATTGCTATGTTAGACATATTTGATGATGATCCAAACATGATAAGTGAAATAGACAAGAGTCGAATTCCAGTTGAGTTTGGGCGGCCACAAAACTTGATAGCTGATAATGATGACGACACGAAAATCAGTAACTTCATTCTATCTCATGATTTAATTCCAGATCATAAAAATTATTTAAGACGCTTTTACGATAAATATTCGCAATGGCTCTTTCCCTGTGCTTCAAGCAAGTCCAATATATGCAACGACACCTTAATGCTTCAAGCTCTTGACTTCCCATTTTTACTTCATGCTATCCTTTCTATTACAGCGAGATACGAAAATTTTTGCAATCCAAATTCTGTTGACGAGTATTACCAAAAGTACTATTTAGTATTATGTTGTAAAGGATTTTCCAGGATTTTTGACGATAAAATACCAATCTCAAGATACGTCGAACCATTGATTTTGACGACTTTACTTTTAGTAACGGATGCTGTAGCATTCGTGAATGGCGATTGGAGAGCACATTTGAAAGCTGCGCATAAATTATTCAGTAAATACGTTGACATATTTAAGAAAAAGAGTCCTTCGATTTTACTCGCGACAACCTGGTTTGCTGCTTTTGAAATTCTTGCTGTCGTAGCCAACCCATTGGGAGGTGCAATCTCAAATGAGGCTGAATTTGACATGATGATGAAGGCTGGAGTAGATTCAGATGACATTAGATTGGGTACTGAAGTAGGTTTAGTGCTACCCAATGGATTCAACGTCTTTTTGGTTTACTCTAAGGAGGCAATATCCATGTTCATTACCTTTGTTAAAACAACCTTAAAAATACGAGATAGCGGGATTCCTAGAGCAGCTCCTGAGGATTTAATCTTACTCATGGCAGAGATAAAAAAAGCAAATGATTGCATGCTAGCCTCAGAAGATTGTTTAATTCCAAAGTCTAACCCATATCATCCCAATAACCCAACTGGAATGCTATTACCTATAGCAACTTACGGTTACGTAAACAATACAGTGTTTTCATGGTTCGATATATCACACAAGATTCATGTACTAGCATTATATCTTAAACTCTTGGTGGACAAACATTTCTTTAACTTACCAGACACATCCGACCTTGTTCAGGATCTCGTAGAAGAAATTCTTAGCTATTGTCATTTTTTTGCAGGTATTGATTTTGAGCTGCAAAAGTTTTCTCTTGATGAACAGCTAAATGAAATTGAAAAGACCTCACTTTGGCTGGATAGAAGAATGTTGACTGTGCATTGGCCATTATTAACGTGTGGCTTAAGTGCTTTAAAAAGAGTTCATAAATTAAAGATTGAACTTTACTTCAGATGTATGATAAAAATGGGTGCGAGATCGCTAAAAATGTCATTTAAGAATGTTGAAAATAAATGGAATGGAGGATCAGGAATCTCTGACTTCGTTCCATTTGTTTAACTGTAGCTATGTTGTTAGACCTGGGAGATGATACATGTGGTATATGTAGATATTAATAGTGTTGAGAAAATTACATTTTAATCTACTAGTTTTTAGGAATTCGATTATAGGCAGGATAAAATCAATAAATTTGATTATAGGCAGGATAAAATCTATAAATTTGACGTGATAGCCAATGCAATATATAGAAGGCTTTGATTAGACGACTGCAGAAAGCTACAATAGAGTTTAAGGGGTTCTCGTTTTGCAAAATACATATGCCATGCATGCAGTGTCCATAAGTCCAAAATCTCTTTAGTTATGTCAACAAATTTAAATGGCCAAAAATGATTCTAATCGCTTTGTTTATCTGAAGCGCATATTCGTTTATCAGTTTTCTATATCGTTCTGAAATTTATATACGAGGAGGCGTTATTAACAATACCTAAGCCATATATTCTCTTTAACACTGCAGTATGTGAGAACGACATTTTACTTCTTGAACAGGAATGGCAGTTTTCGAGATAACACTGTATACAACCTTATCGGAATTTAAGGGAGACGATATCCTTCGTGATCTTCAACATGTTGCAGCCTTTGAAGCTTGCCCATTTGTTTTTTTTTATCTATCAACTCAATAGCAAATGCATCATAACATGGATGACGCCGATGAATACTCTAGAGTTTGAAATATCATTAATTCTCAGCAAACTTTAAGAGCCATGAACTTATTACATTACCTTACTTTATCTAGGGCAGATGATACTCAATCCTTGCAGTACATCAAGGAGTTCCTAGTGATGTCAATCAATGGAGCCGACCATCGAAGTGCAGGATTCAGGATTTAGGGTATCGCGGGCCGGAAAGAGCTGCCACGCCATGGTGCGGCGATTCTTTGCCTTTGACAGCTGCGACGTTCATGCCATGCGCGCATGTCGTTCCTTAAGGGAAGCCTTAGCATTTTCAATGGACCTAATAAACATTACCTATTACAAACTATTTCTAAAATCCCTGAACTCGATAGTTCTTGAATGTAGCATATTTTAGTGTTTCGATGTAATAGCTTAACTGAAAATAATCTAGTCAACAAAATACACTCGTTGTGAGAAATACTTCATCGCCTTTTAGGCATACTGCATGTTCAGCCGAGGTTTCATGCGATTCAAAATGTACAGTTTCCATATTTGATTCAGAACTAAAAGAGTAGTTGGGGCCGGCCCTATAAAAAACTTATAGTACTCATCCTGATTTTACCTCTCGGCTCTTTTTCACTATTGGAGATGACCGTTCAGGAGACAGGCTCTCTACGATTACGAACTATCTACATTTAGTTTCACATCTTGGCATACTGTGGCAATGGGGCCGTCTCACTGATGGGGTACACCACAATCAGAATATTCCTGTTATCCGTAGACTCCAGATTTGCTGTCAGCAACTTTCAAAAGACAAAATGCCAGCTGCATCTCCCACTGCCTATGGCTCATGCGATTGTGAGGGTAACTATTTATATTGTGAATGCAAGTGCATTAACTGTGGACGATTGGTTGTGTGAGTTACAATAAATCCCTTGATATCGGTAATCAGAGGGATGACAAGGCTCTATTGTTCGGCTTCCATTTATCCTCCTCTATCATAATTATCAGACCAGTAAATGACCTCCTCTGCACATGCATGCGTTACGCATTAGATATCAGAATAAAGAAAAATACTGTGAGGGCCAATTGATTGTGCGGCAGCATTTCTCATAACTGCGAAATGCGACATGCGAAATGCTCAAAAGCTAACGAGACTGGAACTCACATATAAGAAAGCCAGTTGTTCGCTGATTTCTAAAGCTTTCTATATCTGTGGATGAGCTATCAAAATGTCTGAGGAGAAGGTACTTTCCGGTACTATAACCAAGGAGAAAGATGTTTTTCCTACTTCAACTGCTGGAGACATAGATGATCATGAAGTTGATTTGAGGGTTGTCACTTCGAATCAATTCTCAATTAATGAGGTTGCTGAGTCCTTGACAGCTGAACAGAAGTTCATAATTTTGAAAAGAATGCAACTCGATCACTTGGTCGCTTTGAATGACTTACCAGTACTGGCAACTTTTATTCTCGACAAAGTTGAAAAGATGAACGATACGGAAGCTTTGAATATTTTGAAAGATGCATTAATTGAACATGATAATGATGCAAACTTTTCCTCAGAGCTTTATGATTTCATCCAAAAGTTAGTTGACCATGCGGGAGAAAGCACAGGGTTGACATCTATACAATCTAAAACCAATTTTGACGAAAAAAATGGTGGTTTGAATGAGAAATCGTTTGAAGTCAATAGCAATGAAAAGTCTGAAAATATTGAAGCCAATGCTGATGATTACTTTAAAGACATATTTGATTGGTCATTGCAAGTTAGAACTGAAGCTGTTTTGATGGCCTATTGGTCTCCGTATCCAGAAGTGAGGGCAGCGACTGACCCTTATGACGATCCAAATGAACATTGTGAAACAGTGAGAGCTTATATTGCTGGTTTGATCTGGGTTGGAATCAGTTCATTCGTAAATCAGTATTTTGCCCAAAGAATGCCTCCCATTACGTTACCTGCCGCCGCTTGCCAAGTTTTGGTATATCCAACTGGTGTTGCGTTGTCTTACTTGCCTGATTATAAAATTCCTCTTTTCAAAGGGTATTCCATTCGTACAAGCCCTGGTTCATGGACTACCAAGGAGCAAATGCTTGCAACTATGATGGTTTCAATCACAACAACCCCTTACATTGAGGGTCCTTTATATGCTCAAAGGATGCCATCATTCTATAACCAAAAATGGGTCACTTGGGGTTATGAAGTTTTGTTAGGTATATCTACTCAGTTTGTTGGATTTGGTTTAGCAGGAATAGTAAGAAAATTCTGTATCTATCCTGCGAAATCTTTGTGGCCATCTATTTTACCGACAATTGCAGCAAATAGAGCTTTTTTGGTTCCAGAGAAAAAGGAGAATATAAATGGATGGACTATTTCTAGATATTATTATTTCTTTGCGGTGTTCGCATTCTCCTTTGTCTGGTTCTGGTTTCCAGGGTATATATTTCAAGCCCTTTCGACTTTCAACTGGATGACATGGATCAAGCCGGATAATTTCAACTTGGCAACCATTACAGGTTCTTACAGTGGATTGGGTCTTAACCCTATTCCAACCTTTGATTGGAATGTGATTAATTTGTGGGCTTTACCATTGACTTATCCAGCATTTAATACTGTAAATTCATTTATTGGAGCCGTAGTAGGTCTTTTCGCCATAATAGGCGTTTACTACTCCAATTATTATTGGTCGGCATATTTACCCATTAACTCATCGGCAACTTATTCGAACACTGGAGAATCGTATGATATCCAGCAAATATTGAACTCTAATAATAAGCTTGATGATAAGAAATACCAGGCATATGGCCCGCCATTTTACACAGCTGCAAATATAGTACTTTATGGTTGTTTTTTCCTTAGTTATCCATTCACTATATTTTATGTTTTCTGTACAAACTGGAAGGATATCGTATTTGCAATGAAGAGTTTATGGTTGTCTTTGAAAGATTTTAGAAGATCATCTTTAGCAGGCTATAGCGACCCTCATTGTAAAATGATGAGTCGTTATAAGGAAGTCCCTGAATGGGTTTTCTTAATAGTTTTGGTCATTTCGATTGTTCTTGGTATTATATGTGTTGAGATATATCCTACGCAAACTCCAGTATGGGGTATTTTCTTCACCATTGCGATCAATTTTGTATTCTTGATTCCATTCACAGTCTTGTATTCCATTACTGGTTATCAACTTACAATGAATGTTTTGGTAGAATTGATTATTGGATATGCCCTTCCTGGTAACCCAAATGCTCATTTGATTTTAAAGTCCTTTGGTACTCAGACAGATATGCAAGCGCAGGATTATATTTCCAATCAAAAAATTGCTCATTACGCAAAGATTCCTCCTTGGTCGGCCTTTAGGGTCCAAATATTAGCAACTTTCGTTAATCTTTTTATTAGTTTGGCTGTCATAAATTGGCAAGTCGATAGCTTTGAAGGTTTATGTACAGCTGATCAGGCTCAGCACTTTACTTGCGCAGCAGATGCACAAATTTATTATTCTGCGTCGGTTATTTGGGGGGTTGTTGGCCCTAAAAGGGTTTTTGACGGCCTTTACCCTATCTTGAGGTGGTGTTTCTTGATTGGTCTCTTAATGGTCCCTCCGTGTTATTTGGTCTTTAGATTGCTTCCAAAGGCATATCGTAAATGGTGGCAACCAACGATTATGATTGGAGCAGTTTTGAACTTTTTTGCACCATATAATTTGAGTTACATTACCCCAGGTCTCTATCTTTCTCTTCTTTTCATGGTTTATATTAAGAACAACTATTTGCCATGGTGGGAGAAATATAACTATCTTACTACTGCCGGTATGACTGCAGGGTTAGGTTTATGTTCAGTGGTTTTATTTTTTGCCGTTCAATATCATCCAAAGGACGTTAATTGGTGGGGTAATAGCGTACCTTATGCTGGAATAGATGGTGAGGGAGTGGCGTCATTAAAGAGCCCAGCTTCTGCTCCTGGTGGCTACTTTGGTCCCAGGAAAGGTCATTTTCCATAGTTTCTAGTTCTCGATTTATAGTATTTAATTTCTGTAATAATTTGCGTTACATAAGGTAATATTTGAAGATGTAGATCGTAAAAGGGTTCTATAAGATATTCGAACACAATACTCATGATTCATTTTACGTTGTCTCACTATCTAAAAATCTAACCTGTCAACGTATCCGAAGGTATAATTAAATATATTTAGACACATACGAATGTCTGTAGATAGCTAAAAAAGTTCGGGGGTATCACTTGTGCTATTAACTGGACCATTTCAGTACAGCCATCTCTGTATAATTCGTTCGACTACACCTCAACAAGTTAAAAACAAGAAAGGATTTTGAGTTATAAGTTTATTCTTTCCAACATCATCTATATTACAAAATTAATCTGAAATCCTTTTCCTTGAGCTTTTTATAGTGTTATTTCTTTAAATTCGCTATTCTCTACTATTATTATCATTAATAATGTATTTGAAACTTAATTGGCTCAACTGTCATAATTTTAAGTCTATTCTTCTTTTTAAAATTCTATTAATTCAAACATCTTTACTGTATAATTCTCTATCATTTATGTTTTGCTATAAATGCGTGTTCATGTAATATACTATTAATGCCATACTTAAATGTTTTATTCAACATTATTAGAATAATGCATTCCATGAATCCAACAATGCTCCCTGATGTTTAAAAAAGTATGAGAAAAGAGAAGCAAACGCAAGACTTCATATGTTACTAAAAAGAAAGCAATATTCTGGATTCATTATCATACCACTCTAGCCAACACTCGTCATGAAGGGGTCTGATTGCCCTTAAATCTACCATTCTCATTTTTTCTTCATCATTGGATCCTTCTGTTGCTTGTGGAGTGGTGATATCAATGGCATGAGGCAGCTTTTCTTCCGGAGAGTAAGATGCAGAGCTTGCCCAATCCTCGCAAACTCGAGAATAGAACCGCCAATACAAGTTGACTAAAGTTAGCTTAATCTCAAGAAGTGCAATGTTCATGCCAAGACACATCCTAATTCCTTTACCGAAAGGCATCATAAACTTTTGTTGTATCTTTACTCTTTCGAGATACTGCTCCTTCGATTCACTTCCATTTCTCAACCATCTTTCTGGTAAAAATCGCTGAGGATTTGGGAATACCCTACTTTGTCTATGAAGAGAGTACGGGAGGCAAGAAACGACAGTTCCCTTGGGAATAGACGCAACATCTCCAGATTCCAAAGTCACTCTGTAAAGGCAGCTGGCAACCCTAGGTTCTGCACCGGGTATTGAAGAATGAACCCTCAAATTTTCTTGAACGATGGCATTTAAATATTCTAGTTTATCGACCTTTTCAAAGTCGTCAATTATATCATCTTCCGACAAGGGTTTACCAAAAGTTTGGACAATTTCCTTTGTCAAATTTTCAACTACTGAGCGATTGTTCTTCCTTGAAAGCTCATATGTAATGTAGGTCAATTGAACAGCAGTTGTTTCATGTCCGGCAAAAATATTATCTGATAGGAAAGAATAGGCTTTGTTGCCCTGAATGCCCTTTTTTTTTAAAGTTTCAAAGACGGACAGACAAGGCTCTAATTGAATACGACTATCTATTTCTTTTTTTCTATAAAGATTCAATAGCCATTCATTGACCGTGCGCTTGGCCATTTGAAGTTCCTTATTTGCTGCCAAGTTCCAAAACTTAGGCATTAAAGTAGTCCAAAAGACCATTCCAACTAGTTTTCTATGGTCATACATTACCTTCCTTTGCCCTTTCTGCTCCAACATATTGGTTCCATGTTTTTCTCCTAGTTCAAAAGCTGTTATGACATCCATTGACAAAGATCCAAATAATGAATAAACATCTATGCCCAAGTTTTGAATTTTGTTTGATTTGTTAAACCATCTTCCACCATCGTTGTGACCCTTACCAAATTCATTTAGTTCAGATTTAGCATTAAAGTAATCCGGTTCTGAGCCTGAAACTGAAGTCAAATGAATTTGACGTACCAAAGTTCTAATTTTTCTAGCCAAAAACTTCCTGAAAGAGCTTTCAGATGACAAGAGAGCTGATTTTGAGTATAAATGCATAATAAGTTTCTTGTTTTTCAAATGCGATTTGCTGTTTAAACTCGTAAATATATTATCCTCTCCATGGTTCTTGTATTGGGAATAGAACGAACCTTTAGGAAAATTGTTCACATATATATCCTGGACATATTTCAGGTCTCCACCGAAACTAACTTCAGTGGGTGATATTAGCACAATGCTTCCATATTGCTTGTGTAGTTCATAAACTGTGCTTATCCACTGATGTCTCCATTGGCCGTATAGAGCAAACACTTTAGATATACGGAAAAGATATGGTCCTGGAATTTTTCTAAGAGGAGATAAGAAAAACGGATACAATATAAAGAAGTAAATGGAATATACCAAAATCAATGCTAAGCTAACTTCGATTGGTCTCTGCTCGATTTTCGAGTAAATCTGTAGTAATACTTCTTGCAACATGATAATATAAGGGGGTTCCGACTATTTACTGGGTACGCAATACAGTCCATTACGGGCAGAAGGATATATAAACTACAAGTTATACTCTCTGCCTCGTAAATTATTTTCTTAGAGGTTCCAAAATAGATAGCTGACCTGCATCGTATAATTAAACGTGCCGATTTAGATTAAGAAATTGCTGATAACGATTAGACAACGACCTATTTGCATTACTACTTCAGTCGTATCTCCGGTATATAGGATACTCTTTTTGGTTGAAAAATTTCGAGCTATCACGAAGGTTGTATTCTGATTACCAAAAGTAGTGAACACTTCTTTCGTCCATCAGATCCTCTGAGTGATTTCCATCTTTGGTTTCAGTAAACTATTGGTTGGACATCATAACTAAAGCAACATCTTGAACTGTATTAGATACTCAACTTTAGCGGAAGATGTGCTTTTTCGAAAAGCTAAGATGTGGTCCTAAATACACGGGACATTCTAACCAGGATCTTCTTTCAAGACTTAGAAACAATTCCCAAAGAAAAAGAAGTTAGAGGTAACCGGATCATAGATCAAATCAGATTAGAGCAGTTTGTAAAACGTGCCGAATTTGAATTACCATTTCAGATTCGACTAGATAACATTGAATTTGTGACGGAAATAGATGCTCTATTGGTCCGATAGTATCTCTTTATCAAAACAATTTTTCTAAAATTCAAAAACACTATGATAAGAGTGTCATACAATTTTAAGAAGAACTAATATTTATAAAGTAGGTTTTCAAGCTCAACTATGTCAGATATTGATCAAATCGACCTATTGAATGCAATAGCCGAATGAATACAAATAAACACCAAGTATGAAGGAACTTTTCAAGGGAAAACGACTTTTCAGGTCAGAGGTTACTGAAATGGACAGTTCCTCCTCCCAATCGCTTACAGAGAAAGATGCGGATGACCAATATGGCTCAATACACAGACAATTGGAGACAAGACATGTCCAATTGATTTCGATTGGTGGATCGATTGGAACAGGGTTGTTTGTAACAATTGGAACAGGTCTAATTACAGGTGGCCCATTAGGACTTTTCCTAGCGTATTGTTTCTGGACAACTGTTGTTGGTATATTGATTACAGCGGTGGGAGAATTCGTGTGTTACTTACCTATTGCCTCACCGTTCGTCGCTATGGCAGGAAGATGTGTTGATGAAGCTTTAGAATGTTGCGCAGGTTGGAACTTCTTTATAGCGCAAGCCTTGTCTATTCCTTTCGAAATTACTGCGGTGAATTCAATGATACATTTTTGGAGAGACGATTATAGTCCTGCAATTACACTTTGCATTGAGATTTTCATTTATGCTTTTCTAAATGTATTCGCCGTTTCTTATTATGGGGAGTCTGAGTTTTGGTTGTCTATTGGAAAGTTAGTGCTTTGTATTGGGTTGATTTTCTTTACATTCATTACAATGTGCGGAGGTAATCCACAACATGATGCTTTTGGATTTAGGAACTGGAACGTTTCAGGGGGTCCCTTTGCTGAATATATTACTACAGGTAGCCTAGGAAAGTTTGAGGGATTTCTTGGAGCATTACTTGGGCTGGCTTGTTTCACGGTCGTCGGTGTTGAATATATGTCTATGGTAGCTGCCGAGGCCAAAAATCCAAGAAAGACTATGGTGACGGCATTCAAGACCGTCTCAGTGAGATTAGTGTTGTTTTTTATTTTGGGCTCTTTGTCAGTCACTATCCTCGTTGCCTACAATGACCCATATTTTGTCAAAATGTCTTCAGCAGCATCAAATGCTGCTGCTTCACCTTACGTTATCGCCATGCAAAATATGGGTATTAAAGTGCTCCCAAGCATTGTGAACGCGTTAGTGTTAAGTTCTGCATTCTCAACTGGAAATTCATGTACTTATTGCTCATCAAGGGCCCTTTATGGATTAGCTAAAAGAGGGTTTGCTCCCAAATTCTTAAGAAAGTGTACGGAAAGGGGTGTGCCAATTTACTGTGTGGCAATAGCGTGTTGTTTTTCTCTATTAAGTTTGTTGCAACTAGGCTCCACAAGTCAGAAGGCATTATCTTATATGGTCAATTTGTGTACGGGTTCATTTGTGATCAACTATGCTTTCATGTCCGTTACATACATAGGCTTTTATAGAGCTTGCAAAGCTCAAAACATTGATAGAAAGAGTTTTAACTATGTATCGTGGGGCCAACCCTATACGACATATGTTGCATGCTTCTTTTTTTGGATTGTTGTCGGGATATTAGGTTACTCCGTTTTTATTCCTGGTAGATGGGCAGTGGACACTTTTCTATTCTCATATTTAATGGTCTTCATCAATATTGCCATCTTTACATTTTGGAAAGTGTTTAAGAAAACTAAATTGGTCAAACCGGAAGAAGCAGATTTGAAATCTGGTTTAGAAGAAATTGAAGAACACGAATATCAATATTATGCTGAATTGGAGGCGAAAGGAAAGAGCGATGATGGAATCTTCAAGAAATTGTTCTCCTGGGTTTTATAGAAAGTAGAAATCTATACGGTAATTTATGTGAATTTTAATGTGAGTCTTTATGTTTTCGGTAGAAGTTTAAGTTATCAAATTGGAGAGTTTAATGGTGTAATAGTTATCAAGCCTGTAAGAGGTATCTTACACACATGTCAAATTTTGTAAAATTAACATTCAGTGAGGAATTATTCGTTTATGATAACATCATTACTATTGATATGCTTAGCAGCAAATAATTGGCAGACATGAGATAATATAAATTTCATCATGTTCCCAAAATGATTGGCTGCGTTGGGTCTTTCTGGTACTGTTATATGCCATTAATGAGTTAATATAAAAAATAACTAAGTTCCTTTCTTATTTTGCAAGGGGTTTTTGCAATTTTTCTATTTTTCGACCTATTTTATATGAAATCACAGTTTGAGCAGATGTTTATAACTTTCACACCTTGAGAGTGTTAATACGAAGTTACGACTTAATTTGATAAAAAGTAAGGTCGTATACTTGCGTTCACGTCCACTTCACGTTAACATATGCAAGAGTTGCTAATATAAACCATACCATTAGTAGTATTTTGCACTGATATCACACGGCTTCGATACAAATCATTGTACATTGATGAGTTCTCACAGGGTTTTCATCCCCAATATAAAGACTATTGCTCCACATAGTACCCTGGGTGCAACAGGCAGTAAAAATGTGAAATCATAACATATTTTTTGAAACATCACATCCTTGACACCTTACTGATAGCCATCCTCGCTATGGCATTGAATCCGAATTTTTCTTTTTATTTCGTTTTTGAAAGTCATAAGTTTAAATATGAAAATATCTTTACTTGGAAAAAGGTCCATTTGCAAAACTGGGTATTCGAATACAATCACATTAGCCAATAGAAAGATTTTATAAATTGGCATACAGCTCTTTTTTCTATTGACGATAACTTTGGAAATTTTTACAATGTATTGTTCAGCCAGTCGAAGAGAAGAGAACTTCTTGCCATTGCTTAGGCTATAACTTCAGGAAGTTCCAGAAATTTTAAATTATATGTAGAGTCGGTTACAGTAAGTTTTTACAAACTAATATTCAATTCTAATTGGAGCTCATAAATAAACACATTGTGACTTAATTCCTAATGGCCGTCTCAAGAATTTCGGCAGCTTTTACTAAACTTTCATCTTGGTACCTTCTGCCGGTCAATTGAACACACAAGGGTGCATTCTTAAAAAATTCAGGTTCATACAAGCCGTATTCATATTTCTCAAACTCGTTTCTCGGTGTGTAAGTATTATCTTTGACATCAACCGTTGGATCTTGAAACAAGCCCGTTGGAAAAACAATTCCAGGCATATCTAAGATATTCCACAAAGAGCAATAATTCCAATAATGAATGGTACCAGGTCTAGGGGCAGTACCTGCAGAAGCTGGACTCAAGATAAAATCAACTTTCTTATCATTCATCAATTGGAGATATTCGTCTCTTAAAGTATCTCTGAAAACATTGAGCTCGTGGTTTTTGACGACCGTGAGTCCTTTATCACCCAAACCCATGCTCAAAGCATATTGACTAAGTGGAAGAACTGGTTCCCCTGAAAGAGCTAAAGCTCTTTTCTGTTTGAAATTTCCATCAGCAGTGTATGCTTTGAGACAATTTTCAAAAGCTTCTAAGCACCTATACGGTTCCCATGTAACAACATCCACACCGGCGCTTTTTAGTTTTGCCTCTGCATAACTTAGAGCCCTTTCAATTGGTGGGTGAGGACGGACTACACCGTCTTGATGCATGATCGCAATTCTTAAATCAGTCAACTTGGGAGGAGCAATTTTTTTCCAAGGCAATGGAACTAAAGATGCGTCCATCTGCCAAGGTTCCATTGCAATATAAGACTTCATAAAGAGATCAATATCAGCACACGATCTAGCGAAAGGACCCATTGAGCAATAAACAGTTTCCTGACCATCGAGAGCAGAGACACAACCAGCCATAGATATTCTTTTTGTTGTTGGCCTGAGTCCCCAGCATCCACAGAATGCGGCAGGGGCCCTGATGGAGCCACCAATATCTGTACCAACCCCAATTGCTGAACCACCCATACTTACAAGAGCACCTTCGCCACTGGAACTTCCACCAGGACTTAATGAAGTGTTATATGGGCAAGCTGTTCTTCCCGTAATATTATTGTCGGAACATTCGTGCATCAATGTTTGAGGCTCTGTTGTACGAACATAAAATACAGCACCCGCTTTATCTAAAATCTGAGTGGTTATGGAATCTTCATCCACAATGTTATCAACTAAACCAACTGTACCAGCATGGCAGACACGTCCTTTCTTCTTGAAATGCTCTTTTAAAGATATTGGAATACCATGTAGGGGACCCACGGTTTTTCCAGTCTTTGCAAAGATTTCGTCTAATTCGTGTGCTCTTTTGATACCTTCTTCTACAAAGAAGTCAGTAACACAATGTGTAAGTTGGTGACTTATTGTGGCCCTTTTAATAAAAGCATATAATGTTTCAACGGCTGTAAGCTCCCCTTTCTCGATCTTCTTTGCAAGGTCAGTAGCAGGCATATCTGTTATTTCAATTTCTTTATCATTTAACACTTGATAAGGAATAGTTGTCACATCGGCAGCTTCATCAATTGACTTTGGTACGATGTCTTGGGGAGCATAACTTTCTTTCTTGATACTTTTATCAAGTTTATCTCTGTAAGCGAGAACTTTAGGCACCCAGTCACGTTCATATCTCTGGGGATCACTTGTGGAGTCCACGTAGCTCAATTGAGTCGAATTTGTCATATCAAATAAAGATAAGATTTAATTGCAAATTCGAAATAAAGAGAGAGAACTTAACTATTTATATTACTCTCATTCTATTACCAAAAAAGGGGCAGTTTTCATGGCTGCATGTTATCTCAAGTTGTTAGATATTATCTTTATCAATATTTTCCTCATTTCAAAATATCTTAGCTAGCTACACTTCAAGTGACAAAAATACAATAGTTCTGTGGAGAGAGACCAGTTTTTTGCGATAAGACTTCCTATCTGAGAAGTTACTTAAGCGCCATTTTTCCGCGCATGCATTAGTGCTTTGCGGCTTAAACTTCAAGACATGATACCTCTTCAAACGGGATATCAATTTGATGGAGTATTCATATGTTCGAGGAGGATAAGTGAATTAATTTCCGAAGATATTGAATGGGTGAGTAACGAATCCCAATGTCAACTGAACTTAAATTTTTGAACTACAGTAGACCTCCACCGAAGAAGGTCATTAAGCCAAAGTCACAATGGAAAAGGAAGGACAATAGTAAGGGAAATGTCAAGCGAACAAAAACAGGGTGCTTTAATTGTAAGTAATTAAACAGAAGAACCTTTAATTTCAATGAAACTAACCAATAATAGGTCGCATGAGGAAAAAGAAGTGTGACGAAAGAAGACCAGTCTGCAAGAGTTGCGAGCTGAAGTTTTTGGAATGTACTTGGCCACAGCTCAGAAATATACAAGATAATAATAATGATAAAAAATCCAATACTGAAGGCGTTGGGGAACAATATTTAGTTCCATTGTATCTGTCGCTCGCACAAGAGAGTCCTAAAATAAGAGTCAAGAAGGCGATTAACACGTTGAAGAAATATGAAGAATACGAGCACTTGGTAGAACCTCAATTATTTAACGTACCGGCGCTTAATTATGTTATTCCCGATGCTGAGATTGACTCTGTTTTCTTATATCAAGTTTTCTGCAATAATTTTATGCCCTCCTTATCTCCACAAGTGGCTGCTCCCCAAAAGCTCCTTCCACTATCCGTCTTTGTTCCAGAATCTACTAATTATTTGTTGAGAGAAGTATTTTATTCTTGTTCTGCCGCCTATCTCGCTAGGAAAATACCAGAATACCGCAACATAAGTCAGTTGAAATATGCCAACCTCATTCGAATGCTTCAGAAAGAGATTGAAAGTAATAACCTCGAAGGTACTGAAGACTGGCTCTTTATTGCTGTTCAATGCTTATGTCTCCGTGAAAAAGTTCTCGGGAATACCGCCACTCAAAGTGCTAGACACCTATCAGTTGCATTTCGAATTATAAAGAAGCGACAATGTAGCAGAAAAGCATTAGCTACCGGACAAGTGGAGGGCAGTAGAGCTGAAGAGTTCGAAGGATTCTTGAGAGAGCTAAGCTTTGGACCAGAAATTGAAACAGAAAATTCGGGCACATATGGACCAGATATATCTGCTTTATTTGGATTGGACTTTGATGAAATTACCCCCACTGAAAAGACACTTGTGGAAAGCTTCATTTACAACTACACTGTCTCGCTTTATTTATGTGAAGATTGTGAGCTAAAGAAATTTCCTTCGCCCTTTGAAGTATTTGATCACTTTAGATCCCTTTTAAATCGTCCAATGTACGATTGCCCTGTGGTTTGGCTAAACAACTCCGTTGTTGGGCCCTCACTTGAAGCATTTGAATTAGCTGGCAAGGCGTCCTGGCTTTCTAGATGCTCCATACATGATAACGATTATTTAAAAAAAATGGCTTACCTTTTGCTTCAACAAGCACTTGATTACTCTCCACCGGCATTGCCTGCAGAGGTGACATATGCAATGTCACAGAGTAAATTGAAGGGAACTTTATACAGTTTGAAGATCGCTCAAGCTATAGCAAAGGCAGCTCTCATTTTATTGAGAAAAGTTTTAAACCCTCAATTGGAGACCTTTGATTTGATAATTCAAAAAAACGTTGACATAGTATATAAATGTTTGAAAAACTTGCCTGGTAATCATGTTGCTAACGGTATTTGCGGCTGGGCAATCGTAGTAGCAGGATCATGTGCTTTATCTGATGAACATAAAAAGTTATTTCGTCAGCGGGCTAAAGACTTGGGCAATTACCTTCATGCTCAATATTCTGACACAATGATACTCTTTCTTGACAAAGCTTGGGGAGTCATTGATAACAAATCACAAGGATGCGACATACTTTTAGATCGGAATGCACTAGAGCAGGTAAATACATAAGTTCGTAATTACCAGTTCGGTTGATTATATTATTTTAATGTATCTTGGTTTATAAGTCATTTTATTCTAGCTAATCCTACTGTTCTCTTTGTTCTTCTTGCAGCTGGCTTTGCTCGCGAAAATTGCTATAAAAAGTGGGTTCTTATCAAAACCCTTATTAACCGAAAGACTTCCTAAAATGCAGTTCAGATAAGAAGACGATACATAGATGGAAGAAACTACTATTTAAGAATACCATTTTTCCATGTTTAAACTCTATAAGGAAGATTGACAAAGCTTTAGAATAATATATTAAGAGGTTATCAAACAATGGAAAGTGGAATTGACTACGATCTCGTACCTGGGACAAACCACCTAGTCGATTTAGATGGATCTATGGCCCATTCGAGCCATGCCAGGGGTAATAAGAAGGAGATTGTTTTAATACCAACACCAAGTGACGATCCTGATGATCCTCTCAACTGGAGCCCTTATAGAAAGTACTTGAGTGTTTTTTGTATGGTCGTTTACGTTTATGGAGTGGGTGTTCCGTCTGCTGCAGTCTATTCAGTTTTGACTCCAATTTCATCAAAGACAGGAATTGCAGTCGCTGATTTAAACCAAGGAACAGGTTATATGTTTCTTTTCTTTGGACTTGGATGTTGCATCTTCCAACCATTAGCACTTCAGTTTGGAAAAAGACCAATTTACTTATTTTCAATGTTGGCGACCACATTGATTATTCTTTGGGGTCCTAAAGCTAAAGATAACGGAGAGTATATTGGAGGAAAAATTCTTCAAGGCCTTCTTGGTGCTCCTATAGAGTCTCTTTGTGAGATTACAATTTCCGATGTTTTCTTTGAGCATGAAAGAGGAACTTGGATGGGCGTCTACGCTGTCGCTTTACTAACCTCCAACTTTATGGCACCTATGGTAGCTGGATTTATTGCAGATGGCCAATCTTGGGAGTGGGTTTTGTATTGGTGCTCAATTTTTAGTGGTGTTTGTTTTATCATCCTCTTCTTTTTTATGGAGGAGACTAATTTTCATAGGGTTGTTGTTATTGATGACTCCTCTTCAGTTGAAAAGGTTGATTTAATAGTAAGCGGCAATAAGAAAAACTCCACAGCTGAAGTTGGAACACACATAGAACCCATACTTTCAGCAAACGAAAACTTGAACAATGAAGTCGAAGTGATTTTCAGTAAACCTGAAGATAGAATTGAAATACAGCATCAACCAAAAACTTTTTCTCAGAAGTTGTCCCTTATCTACCATTACGAGGGATTTTTGCTTCCATATTATTTATTAGAACCATTTTTGACAACGTGCTTCCCATCAGTATTATGGTCTGGATTTCTTTATGGTACTTCTTTGATGATTTTTAATGTGTTGAACGCAACTTCATCAACGATTTTATCTTCTCCTCCCTACAACTTTTCATCTTCAATGTGCGGTTTAGCATACATATCACCTGTTATTTTTAGTTTCTTGTTCTACTTTGTCTCAGGATATTTGGCTGACTACTTCAAAATTACTTTAGCTAAAAGAAGAAATGGTATTTCATATGCCGAAGATAGATTGTGGGTTGCTGTTGTTTATATGATGGTTGTCCCTGGTGCTTTAATTCTTTGGGGCGTTGGAGCATATCACCAAATACATTGGTTTGGATTAGTATTCGGTATGGGATGTGTTGGTGGAACAACAATACTTGGGTGTTCTGCTGCAGTAACGTACGTTGTTGATTCATACAAAGAAGTGGGCGCCAGTGCAATGGTGGTTGTCATTGTCATACGTAACCTTATCAGTTTCGCAATTGGATATGGAATCACTCCTTGGGTTGATAACACAGGATATCAGAATACTTTCATTGCACTTTGCTTTATCTCTCTCGCTGTCATTAGTACATTCTACTTGATGGTTCTCTTTGGTCCTACTTTCAGAGACAAAACTAAGAGAAGATATTGGAAGTTAGTTGAGCATAAAAGAAAGATCGGTGCTGTGCATTAGAAATGAATACACTTGTGTATCTTTACTTTTAGTACTAACTTTGGGATATTTATTTGCTAAATAAATAAAGTTTTCAATTCTTTAGAGCCTCACTCAAATCCGGAGAAATATTTGACACTCCGCCTGTACATTAATTTTTCTCCTTGCGATTGCGAAAATTTGAGTTTTAGACTATTGATGTCGCAAATTTGATTATGCTGCTACCTTAAACTCCAACCTACTCTAATTTTTACTACAAGCTTATCTTTGAGGTCTTTAACATGAAATAGCATACAAAAGCATAGCAGGATTTTAAATGCTATACATATTATCTCGGACAATGTAAGAAATTGACGTTTTCACTCGCCATGTTCTTTATTCTTAAAAGATTGGAAAAGGTTACTTCAAGTTCAATTTGCTTTTAATATATGAGTTTTTTGTATCTGAAATTTTATAGTATATCAGCAAAAAAAATCCTTCGAAGTAATTCAACTTCTAAACAAAAATTTTGAGCACTTCCACTTTCATTGACAAATAACCTGGAGAATGGTTTTTCGTTAAGATTTACAATTAATAATTTAACCAGCCCCCATCTACTACCATTGTTTCACCAGTTACGTAGCTACTAGCCTCCGAGCATAAAAATACAGCTGGGCCCTGAAAGTCGTCTAGTGTACCCCACCTTCCGATCGGGATTCTGCTTATCAAAGTTTCACGAAGCTCTGGTTCTATTTCATCCGAAAGATTAGTAGTGATATATCCTGGAGCAATAACGTTAACTCTGATTCCTTTCAGAGACCATTCATTCGAAAGAGCAGCAGCAAATTGTTTAATTCCTCCCTTAGTGATGGCATATGCCGTGGAATTCACTCCACCTTGGAATGAACAAAGCGATCCGGTGAATACAATTGACCCCTTTGTATTACTTTCAAGCATTTTAAGTCCTATTTCTTTTGTCAACTTTACTGGAATGTTTAAGTTCACCCTCAAGACTTCATCAAATTTCTCTTGAGAAAGATCGAGGAAAGGAAACCGATTGTTGATTCCCGCGTTATTGATCAAAATATCAATTTTACCTGTACTAGTGAGTTCAAAAGCTTCGTTCGCTATCCTAGTCACCAAACTATTTTCCAGCGTTGTGTCATTTAGATTTGCCCTAATCGAACTAATTTTCACTTCGGGTTTGATTTTTTTCAAGATGTGAATTGTGTTTGATAAAGCCTCGTCAGACCGATACGTCAAAATCACTTGCTCAATATCGGCTCCCACCAAACCCTTTAACATTCCGAGCCCAATACCATTGGTACCACCGGTGACCAATGCAACTTTTCCTTTGAGAGAAAAGAGATCCATTGCACAATTTTCAACGCCAGTCTATGGAAGAAGTAGACTTTCAATAGGCAATTCGATACTTTTAAATATTGACAACATCTATAAGGAAGCTTGATGCTTGTTTAGAGGATGACCTGGTTACAAGCACAGAATATGAAATGCGGGTGAATCTTCGGAGATCTTATAGGAGTTTTTATTGTTTCTGTTTCTCCACATCTCTCCCGCTTGATTCTCAAGTTGCTAAAGGTTGCGAGCTTCTGACTGACTATCAAATATTCTTAGTATTTATCTAGAGTAGAATCAACGCTTATTGAAAAAAGACAGTTCAGTAGAAAATGACTGAAACTAACATTGGTGTATTTACTAATCCAGATCACGATCTTTACGTCAGCTCAATTGATAAACCATCAGCTGAGGATCTAACAAGCGATGAGGTTCTTATTCATGTGCGTTGCACCGGAATATGTGGGTCCGATATACACTTTCAAAAGCATGGTAATATTGGTCCTACTATGGTTGTAAGAGATGAACATATTTTGGGCCACGAATCCGCTGGAGAAGTTTTGGCTATCGGGAGTAATGTGATTGATTTGAAGCCGGGAGATAGAGTTGCTTTAGAGCCAGGTGTACCATGCAAAAATTGCAGTCAATGTTTGAAAGGTAAATACAATGGGTGTGAGTTCGTTCAATTCTCTTCTACACCTCCAGTTCCAGGGTTTTTAAGACGCTATATCAAACATCCATCCAAATTTTGCCACAAGATTAATCTGCTAAGTTATGAGCAAGGAGCTTTGTTGGAACCACTTTCTGTTGTCTACAGTGGGGTCAGGCAATTGAATCTTTTGCTTGGGGACTCCATTCTCATCTCAGGGGCCGGACCAATTGGATTTGTTGCGGCAAAATGTGCCGCCCTGGCAGGTGCCTACCCCATAGTTGTAACCGATATTGATCAGTCCCGACTTGATTTCATCAAGAAAGAGATACCTACTATTACAACGCACCTAGTTAACAATGATTTCGAAAGTAACTTTTCGAAAGTTTCTAGCAGCGGCAGGATAAAGTTTGACATTGCTATTGATTGTACAGGAGTTGAATCAAGTATTAATTTGTTGGCTCATGCACTTAACTTCGGTGGAAAATTACATGTTATCGGTGTGGGAAAAGATTATCAAGTATTTCCTTTCATGACTCTTTCAGTCATGGAAATAAGCTTGTCATTTCAGTACAGATATGCTAATACCTGGCCAACTGCTATCAAGTTATATGAAGGACAGGTCATTAATTTAGATAACATGATAACACACAGATTCAAACTTCTGGAAGCTGAAAAGGCATTCGAGACTGCTAAAGACCCAAACTCGAGAGCTATGAAGATTATGATTGAAGACTAAAAGAACCTATGATGTAATGCAATGTGTATAATTTTTAAAGAAAAGTGACGGAAAAGTTTCGAAATATCCGTCTGCTTAAATGCGATAGACGACCATATCTCATAATAAGGAAGAATCATTTAAAATAAGTAAGAATCAATATCAAATTAAGTATAAAAGTTTCTAATAAAAGTAATAGTCATCATCAATTTCATTATCTCTCCGACCGATCACCTTTGTAGGAGTGCCTGCACGATAAAGAATATCTCGAAGTGCGCTCCTCTAACACATTATCTACGAATAGCAATTTATTACATATATACAAGAAAAGACTACCTTCTCAGTTTCCTCACAATTTAGTATAAAATGACGAATTGGGAAGATATAGCAAAGCAAAAGCGTGAAGCTGTTTTAGCGGCCATTCCGAAAGAATGGATTTTAAATGAAGTTCCTAGTGCAGACGACCTGCCAAATGTGCGAGAATTTCTAAAAAGTATATTGCCTGATGACGAGAATGATATTGCATATTCTAGTGTGACCAGTTTAATCTCAAAAATTGCACAAGGGGAGCTTTCTAGCTCAAGAGTTATAAAGATTTTCTGTAAAAGAGCTGCAATACTGCACCAGCTCACGAACTGTTGCAGCGAAATATTCTTTGACAGAGCACTCAAGAGAGCAGCAGAATTGGACGAGTATTTGGCTAGAAATGGGAAAGTTGTTGGACCCTTGCATGGTATACCTATTTCATTCAAAGACCAAGTTAACTTGGAGGGGATAGCTTCTGCAATTGGCTTTGTCAGTGGTGTAAATAAACTAATCAAGAAGGAGAAGGTCTCACTTCTTGCTGAAATTCTTGAAGGCTATGGGGCAGTATTCTATGTGAAAACAACGACACCGATGGCCATGATGTGTGGTGAGACGATATCTAACATATATGGGGCAACACTTAATTCTTGGAATAGAAAACTATCTTGTGCTGGCTCTTCGGGAGGCGAAGGCTCATTGTTAGGAGCAAGATCGTCTTTATTGGGTTTTGGAACGGACTTAGGTGGAAGCATCCGACTTCCTTGTAACTCTCAAGGCTTGTTTGGTCTTAGGGGCAGCTCTAATCGCCTTCCCTATAAGAACATAACCAACTCCATGGAAAACCAAACAGTACTTTGCTCCGTCGTTGGACCTATGTGTGATAATATCGAAGACTTGAAGTTCATAACAAAATTGATAATAGATTCCGAGCCATGGATACATGATCCTAAATGTCTACCGATAAAGTGGAGGGATTATAAGCCCGATCCTGTGTTGAGTTTTGGATTCTTTGATTTTTCAAGCTACACGTATATACATCCTCCTGTCAAAAGAGCTTTAGAAATCGTTAAGAATTCCTTAATAAAAGAGGGCCATGAGATCATCAAATTAGAATCACCATTTCCATTTCAAAATTTAGGGAAGCTTGCGGGAGAGATATTTTCGGCAGATGGTTGCGAAGAAATACTAGCCGAGTGTTTGAAATCTGGAGAACCTGTCATAAAGGATCTCGTAATGTTGGATAAAAATGGCAATCCACCAAAAGCTGTCAGCGTTCTGGAATATTGGAAACAAGCAGGAGCAAAATACAGGTACCAACAACAATTTGACGAATACTTACTCTCCACTATTAACCGAACTAAAACAGGCAGAGCGGTCGATTGTCTTATTCTTCCATTGCAAGCTGGAGCTTCATACAAGCCTGGTTATTATAATAAAGTGAGAGCTAACTTCACAACAGCTTTCAACGTTTTAGATTATTCGGTTGTAGCTACTCCAATTACTAAGGCAGACAAAACTGTCGATTTAATAGAAGAGTATACTCCTTTGAATGATGCAGACCAATTTCTTTACGAGTGCTACGACCCTGAATTATACGATGGTACGCCTGTCGGAGTTCAAGTTGTGAGTGGAAGGTACCAAGAGGAGAAAGCTATCGCTTTTGCAGAATTGATTCACCGAGCAATCAATAATTAGATTAATTTTGATAGCATTCAATTCTGTTTTTATATTATGAAAGTTTATGAGAAAATTATGTGTTTATGAAGAGCTAGCTTTATATATATTTCCCAAGTCTAGTATCCTTAAAATTATAATAAATATATTTATTTCAAAGTCATATTTATCTCAATGATCTAACTAAGTAAAACCACGCTCTGCCGCAATAATCTTCAAAGCCAACTTCTTGGAGTAAATTCTAGCAAACGTGAGGTTTCCGCCCATGTACCAGAAATTTGGATGGCCAGAATCTCTCCACATGGTTGCGATTTCTCCTTCATTATCATATCCCCATACAGGATTCAACCTATCAGCAACCAGATCTCCGAAGATTCTCCTTGCTGTATCTCTCATATTAGAGTACCCTGTTGCCAAAACTACGATGGCAACATTATCAATCTTGGTTCCGTCAGTAAAAACAACTCCATTTTCTATGAATCGTTCTATTTCACAACCCTGCTTCATTCCAATACTTCCATCACAGATAAGCTTTGAGCAACCAACATCGATGTAGTAGCCTCCGCCACGTCTGTAGTATTTACCGTAAAGACCAGTTCCTCCGTAGCCAGAATCGATCCTGAAACCTGCCTTCTTCAAAGACGACCTTAAATCATCTTCTATTTTGGAGACCTGTCTTGTTTGCTGTTGCATACACAAGTTTTGCAATTTCCAATTGAAGGAATTACCAATAAGATCTGCGATTTCAGTTGGTGGACCACCTTCTTCATACAATCCCTTTCCGAGTATAGGAGCACCCTTATCAACTGTGAGAATACATGTACTTGATCTTTGGATCAAAGTAGGAGTGGCGCCTTGCTCGTAAAAGTCATGAGCAATATCATGACCAGAATTGCAGCAACCTACCACTAATGCATTCTTTCCTTGATATGACTTACCTGTGGTATGTTTCGAAGAATGGACTATCTTTCCCTTAAATTTATCCTCGTCCTTGAAGTGAGGGACATTAGGTTCACCTGAGTGACCTGTTGCCATGACCAAGTGCTTCGGGTTCAAAACAGTCACTTTTTTGGTTTGATTATCCACAATTTCAACTGTCCAAGTCTTCGTCAGGTCATCAAATTTAGCTCCTTTTACGGTCTTGCTGGTCCAGAAACTTAATTCAAGAGTCTGAACGTAAGACTCGAACCATTCTGCTATTTTATCCTTTGGAGTGTAAATGGGCCAGTTGTCAGGGAAATTGAGGTAAGGCAAATGGTCCAGCCAAACGGGGTCATGTAAAACTAAAAATTTATACCTATTTCTCCAATTGTCACCAATACGTGGATTTTGTTCAACAATTAATGAGTCTACTCCCATAACTTTCAATCTTGCAGAAACGTCTAATCCACTGTGACCACCACCAACAATCAATACTGTTGGCTGCTTCTCTCCACCCCACTTGAAATCCTCTTCACGTTTATCAAGCCATGAAACTCTTCCCTTATGCTGGCCATGATTCACACCTTCGGGTCTTCTGCTACGAATTTGCTCTTCATTTCCCTTGATATTTTCTAAGCCTGTATAAATAGCGAGAGCTTTAACTGTATTTTCAACCGTTACTAATCTGACAACTCCAGCACCATAACCAAACTCATTCTCAAACTTTACCAAGAACTGAACCCACTGGATAGGGACTGCACTATCCTTATTGGCTGGGTGAATAACGCTTATAGATACACCTTCTGGGTTATTTTTCAAATCAGCTTCCTTATTAACGCTAACATTTTTTAAACTGAATGTTGGCAAACTTTTGTTCAAGTTATTCACCAAGTCTTTCAGGCCAAAATATTGGTGAAAATCCCAAGATAAAGTTAATTGATCTTTCCAACCAGCATGTGGGACAAAGACGTCCTCGAAGTCCTTATTCGTGATTTTTGACTTCCTACCTGCATCAAGAAGCAAATTAAACTTACTGACCCATTCTTCAGCGAGATCTACCAAATCAAATTTTTCTAAAATTTCCGGAGTTGGTTTTTCTTTACCGTAAAACTTTTCGACGGGTATATCTTCATCAATGGGTTCGTCTACCAAAGGAGGGTTTACCTCCTCGGCCATATCAATTGTTGCTTTTGTTTGGTTTAACTGTTGTGCACTAATCGTCATTTTGTAATGCTTAAGTGTTGACTGAGATTATAACAGAGCAGAGAGTGCGATCAGAACAACTTATTTATATTTCTATTTAAGTGCTAGTCCCCACATTATGATGATAATTGTTAAAACCGAATACACCTAATCCTCTAAATCATCAAAGTCCGTGAGAGTCAAAAAGTGAAATCAGAGGGGTACATAAATGGGGTAGGAAAACTGCGGGAGGTAGTCCGGGACGTATTTTCCGGGGTTCTAAGTAAACGTTTTAAATTAGTCGAAATTATATGTCGTTCAATATTACCTGTTTAGGCTCAAAAATTTGTGGGGAAAGAACAAAGGCTAAGGGACTAGATGGGCCAACAAGGTTTCTTAACATAAAGGCGAAAAACAGATACACGTACCGATTGAATAGCTACAAAGTGTCACTTCTATGGTGCGGGTGCTTTGTGCGGGTGAATATGTACAATTGAACTATGAATATCGACATTTATTGCCCCCCCACACCTTGACGGCATCTAAGTCAAAACTCGGACTGGTCGGTGAGGGTACGTCGGACATTAAGGTCCCGCCGAGCTGGGGTTAAATGCAGGATTTTATGGGGTAAGGTACATGAGTATCATATCTGATAGTCTTACTGATAGGCTTACTGGTACTCCTAATAGTGAAACTGATAATTTTTACTGATATTCTTACTGATAGTCTAAATTCTTATGATACACTTTTGACCTAAAGGAATAATTCTGAATTCGCTCATATTACGGTATATATATCCATTCTTGAGTAATAAGACTTAAACATTAGATTTCATAAATAGACAATAATACTAACGGCTTACTTTATTTCATGTTCTTTGCACCATCAAAGTAAAATACATCCAAGTCCAGCTTTTCGGAGGGAGTTAAGTGCTCTTGCTTTGTTTCTATTGACATGCAACACTATAACGAACGAACCCGGCAAAGTTTCCTTTATAGGTGCTGCGGCCGTGCTTTTATGAACTACCGCACATTCACTAATTCAATTTTCCCCACTCGAAGTGAAAAATGCAGCGGTCCATTTGTGGTGTTCAAGACACGACTAGCATAGCTATTTTTTCAAGCTGGATGGTATCGAAACTGTTATAGAATTAAGGGGATCGTTGGTAATTCTTTTTCTTTGAATAATTACTGCTAGAGATAGATTACGTCAGCCCTAATTTTATTATCTGCATATAATATATGTATCCTCCTTCTATGATGTTTTCTATAAGGCTTTAAAAGAAGATATATTTCCAGCGCTCTCTATTTGGGGTTCCTTTCATAGCAAAACGAAGTTAGGTGTATATTTTGAAAAGGTATATGCCTCTTCATCATACGCTATTTAGCTACTTAAAAATTGCGAATGTTGACTCAATATTTATGATGACTCTCGAAATGACTCAAAATTATTGACTCGCGATGACTACTCCGGTAGTCATCCTAGATAATTCGAGTTTCTGGATGAGCTCGAGCGCCCATACAGAATTAGCCATTTGTCATCAATAACATACTTTCTTATATCCAACCGGTAATGATGCCTTTTAAAAATACTGCTGTCAGGTCCTTTTCTTCCAAGTCTTTTCGTTTAACCTATTCTGCCAATGCGACTCAAAACTGGCTGAATCGATTTAATAAATTGAATTTTGAAACTGACATAGAGTTTCGTAAGCAACTAGATAAATCAAGTGCATTGGAAAAAGCTCTCAAAGCAAGTAAACCAATCAACTCATGGTCTAAGGAAGAAATTAGAGAAATCTATGATACGCCATTAATGGAATTAGTTTTTCAGGCACAGATTCAACATAGAAAATATCATAATCCCACCGAAGTACAATTATGTACCTTACTTTCAATCAAGACGGGAGGGTGTACCGAAGACTGTAAATACTGTGCTCAGTCATCTAGATATGATACAGGAACGAAGGCTGAAAAATTGATAACAATCGAAGAAGTCATGATGGCCGCCCGAAAGGCTAAAGAGAGAGGTTCAACAAGATTCTGTATGGGTGCTGCTTGGAGAGATATGACAGGCCGCAAGTCTGGTTTAAAGAAAATTTCTGAAATGGTTTCCAAGATTAACTCTGAATTGGGTATGGAAACATGTGTGACCCTCGGTATGCTTGACTCCAGTCAGGCAAAAAATCTAAAGGAGGCAGGCTTGACAGCTTATAACCATAATATAGACACTTCGAGGGAACATTATCCAAATGTCATTTCAACTCGGAGCTATGATGATAGATTAAAAACTATACAAAACGTCCAAGAAGCTGGTATAAGTGCTTGTACCGGAGGAATTCTTGGTTTGGGTGAAACTGAAGAAGATCACATTAGTTTCTTGTACACTTTGTCCAACTTAGAGAAACATCCAGAATCATTGCCAATCAATCGCCTTGTTCCTATCAAAGGAACCCCGATGGAGAAGGAGATATCTAGCTTACCAATTTCTTCTGAGAGACGCTTGAAATTTGAACAAATTTTGAAAACCATTGCTACCGCTCGGCTCATTATGCCAGGCTCAATAATTAGGTTAGCAGCAGGGCGCTATACAATGAAGGATAATGAGCAATTTCTCTGTTTTATGACTGGTTGTAATGCTATATTTACCGGGGAAAAAATGCTTACAACAATGTGCAATGGGTGGGATGAAGACATTGCGATGCTAAAGAAATGGGGCCTTAGCCCTATGAAAAGTTTCTCAAAAAAGCCACTTTTTTCGGCGGAAGCTAGTACGGCTTGATCAGAATTTAAAATTTCAAGAAGAAGATTAATTTGATGATCCTCTTGCTAGTTTATTTAGAATAAAGTAGTGGACGCCAAAAAAAAATAAAAATTGTTTAGATATATGAAAGTTTGTTATGGACCTCAATAACATAGACAAAGCTCCCAGTCGTAGCGTGTATGTGAATAGGTTTGCTGAGCTGACAATTTTTGTTCCATTGAACTTGAAAATTATTTATATAATATATACTTCTTTACATCCTCACATCTATGGGTGAAGCTTCCAGTTGGATTAACAGAATTTCCAATTTCATCTTCTCTTTTCAGAATTTAGAAAAAAACGCAACTTTGATCCATCCATATAATCGGTCATAGTGATGTCCAGCCAAACATCGCTTTTTGGAGAATATCTTGTTCTGTGGAATCTACAATGACACAAACAAATGGAGTTGAGCTTATCTCATTAAAAACCTTTCAATTTAGCTCCTGTATTAGCAGTACACACAAAAAAAGGAGATAATAGAAAAAACATACTTTCTATGCTGAAAGTGCTTGTTTATAAAAAGTTGCAACTCCAACTACACCTTTAGAAGTAAAATCGGCCCAACAATTCTCTTATCGGACTTCTCGTGATCACGATAGTGTAGAATTCCAGCTTCGGAATATAAGGTTTCTCGTAATAACTTTCCTTTTAGGATAGTATCGGAAAATTTGAAGATTCCAAATACACTATTGTAGGCAACAATGATTGTAATACATAAGGCTATCTTTCGCTATAAAGTTAGCACGTATTCTAAATTAGAATTAGCCATAAAATAATCCAAGAGCGAATGTTGTATACAAAAGAATTAATCGACGGTCTCAGAGCTTACGACTTGCCGCAAGTCGTTATTGATAACGAAGTTCGTACTTTGATTGAAAAAATTGAATCCATAGAGGGCTTCAATCCTACTCAGAAGTTTGACCCGGAAAGACATATCTTATTCAAGGAGGGAGATTTTCAGAAAACTAAGATCTTAAAACTACCTGAATTAGGTATTACTAAAACCCATGTTGATCCTATTACAGATGTTGCTGTCACGGAGCCATTCCCATTATTCACTGAAGAGGCCTGCAACATAATGAAATGGGAAGCGTTTCTGAGAAGTACGATTCAGAAATACGGTAGAGTACCAATTATGGCTAAAAAAATAACCTCTACTGATTTTCAAGTTTGTGGATATTCTGAACATGCACCGTTCACAGTCGCTGCTTGGAAGCACCCTAGGGTCCAAGAAATTATCAATAAATTTGCCGGTGTAGGGTTAAAAATAATGTTTGATTATGAAATTGCCCAAATCAATGCTTCATTAGTAGATAATAAAAAGCCCATCGGTAAAGTCAAAGCAGCAAATCATAGCCAAGACCCAGAGGAGCTGGGTGCAGTTTTTGACTGGCACTATGATTCTAATTCAATAACTGTAGTATTAATGTTGTCGACTAATGACAATATAGATGGGGGAAAAACGGGATTGAAAAATGGCTCTGAGGAAGTTGTATTTATTGGAGATCCAAAAGTAGGATATGCAACACTTTTGCAGGGCCGAGTTGTAAAGCATGTCGCTTGTAAACCTTTTTCTAATGACGAAAGAATCTCATCTGTTGTCGGTTACATTCCCGAGTCCTTGGATGTTCCTGATACTACAGTATTGACAACTTTTCGACCATCAGTTGCACCAAGGTCCATTCATAATGAATATTATCCACAGTGGATCGATTATAGGTTTAAGAGAGTTGAAGATCGTTTGAAAAGGAAGAGGCAACAATTGATGAGTAGAATGCGAAATGGTGAGTCTTTTGAACAGATAGATGTTGTAGAGTTCTGCAAAGATATCTCCGATTATTTAATGAAAAGTTGGAATGAGTTTGAATGCATTCAGGACAGTAATAATTATCCTCCCGCATTGTTCTCAATCCCCTACAAAGATCTTTAAGTCATTATAGAGAATGTATCACAAGACAACATTCCATTCAGCATGATCACAAAATGTATGTGACTAGGCTCGTTGCCTCTACTAAGCACTAGAATTGGCGCATGGAAATCGTAATTCCAAAACTGACTATTGTTTTCAATACACACAAATACCATGAAAAGTATGTTTTGACCAAGAGTAAAGATTTTTTGATGTAGTTTTACGAATAGGCTATGGAGTCAAGGATTAGAGTGAGAGATCAACTGGACACAAGAAGTCACGATCCCAAAATTTTAGTATTAAGATGGTGCGCTCAACATCACCGTTTTTAAAATACTTTCCCAAGTGATAAGTATTTAATCTCGAAACTCATTGTATCTAGTTTCCTTAATCATCAAAGATACCGACATACATGAACAGACCTACGTTAGCTGTGAAATAGCATCGAGAATTATTCTTTAGAAATGACAAGTTTGGCACGTACGCTCTGCTTGCAAGCTAAATTTTGTTCAAAGACCTTTGCTACAGCGAATTGAAATAGATCCTAAGGACTTTAAAATAGTTCATATTAGAATCTCTTGACAAATCGCTATTAAAACCAAATCTAAGAGCTCTAGGTAAGTCAAATACCTAATAAAAATAGTATTGTTGCAAATTCGGCAGCGTCTGCATATCGCGATTAGGAAATTATATATGTTTATACTTGACATCATGAATATAAAGGTTTAATCTCAGTGTAATTGGGGCCCATATCTGATCCTTTTCAATGTGTAAAGAGCTGACCTTCACCAACCTGATTTTTTTTTTACTTTATTTCTTACAGAAAATCTTCAGGAACTGAATTTTAATTTTAACCAGGATGAAAGATTACAACTTGATAGAATCAGTTCTACCTCATAGGTTTAGGAGCAAGCAGATCCCGAAGATCAGTTTATACTGACACTACGAGTATCGAAGTATAATCATAAGTTCTTGTTTTAGGGAGGAGCTATGTTTCTTTTCTAGATCACCTATAACTTAGCTTTTAAGTTTAGTGATGTGGACCATCTGATAGTTCGATAGCTCTAATTAGTTCGGAAATTGAAGATAATGTTGCTGTAATTTTTATAAATCCTTACACCACTCTATCTCGGAATCAACTATGTTTCAATATGTTGTTGCAAATTCCGAATCACAATCCCTATCAAGAACCATACTTGAAATTCCGAACCATTATCTTTCGTATCAATGGGACACTAATAGATCTCCTTCTTTAGTCATCTCTTTTCTAATGAACACAATTCCGAATAATGGTGAGGTTGAAACATCATATAAAGGTCTTTAGTTTTAGCTAGTTCATATGTTTCTTGACGTGACAATTGTTAACACTTCTCTAAGTGTCTGAGACCAAATGACGGAGCAGAAGACCAAATCGACTACTAGGGGCTACCTCTACAAGGATGCCGGTCCCCAAAATACTGCAATGGGTTCAGAACATCCTGGGAAAATTCCAAGTTTTGAAAATATGTATGAAAAGAGGAAATGGATCAAGCAGCATATGGCTGCGGCATTTAGAGTCTTTGCTAGGTGTGGATTCACTGAGGGAACAGCTGGCCACATTAGTGTCAGAAATCCTATCGATGAGCATACATTTTGGATTAATCCTTTAGGAATTCATTTCAGTTTAATTAAAGCATCAGATATGGTTCGTGTTGATTATCACGGTAATATTGTTGAAGGTGAGAATAAAGCCATCATTAGAGCAGGGTTTGCAATACATTCTTCTCTTCATCAAGCTAGACCAGACGTGCATGCTGCCTGCCATTGCCATACAGTTGATGGAAAGGCTTATTCCACGATCTGTCGGCCACTTGAAATGTTGAACCAGGATGTGTGTGCCTTTTATAAGGCACATGCTGTATATGACGACTTTGGGGGTGTCGCAATGGAACTTGACGAGGGCATAGCGATCGCTAGAGCTCTAGGAGATGGTAGGGGAGCCATTTTAAGAAACCATGGCCTAATAACTGTCGGAAGAACTGTTGACGAAGCTGCATATTTATTGATGTTGATGGATAAATCATGTCGAATTCAGATGCAAATAGATCAATACTGTGCAGTCACAGGCTTCAAAAAACACTTAATAGGTGATGAAGAAGCAAGCTACACGAAACACATGCAAGCAGACTACGAGACCCTCTTTGCAGAATTTCAGCCTGAATATAACGCCGAGCTTACTCATTCCGGAGGTGATTTCTTAGGTTAAGCAAAGATCTAATTATATATATGTATAAAAGCAAAATGAATGAGCATTTTTTTAAGTTTTTTTAACCATAAGTACTTCAAAAAAGATATTAGAACCTTCACGTGCCAATAATAAAATTATCGGGATGCATTGTACTACAAATGGTACCCCTAGGATTTGCGATACACTAAGAGTTGAAACTGAAAGCTTTTATATTCTATTTGGCCTTTCTTTAGGTATGGAAATTAGTCCTTTCGATTCCTTCGTTTTGTTTTGGACTACTTTTAGAAGATTATAGATTAAGCCTAAATAAGGAGCGCTGACACCGTTTCTTTGAGCTATTTTCACAGGATTACCAACTAAAACTTCTAGCTCGATGTAGTTTCCTTTTAATACATCTACAAGCATGGAAGGTTGACACCATACTCCATCATCCAATTTGAGCATCAGATCAATAACTTCTTCCTTAAAATGGGCTCCTTCCGATTTTGCGATTTGTAAAATTTCTTCCATGGCTGGCCTTAGGATGCTTTCTTCAGCCCCAAATATCTGTAATCTTCCTGTGTCAACTCGAGTCAATGCACAGACAGGATTCATGGTTCCATTATATATAAGTTTTCTCCATCTGCTCTGATTTACATCATTATCGAAAAAGCAATGATTCATTTCATTTGAATACAAGGGATATAAACTTTTCCGCCTCTTGTTTCTGAAATTCTTTAGTAAGAAACTTATTAAAGAAATAGCCAATTGCTAAGTCATCAGTACTAATATGCTGAATTGTCTTGTCGTATTTGTTTGAGCTGATTAATGAAACCCCACTTAATACAGCATTTTCAGGAAATCGAGAAAACAACAGATCTGAGATACCAATACCGTTTTGCAATAAAACAATCGTAGTTGTTTTGGGGGTAATAGCCGAAGAAATTATGTTTTCCACTTTTACGATGTCTGGAATATTTTTGGTGGCAACCACAATGAAGTCAAAAGGGGCATCAGTTACGGAATCTTCCACAGTTTCTACTATACTCTTCGGTTGGTAACTCTCAATAATACCGTAATCAACTGATTCTATTCTGAACCCTTTCTTCTTTACTTCGTTAGTGTTAGATCTCACAACTACCGTCAAATTAGTTCTCTTGTTTCTTTCTAACGTGTATCCTGCAATTACTCCCACACCCCCTAAACCAACAAGTAGAACATTCGCTTTCGACATCTATATTATTGTTGAATCAATAAAGGTTGTGTGAAACGACGGCCAGACTATGATGATATACTTAAATAAGAAAGTTGTCGCAGCCGATCACATCTATCTGGGACATTATCTCGGAATAAATTACCCATTAGTAATAAAATTCCGAGGACAGAGTTCTATCGAAAATGATCTACCAGTAAGATAACGCACTGATTACATAGCTATTAAGCTAAATTAATCTGGTTTGTCACATTATGCATAGATAGAGAAATATTTGCTCTCTTTATCTAATTATTACTTCTGCTCTTCGGAAAATATTTTGGAAAAGTTTGTTAGTTCATGGATTCGAGGGTATCTGAAAAGAAGAAACGAGGAAAGAGAAAAAATACATATAGCAGAAAAGGTTGTATCGTATGCAAACTGCGTAAGCTTAAGTGTGACGAGAGTTTCCCCCGATGCTTGAACTGCTTGAAAGGTTCTAGAGATTGCTCCTACAAACAGATTGCCAAGTTTAGCAAATCAAGATCATTCACAATCGATGACGATATAACGAATCCTGAAAACAATAATGATCACAATAAAGCATTTGAATCAACAGCTGTATGTATACAGAAAGCTGATAACTTATTAGGGAGTGCTGTCAGCGACCCTGTGATTTCAGCTATTCCTCACGGGGAAGGAAACAAGTCTCTTCATGATACATCTTCAGACTTTACAACTTCTAGCGACCAAAACGGGCTCATGCCCCAAGAGCATAACTTAAATCACAATAGTAAAACTAATTTCTGTTTAGCAAGTCTGTTTGGGGATGATCTTGAATTTGACAAGATTTTGATGGATGACGCTACTTCGTTGACACAGGGTTTAAATGACTACGGTAATTTTGAATTTGACCAATTTTCGATTAATGTGCCCCCTAATTTATCTATAATAAGTAAGGCTAAGTACTCGAGTGTTCAGAAAGATTCCCATCGAGGTGATAAAACCGATATAAGGATTCAACAGTTGATTTCATCATACGATTTGATAGATGTCCATAAAAATTACATTCGCTTATTCAAAGACAAATATTCCCTTTGGATAATGCCGCTCTGTTCTGAGTCCAAAAACATATGTGCTCAAATATTATTGGCCCAGGCGCTTGACTTTCCTTTTTTATTATATGCTATCTTATCTATTACGGCTCGCTACGAGAACTTCTTGAGCGAAAACTCAGAAGACGAACAATTTCTGAAGTTTTACTTCTTCCAATGCTGTGAACAATTTGCAAGAATTTTTGAAGATAAAGAACACATATCAGGTTATATTGAACCCCTTATTTTGACTACATTGTTACTTGTTACTGATGCTGCCGCCTTTATAAATGGAGATTGGAGAGCACATTTAAAGGCTGCTCATAGCTTATTGAGTAAATATGTTGATGCATACAAAAAAACTAGCTCTGTTATCGTACTCTCTAGATCATGGTTTGCGATCTTGGAAATATTAGCTATTGCTGCAAATCCTTCAGGGGGCGCAATAACTTCGCAGGGAGGTCTTGAGATGATATCTAATATACTGTTTGGTTCAAAAGATACCAAATTGGCTATTGAAATGGGACTTCTTTTGCCAAATGGATATAGCATCTCTTTGGGGTATACTAGAGAAGCTGTTGATATGTTTATCACATTTGTCAGGATTACTCTTAGGCTAAAGGAAAATAAAGTACAAAAGGTTTCAGCGGATGATCTTTTAGCTCTTATGGGCCAAATTGAAATAGCAAAAAAGTCCTATTTTGCTACTGACAATTGCTTAATTCCTGAAAATCATGCATACCATCCTAATAATGCGACAGGAATGCTCTTTCCACCTTCAACATACTCCTGGATGGGAAATAATGTCTTTTCCTGGTTTGATATATCTCATAAGGTGCACGTTCAGGCCCTTTACCTTAAGGTTTTGGTCGATGAAAGTTTCCTCAATATACCCATTGAGTCACCTATTGTCCAAGACGTAGTGGCGGAAATCCTTAGTTACTGCCATTTTTTTCGAAGAATAAATTTTACGGATAGTCATTTTTCTTTAAAAAAACAGCTAGAATCAACTAGAGGAGATGAATTTTGGCAAGATCACCGATTAATAAACTGCCATTGGCCACTTCTTACATGCGGCCTTTGTTGTCTAAATAGGATAGACAAATTGAAAATTGAGTTTTACTTTTGCATTATGATTCAGATGGGCGCTAGATCATTTGAGAGGTCTTTTGAAAATGTCAAAAACAAATGGAACGGCGTTACAGAACTCTCAGACTGTGTCCCTTTCTGTTAATTTATTTTCAATTCCTGATAATTTAAAAGATTTCGTAGAGTTCACTGACCATCTCAGTCCTAACATACCGCTTTACGAATCTAGATCCTCCTTTCTCACACAAAAATATCTCATCCTCTTTAGATACTCTTAATTTTATATAATATGTCTGGCATGCTGGCTGTAGCCATTTTTTTACCTATGGCTTAATGCGTAGAGAGAATCGAAAAGGTACCTTAATATATTGAATAGCACATGCTTTAGAGGAGGGTATCCTCCTACGAGTGATACATTGCGACTGAGTAAATATTATTCTATCACAAGTAAACTGAATATCACAGTACTGTTAAGTTCAGGCACTGGCACTGTTAGAAACCAGTTATTCACAATTTTTGGATCCCAAAATTGAAACTGATATTCATTTTCAACGCTTGAAACTCGAATGCTTATCTTCAAAACTTCAGTAGCCGCATCCAAGTTAATTTAGCAGCCCAGATTTGATGATAATGCAAACTGGAAGACATATATTATGGTTAAAGATGTAGCCAAATACTATAAATAATGAACAAAAGAATAGAACTCCAAGATACTTCTCCAGGGTCAGTCATGCATATATCTTTAGCAGATGAATGTTTACGAAGTGTCCAACATAGAAGACTGTTCCTTTATTTGTTTAATCTTTCTGAATTCCAAATCCATGAGCAATGAAATAAAAGGATTCGATCAAAACGAATAGTGAAATCGAGTAAAATCTGGTCATTTATGAAACAGTCTTGAATTCAGCATCTTAATCAAATCAAAGGACAATCGAATTGAGATTTCGCATTTATCTTAGAGCACCTTTCCAAAACATTATTCCAATTAGAGCGTAAGATCGAAATTATCTCGCTAGAAAACAAAATTATAATACCAAGACCAAGACCAGACCACAAACCATAAATTCCGTACTTCGAACGGAATCCCAAGATAAATTCTATCGGTAACGCAAGCACATAAAAACACACAAAATTTAAAATAGAGCCAACTCTTTGCCTCCCTTGGGCTCTTAGTATTCCAGAACAAATTATGTTAATACAGTCTCCAAACTGATTGACAGATACTATAATCAAAGTTTTAGATGTAATATCTTCTATAGTAGACTTCAAAGGACCAGATGGTGATAATATGTGGGCTATAAGATCCTTGGTGAAGAAAGTTGCGATGAGGCAAATCGAACCCAAAATAAAGGACATGAAAAGATACGTTCTTACCAAGAATTTTGAATAGATCAAGTCTCCGGAACCTATTACATTTGCCAACTTGGTACAACAGCATATACTGACTCCAAATGGTATTTGAAATATGCCATCGGCAACTGTGATAACTATAGACTGAGCAGCCAATTCATTGATTGAGAGTTTGCAGGTCATGAATGTCAAAATTTGAAAAGCCATAGCCTCACTTATTGTCATACATACACCGTTTAATGAAAGATGAAACATATGCCCCATGTTTTTAGTGAGTCTCGTAATGTTTCTGATAGGTATGAAGCACTTCCTTGGATAGATTGGGTTTTTGGTCCAAAGAATATATATTGAGAGGCTGATGGCCATGAACCAATAATTCACGACCGGAATCCATGGAACTATGCTGAATGCAAATTTGGGTATTGAGTACGAGCACCATATCATGTTGATTGGAACAAGAAGCAGTAAAATGAAAGTTGGCGGGTGAAAAATTCCCTGGCAGAGTAGAAATCGCCTCTCTACTTCAAAAATAATAAGAGCTGGCGTCCCGAATATGATCACACGCAAGTAATATTGACAGCTATTGACGATCTCTTCATCTTTTATAAAAAAAGGTTCAAGCAAAATTTTGACGCAATTAAAATGGAATAGTGTGAGTGGCACTAGGAGCAAAGCCATTAGTACTATGCATTGTTGGCAGTAATACCCTACTTCATGGAACTTTTTCGCACCAAAAGCTTGATTGCAAAGAGTATCCAACGAGGTTGAAAAACCGTTGAATAAAGCTGGTCCTGTAATGTAGTAAAGAGTATTGCATAGACTCACTGCAGCGAGCTTTTTCTCTCCCAAGCCCTTAACAAAGTATATCAACATCAATCCTAACGCGTATTGTAAAATCATAGATGCTATGACAGGAATTGAGTTCTTCAACACAACTTTTGACTCTGAGAAGTAGCTGTACCTTCGGCCCATTGAAACCATGCTGTTAGTAGTGTACAAGCGCCTTTCTTCTGATTGCATCAACATTGCATTCTCTGATGTAGGATATTGCATCCTAATCAAAGATCTTTAGAATTTCAGCAAGGTTGCTTATCATTACACTAGGCTATTACGTTCTTAACTTAAATACTTTTTCTCTTCATTTTTCAGAGTTTAAATTTAATTCGCAAAAAATTACTGTTTTGATTCATTGTTAATGTACATTTTTGAGAATTAATTCCGACTTTCTTATCAGCTGGAAATCATCTCCCGAAAAAAAAAAGCTCTCACTTCGCCGTATGCGCATCGATCTCTATCTTATCAGTGAAGACAAAGCCAAGAATCTCCTAACACAGCGAGCTTGACGAGAGGATATATAGTGTGTAATCTGTTCATGTATATCCCTAACTCTAGCTATAGGTATTCATTGCAAGATGAAAGAATTACTTTCTATTAAGTCAAATGCAAGTGAATACAAGGTTGACTCATATAAAAACCTTTTGATCACTAACTCTAATGCCGTTAACTCACAAGACGATGACTATGAAAGTGATGACTTCTCTGAGAAGCATGGATTGAGGAGAGGGTTAAAACTGAGACATGTTCAATTAATAGCTTTGGGTGGATGTATTGGTATGTAACGATTTGTTAGGAGCTACCTGAATTGAAAACGAAAAAAAAATACTAATTTATTAGGTACTGGGTTATTTGTTGGAACCGGTTCCTCACTACTGCAATGTGGGGCTGCTTCTTTACTTATAAGTTATGCAATAATGTCACTTGTGCTTTATCTTGTAATGAATATGCTAGGGGAGATGACGACCTTTCTTCCTCTTCCAGGAAATGGGCCACAATCATTTGTAAACAACTATGTGGACAGTTCTTTGGGATTTGCCATAGGGTACAATTACTGGTATTCCTTCGCCATGTTGGTGGCGACAGAAGTCACAGCTGCTGCTATAGTTATTCAATACTGGAATGACACTATCAACATAGCAGCCTGGATTTCAATTTTACTTGTGGTAGTGCTTGTGCTCAATATGAGCTCAGTAAAATATTTTGGTGAATTTGAGTTTTACTTTGCTTCTTTGAAGTTATTCGCAATAACAGGTTTAATTATCTTAGGAATTGTCTTATTCTTTGGTGGTGGACCAAACCATGATAGACTTGGATTCAGATATTGGAAGAATGGTGGTGCATTCAAACAGCACCTCGTTTCTGGTGGTACGGGGAGATTCTTGGGTGTTTGGACGGCAATAATTAAATCAGGATTTGCTTTTATTTGCGCCCCGGAGCTTGTCTCGCTTACAGGTGGAGAATGCGAGAAGCCAAGAAGGAATCTTCCGAAGGCTTGTGACAGATTTGTCTATCGTTTGATATTCTTCTACATTTTCGGTACTCTAGTGATTGGAGTTATATGTAACTCGAACAGTCCCAGGTTAATGAGTGCAAGCAGCGATGCATCAGCTTCACCATTCGTTATAGGTATCCAAAATGCTGGAATTCCTGCGTTAAATCACATTATTAATGCCGCTATTTTAACTTCTGCCGCATCTTCAGGAAACTCGTTTTTGTATTCAGCATCGAGATGCTTATATGCCTTAGCTTTAAATGATTCAGCTCCAAGAATTTTTAAAAGAGTAAATAGGGCTGGTGTTCCTTATTACTGTGTTTTAATTTCGTGGGCAATAGCCTGCCTTTCATACCTCAATTGTTCATCCTCGTCGTCTGATGTCTTTACTTGGTTTTCCAATATTTGCACCATATCAGGATTTATCAGCTGGATTGCAGTATCTATAGCCTATCTTAGATGGAGGAAAGCAATCAAGTACAATAATTTAGAGGATCGTGTTACATATCGTACCCCTTTCCAACCTTATGGAACCTACTTCGTGATAGGATTCATTGGGCTTTTAACTTTAACGAATGGGTACGCTGTTTTTTTCAGTTTTACTGCTGGTGACTTCCTTGGAGCTTATATCACGTTCCCAATTGTTTTTTTCTTGTATTGTGGACACAAGATATTTATCTATTTACGTACAAAAAAATTAAAATGGGTAAATCCAATAGAGGAAATCGATTTAATAACTGGCTTAGATTTGATAGAAGAGGAAGATAGACTTACACCTGAAAGAGTTCCCAAAAACTTAGCTGAGAAGATATGGTTTTGGATAGCATGATGTTCTCAATGAGCTAAATATTCATTAGATTATATAATATATTTTTTTGAATACTTAATTAGGTGATATTTTAAAAATAGTTGATCACGAAAATAAAAGTGCGTTACAATACTGAAATGTAGCCTCAAGAGGAGGGAGAATCAAACAACCCAGGCGTAGAGGAACCTTACTAACTTGTTATCGTGAAATATTGATTTGAAATACTTACTAACTTGTTATCGTTAAAATAATGATTTAAAATATATAAATATACACACAATCAATAAAATTCTCTAATAATCTTGACTTTAAGAAATGGGTGTGATAGTCATGAGCTCCAAGAGGGACCTTCCTATTTCGCTTGCAGCTGCAGTTGTGATCTCACCTTGATCATAGATTGGTGAAACTTCAACGATATCGGCACCTATAATCTGAAGGCCCTCCAAACCACCAAGTATCGTCAAAAGCTCTCTTGTGGTAAATCCGCCGGGCTCAACCGTTCCTGTTCCTGGTGCTACACTGGGGTCTAAGCAATCAACATCAACCGTAATATAAACCTTATTATTTCCCACTCTTTCTTTGATTTTCTTAATAATTCCTGTAACTCCAATATCATCAATATCACGAGACATTATTCTTTGAAAACCAATTGCAGTGTCCCTCAGAGTATCATTCACATTTTCATAATAACCTCTAAGGCCTACATGAATGTTGTTATCTGATGAAATCAAGCCTCTTCTTGCAGCCCAATGAAAAAAAGTACCGTGATTCAAAGCCGCATATTCTGTTACATTAGGATTCATGTAATATGGATCAACCGAGTCCAAATGACTGTCGAAGTGTATAACAGCCACCTGACCCCACTTTTCATAAACAGCCTTTAGACAGCTAAGAGTAATTGTATGGTCCCCTCCAAGAGTCAAGATCCTAGGAGTGTTTGAGAGGTTGGAATGGACAGACTCCTTTTTTAAAATGGATCTTTGTGCGCGATAAAGCTGATCTATTGCAACTCTGTTGTCAATTGGTGTCATAGGAGGGTCTCCACAATCAACTACTTTACATTCCTTAAAGAGGTTGAATTTCTTTCGAAAAGGGGATAAGCTTTTGGCTGACATTCTTTTTGTAGCGGACCTTATACCCATGGGGCCAAAGCGAGCTCCAGGACGATAACTGACTCCAGTATCAAAAGTAGCCCCAACAATCGCAATGTCAAAACCTTCGGTGCCAGTATAACAGTTTCTCATTTCCGAATGAGCGAATGTTAAGAAACCACTTAATGGGTTGCTTGTATATCTATCAGAGTTACCAGAAATTATATCTGAGATATCATCCTTGTCAGGAAATATAAAATTTTTTGACCAAATATGTGAATTATTTTCTACTAAGTCAGTAAATTCCTTTTGATAGTTCCCAAAATAACTTTCACCAAAATAATTGTCGAGAAAAGTGTCCTTTTTACTTTCGTAGTTCATATATTGTTCCACTGATATTTCCTCATTTGGCTTAGCGAGCCACTTATCGTCTTCGGAAGCTTGATCTTGAAAGAGCTGCTGCCTAAAGACAGCACAGTTAACAGCCTGAGCTATTACAAGGTAAATGAGAGTCCGCATTCCCTATTATTAATGCTTAATTTCAAATGCAGGTTTATTAAATAATGAATGTCATATATATTAAAGGAAAGTCAATCTTGATTTTTTGTTTGGCAAGTCTACTACTTAAGTAATCAAACCTGAGCTTAATATCATACCTTTTGAGTGGAACTAATTTCTATATTAGGAAAGTCTTGAGGAGGAAACGAATTTTGGATAAAGTTCGGAATATTCTTATGATCGGATCTTTCGCAGCCAGCAGATAGAAGTATTCAATTCTCGGAAAAGTTTTACTATTTAGGACATCTCGGAATACTCTACGATGATTAGAAAGAGACTCACTCGATAAAATATTATATTGAATTGTCGGGAATCAAATTATGAATGACTTTGGTTTGGAGTTAGATGACTGAGAGCCCGACCGAAAAGAAGAATACTGGAAGGAGAAGAACCACCTACAGTAGAAAAGGTTGTGTTGTATGCAAGACTCGAAAGCTTAAGTGTGACGAAACAAAACCTCAGTGTTCAAATTGCGTAAAAGCAAGAAGGATATGCAATTATTTGGAAGGAGCTAAATTCAGTAAATCTAGGACAATTTCCCTTGAAGATGTGCCTTCTTTTAAATTTTACCAAAAATATAAACATAATGACAAGTCTCTCGGTTTGAAGTCAATTACGCCAACAAAAACAGAGCCAAGCACTGATGAGTCAACTACTGCTTATATTACACAACATGAGGTGAGAGACTCAGATAAAAGGTCTGAGGTTTCTCCAAATGATAGTGTTATGCCACTGCAGAACCAAGATCTCTTGAAAACCCCAGCTTCAACTCCCTCCTTAGAAGGAATCTTCGACCCAAATAGAGAGTTTGACCAGATGCTAATGGATGATGCTACTTCATTGGCCCTTGGGTTGAATGACGTGGCTGAATTTGATATGGATCAGTTGAACATTGAAAACTTTCCTGAAATAGCATTTACCAGCGAATATAGTCGTGATATCATCCTGGAAGCTGATACTCAAACAGATATAAGGATCCAACAAACGATGGCATCTCACGATTTGTTAAATGATCATATAAACTATATTCGCCTATTTAAAAAAAAGTATTCTCTTTGGTTAATACCGCTTTGTTCTGAATCAAAAAACATATGCGCCCAAACATTATTAGCGCAAGCAGTTGACTTCCCATTTTTGTTGTATGCCATTCTATCTATAAGTGCGAGATATGAGAGTTTCTTGAAAGAGGATAAGGTAGATGAACATTATCTGAAGCTCTATTTCGTTAAATGTTGCAAGGAGCTTTCGAGAATCTTTGAAGATAAACATCATATGGCTAGTTACATTGAGCCTCTCATTTTAACGACACTACTACTTGTGACAGATGCTGCTGTTTTCATAAATGGAGACTGGAGAGCACATTTGAAAGCTGCACATAATTTGTTTAGTAAATATGTTGATGCCTATAAGAAAAACAGCCCAGCGATTGTACTTTCAAGATCGTGGTTTGCAGTGTATGAAATTCTCGCAGTGTCAACGAATACCTCTGGTGGAGCAATAGCTTCTCAAAATGAGCTCGATATGTTGACTGATATACTGTTTGGATCGAAGGATTCGAAATTAGGAATTGAACTTGGGCTTTATTTACCTAATGGCTATAATGTCTTTTTGGGGTATACTGATGAAGCAGTGCTGATGTTTATAACGTTCGTAAAAATAGCCATCAAAATTAGGGAGAGTCAAATAAAGTGCGTATCACCAGAAGATCTTTCTACCTTAATGAACCAAATTGACGTTGCAAAGAAGACTTTCTTGGCTTCAGATAACTGTCTAATTGAGAAAGACAATGCCTTTTATCCGAGAAATGCTACGGGGATGCTTTTGCCGACCGCAACGTACGGTTACATAGGCGAGATTGTATTTTCCTGGTTTGACATATCTCATAAATTACATGTACAAGCATTATATCTCAAGGTTTTAACTGATGAAAGTTTTTTAAATTTACCACGAGAATCAAGCCTCGTCCAGAGTCTTGTTAAGGAAATTTTGTCTTATTGCCATTTTTTTTTGGGTATAAAATTTACTGATCCTTTGTTCTCTTTGGAGGCTCAGCTAGAACTGAATAAAAGAGACACTTTTTGGCAGGACCACCGTTTAATAAACTGCCACTGGGCTCTTCTTACATGCGGTGTATGTTGTTTGAATCACATTGATCGCCTAAAGATAGAGATTTATTTTCGAAGCATGATTCAAATGGGCGCTAGATCGTTCAAAACAAGTTTCGAGCACATACAGAAAAAATGGAATGGAGAAGTTGGGATTTCAGAGTGTGTTCCATTCTGCTGATTGTCGTCTTGAATATTGCCAAATGACAAGACTTCGTCAAAAACAAACTACCATATATTATATATACCTCGCTTCAACTAAGTGTTACTTCAGAAGCTAAAAATTCAACATTTTAAATAGTGGCACTTCCAAACAGGAATAGTTCAGCCTTTTATACCTAATGTATATGCACCCACACTTGGGGAAGACGATCGGTGCAGAATATCCTGTATATAACGGTTCGTTAAAATTACGTTTCGATTCAATATAAAATATGTCCTTGTTGAATTCGCTTGAGAAGATAAGACATTAATGTATGATATTCGATCTTTCTACGAGGATGAACACATATCTGCCTGGTTGTCAGAAACCCCAACAACAACTGGGGAAACCGAAGTTATACTCAAAAATAAACTTTGTCTTTTGAATGAAAGAGAATTCTGCAACGTATTACTTTCGACCAAAAGAGTAGCTGATATAATAAAAAATGCGATAAAGGTAAAACGTGTTGCTCTTGTTACTACTTCGAATGAAATTATCAAACTCGTACCTTTGCACGGTCTCTCTAATGAATGGAAAAGTCTTGTGAATACAAAAGAAGAATTCAACGAAAAATTTCCTGGTTATATATCCTCTCGAAACGGCCCAAGGAGCACCAATAAAACCCTTGATCAGATGCGAGATCAATTGACTCAAGGATGCCATCCCTCAATGGATTATACCTTCATTGGAAATAAAGGAAAGGATAGTTTATTCGGAAAAATAGTAAGGGGTGAGTATGAACAGTGGCGAATATGGGAAGACAAGTGCCATGTAGCATTCCTTACGCCTTTTGGTAATGCACCAGGATTCACTGTTGTAGTGCCCCGTTGTTGGAAACCTAGTGACATATTCAGTTTACAAGACAATGACTACGTTGCACTATCAGCTGCGGTATTTCTCGTTTCGAACGAAATCAAACATTCACTCAACATAAGAAGAGTTGGAATTATCTTTGAAGGAATGGAGGTGGATTATGCGCATGCGAAACTCATTCCAATTCTTGAAGATGATAATAATAAAATTGAACCTGAAGAACAAGATTTCTCAAATACTTACGATGGAACAGTTTCTTCAAAAGTGGGACCAAGAGTAGCCTTAAAATCTTTGCAAGATACAAGGGAGGCAATTGATGTTAGTTTGCGAGACAGAAAATCTTCCTAAATAGTAGAATCCGTAATTAATTATGTGCTATGAGGAATCATCTATGCTTATTTAGGAAGAGAAACATCAATATTAAATTTGGGCGTTGAAGTTAATCTCCGTATACGTCTTTTATACATTATTGGTTTTGTTTATAGAGCATTTTCAATCAATAATTTTTAAATAGAATCTTGGCATATGATTGTTAGTAAGCTGTAACGCTGATTGCTGTGGAATTAGTGTAAAATCACTGCCGGCCAAAAGTTGCGCTTACATGCAAGAAACTCCGAAACCTTACCGGATTATGCGGATTAAGGTTGCACAAATGGACAAAAGGAAATTAAGCTCATCGGGAAAGAAATAGTTCAAATTGGGTATCAGATTGATACACGGGTTTGAGGTATCTTAGAGAGTGTCATTACGAATTTCAATTCTATCCTTAGACTACCGGAGTTAAGATGGATTTGTTCAAGAAAAAAAAAAGTACTGAACTAAATAGTAGAATCAAACTCAAGAAAAGCAATCAATAATACCAATATTCTTCCTTCACCAACCTTAACTTGCTCAGGTAGTTTAAATAGATTTTTCTATACTTCATTCTTTAGAAAGCGATTGCTGTAGAACTCGATTCGCTAGCCACAAATTTAAGAAAGTTTCTTGCAGCTAAGACGAAAATTTGTTCAATAACGATATTGTGAAAGGGCTGCTAGATGATATCACTTCAATTAGTAATATTATGTAAACATTTGAAACGAAACGGAACGGAGCTTATATTCTTTCTGCCGAAATTAGGCAATACCGGAAGTGGGAGAAAATGCTTTTATTGCTTCCGCGACATGCTTTGTTAATAACAGAGAAGAGCTAACGGAATTTGCTTTTCTTTCTGTTGAAATTAACCATGAGTACTCCAGAGATGAAAGACTTGGGATCCCAAGGGACAGAGAAGTTTCAGCCTAGCCCTGAAGATCCTGTTCTGTCAAGTTCTGACGACTTGGTGGATTATCAGGGTCTCGATAACGGTGCTGAAAGAGAGATTAGGAATCTAGCGAGGACCTTTACCCAAAGAAGCTCTCTAAATTCCAAAGATGGCTTACTGAGAACACAAACAACCTTTTCTGAAGTCGATGGTAAAATTCCTTTCTTCCAGGAAGGCACAGCTTTAGATCCCAACTCAGATCAATTTGATGCAAAGTTGTGGGTAAAGAACATAAAGAAGTGGCATGAACTGGATGCAGACTACTTTCGTCCCACCTCATTGAGTATGGCATTTAGGAATTTAAGGGCTAGAGGTCTTTCTTCAGATGCAGATTATCAACCAACGGTTTTTAATGGTTGGTTGAAATATATGGAACAATTTGTTCGACTCTTTAGAAAAGAAGACACTTCACGTTATTTTGATATATTGAAACCAATGGATGGATTGCTAAGATCTGGTGAGCTTACTGTAGTATTAGGGAGACCAGGTTCAGGATGCTCTACTTTCTTAAAAACAATTGCTGCAAATACGTATGGTTTCAAAATCTCAAAAGAGTCTGAAATTACCTATGATGGTATAAGTATGGCAGAAATTCTGAAAAACTATAGAGGTAATGTTATTTATTCAGCAGAAATGGACGACCATTTCCCTCATTTGACCGTTGGTCAAACACTAGAATTTGCAGCTTCATTGAGGACGCCAAAAAATAGGGGAGATGTTGGAAGGGATGTGTACGCTAAACACATGTCAGAAGTGTATATGGCTACTTATGGCTTATTGCAAACTCGAAATACTAATGTCGGTAATGATTTTGTTAGAGGTGTTTCTGGTGGTGAACGTAAAAGAGTTTCCATAGCAGAAGTTTCCTTATCTGGCTCTAATGTGCAATGTTGGGATAATGCAACTAGGGGATTAGATGCTGCAACAGCGCTTGAGTTTGTTAAAGCTTTAAAAACTTCAGCTCGGGTATTGGAAGCAACACCTTTGATTGCTATTTATCAATGCTCCACTGACGCCTATAATCTTTTTGACAATGCTATCGTGATGTATGAAGGCTACGAAATATATTTTGGAAAGGCAGATAAAGCTAAAGAGTATTTTGAGAAAATGGGATGGGAGTGTCCTCAAAGACAGACAACTGCTGACTTTTTGACATCTTTGACCAGTCCAGCGGAGAGAATCGCACGTAAGGGCTTTGAAGATAAGGTACCGAAGAGCGCAGAGGGATTTTATAATTATTGGAGACAATCTCCTGAATACGAAAAATTGAGATCCGATATTGACAGCTATTTCGAAGAAGTCAAAAGCTCAAAAAAGAGAGAAGAATATGACTTAGCGCAGAGAAGCAGAAAATCTAACCATGTGCCTTCTTCTTCCGCATACACAGTTTCGTTTTTTATGCAAGTGAAGTATTTGATGATGAGAAACATCTGGAAAATTCAAAGAAGTCCTTTTTATACAATTCAGTCTATCATGAGTGAACTTTTTATGGGCTTAGTTCTAGGCTCGGCATTGTATAATAGGCAAAATGTTACAAGCACTTTCTATTCAAGAGGCGCTGCGTTGTTTTTCAGTCTTTTGTTCAACGCCTTTTTATCTTTGTTAGAAATTCTTTCAATTTTTGAGTCTAAACAAATTGTGGAAAAGCATAGAAATTATGCATTGTATAGACCTTCTGCAGACGCTTTGGCATCAATTTTGACTGAGCTTCCCAACAAGATCATCCTGTCGACTGCTTTTAATTTTCCTGTTTATTTTCTTGTGAATTTACGTCGTAATCCAGGACGATTTTTCTTCTATTGGTTGATGGTTTTTGTTGCTACTATAACTATGTCTCACATCTTTCGATGCCTAGGGGCTATATTCTCGTCTTTTGCAGGAGCAATGACAATGGCTACATCCTTACTATTGGCCTTGGTTATATTTACTGGCTTCGTGATACCTATCCCCAGTATGTTGGGATGGTGCAGATGGATCAACTATCTAAATCCTTTAGGTTATGTGTTTGAATCTGTCATGGAGAACGAGTTTGCACATAGAGAATTAGAATGCGATCAGGTAATTCCTTCTGGTGGTTCATACGATAATGTCGGAGCATATAATAGAGGATGTAGTGCTGTTGGTTCCACAGCGGGTCAGCTGGAAGTCCAAGGTTCTAGATATCTTAACTTAGCATTTCTGTTCAGCAATAATCATAAATGGAGAAACTTTGGAATATCTATGGGTTTTCTTGTGTTCTTTTTATTAGTGTATCTCTTTTTGACTGAGATGATAAGAACCGGGAAGCAAAAAGGAGAGGTTGCACTCTACCTAAAAGGAACTTTGAGAAGATATAAAAAGCTTTCAAAAAAAGCGAATGCGAAGACGAATGATTTAGAATCTGGTAAGAAGGAAAATTTTCAACTTGGGGACCAAATAGAAGCCTCTGAAGAGCTGAGTAATGAAAAAAGTGCTGATAGTAAAATTCCCCCTAATCATAACATATTTCACTGGAGGCGTCTAAAGTACGATGTTAAGATAAAATCTGAAACTAGAACTTTGTTGTCCTATGTTGATGGTTGGGTAAAACCCGGTCAGCTTACTGCATTGATGGGCTCATCAGGAGCTGGAAAGACTACCCTTTTAAATTGCTTGTGTGACAGACTCACTTCAGGTGTGATTTCAGATGGTGTTAGGATGGTTAATGGACGACCTTTAGATTCCTCTTTCCAAAGATCAATAGGTTATTGTCAGCAGCAAGACCTTCACTTAGCAAGCTCTACTGTGAGAGAATCTTTAAGGTTTTCTGCATACTTAAGGCAGCCTAATCATGTATCTAAGAAAGAAAAAGATGAATACGTTGAATATGTCATCGACTTATTGGAGATGAGAACTTACGCTGATGCTTTGGTCGGAGTAACTGGTGAAGGACTTAATGTAGAGCAACGGAAAAGGTTAACTATTGGGGTTGAGTTGGCTGCTAAACCTAAATTACTTATATTTTTAGATGAGCCAACTTCTGGTTTGGATTCGCAGACAGCATGGTCCGTTTGTACGTTAATAAGGAAATTAGCTGACCATGGGCAAGCTATTTTGTGTACCATTCATCAACCATCCGCTATTTTATTGCAAGAATTTGATCGCTTGTTGTTTTTGCAAAAGGGGGGTCAAACAGTTTATTTTGGAGATTTGGGTAAGAATTGCCGTACTTTGATTAATTATTTTGAGAAGTACGGAAGTGCTCCTTGTCCTCCTGAAGCTAACCCAGCGGAATGGATGCTTGATGTTGTTGGTGCTGCTCCAGGAAGTAAAGTGACTCAGGACTATCATGAAGTATGGAAAAAGTCCACAGAGTTTCAAGAGGTGCAAAAGGAATTAGACTACATGGAACGTGAACTAGTCAAACTCCCTGAAGACAAGGCTCCAGATGCCCATAAATCTTATGCACTGCCTTTTTGGAAACAGTACCTCATTGTCAGCCAAAGAGCCCTTGAGCAGAATTGGAGATCTCCTGACTACATATATGGTAAAGTTTTTCTTATTGTTACAGCTTCAATTTTCAATGGTTTTTCGTTTTTCAAATCAAGACGAACACCTCAAGGTTTGCAAAATCAAATGTTCTCATTCTTTATGATGCTTATTCCGTTTAATACTATGGTGAATCAAATGATGCCTCGTTTTATGGGCCAAAGAGATGTTTATGAAGTGCGAGAGGCTCCATCAAAGACTTTTAGTTGGCTCGCTTTTATAACAGCTCAGATTACTTCCGAAATCCCATATCAGGTTGTACTTGGAACTGTGAGTTTCTTCTGTTGGTATTATCCCGTTGGTTTATATGAAAATGCCGAAGCTACAGATCAAGTCAATGGCCGTGGAGCTACTGTTTGGCTGTTTATAATGGCATTTTATGTATACATTTCCACCATGGGGCATTTATGTGGATCCTTTAGTGAGTTGCCTGAAAATGCAGGGAATTTAGCTGTCACTCTTTTCACCTTCTGCTTATTATTTTGTGGAGTGATTGCAACTCCAGAAGTATTTCCAAGGTTTTGGATATTCATGTACAGATGTTCACCATTTACTTACTTAATTCAAGGAGTTTTGGCCACCAGTTTATCGAACACCAAGCTAAGTTGCACGGATGCAAATTTTGTAAGGTTTAATCCCCCATCTGGAGACACATGTGGTCAGTACATGGAAAGTTATATGAAAATCGCAGGAGGATATTTGCTTAACAATGATACGACTTCTGAGTGTGCTTTCTGTCCTATGACAGAAACAAATGATTATTTGGCTACGATCAATGTTTTTTGGAGTCAGAGATGGAGAAATTGGGGTATTTTTGTCAGTTTTATTGGTATAAATATCCTTTTGACGATAGCTCTCTTCTGGTTCGCTAGGGTCCCAAAAGGTAATAGGATGAAGTCAAAAAAGTCTTCCTGATCATATCTATTGATGCCAATTTGCTTCAAAGTAAGCATATAGATAAAAACTAAAAATAAATATATAAATATATACTGGAATCAGATCTAGCTGAAAGTTTAGATCTTAGATTTATTCTCGATTTGGTTATGATAAGACCCTTGAATGCGACGCCGTAAATACGAGAATAAATGTCCCTAGGTAAAGTATAAGACATATTGCTTTGCCAGTATTTGGTTCAGCTTCCAGTAATTGGACCTTAGTTTGCTGTAGTTCCACTAGTTGAGTTTTTGCTTATTGTGGAATCACCTCGTCCTAAATCCGATATCGGGGCTTTTATCTGATAAGCCTTGTTACCTTTTGATTGTGAGGCTCGAAGTGTTTAAAGTTATGAAAAGAATAAATTTCATCCCCTACAACAAACTAATCAAGCAGAGTATACTTGATCAGATACTTTATGAGCTGTTAAACTAAGGAGTAGCATCTTCGAAATGATTATCCCGTCAAAATGTTCTAATTTTGGGTTAATGTTGGTTGGTGTTAGTGTATTTTTCGGAGTTTTCATTATAAGCTATTTCAGTACAATTAGGGACCTCTTCAAGGAGTCTCGTTTATCTGTTTATACCACACAAAAGACAATTGATGAGCCTTTCAAGCAACCTATTGATATATTTGAAAAATTTCCAATTGATTTTGAAAATGCTACAGCAGTTTTCAACACAGTTCATGGCGCTTTAAAACAGAAAAATGCTAACTTGAATCCAGTTGGAATTTCCTTTATACCGGCATACATCCCACCCAATACTCTACTTTACCACTCGACATCCTCTCCAGTCATACCTGAGCTGTTTGAATGGATCGCTATGGATTACGAATTTAGTTACGACTTTGCCCATGTCTTTAGAAATGGAAAGTCGCATGGCCACCCACCAGGGAACGGTAAAAAGCCACCAGCACCTGGTGGCCATGGAGGACCTGGAGGACCCGGTGGACCAGGTGATAATCATCCGCGTAATCTGAAGACGCCATTTTTATATACCTTTCGAACAACTAAACCGTTGACAAAATTGATTTACTTGGATGGTGCTTCCGCTGCGAAGACTAACACGGGAGAGATGGATCAGCAACTAATCCTCAGCAAACAAGAAGACGCTGATGAACGAGTGAATGAGTATGAGGCATCTGCAAAGATCTGCGAGTGGGGAAAGCCCTTTGGATTAGATGGAATTATAAGATTGGAGATTGGTTTTGAGATAGTCATATGTGATTTTAAAAACCATCTTGATCTAGTTTCGAATGTTACTTTGAACAACGCCACTGATCTCCTTTCTTTCCCTGGCGAATCCTCTACCCCTAGTGGTGACTTAGAGCTGAATAGGTCTCTGATTTTAGATATCGTTGATGCCATGAAAGGATTTGAGCATATACAGGCAGGTGCTATAGCCGATAATAGGGAACCAAGGATTCTACTTGATTTTTCTAAGATGGTCACACCTATCAATAAAACTTGGATCAATCCTAGTCCTTACCATAGAAGGATAAATCATTTATCTCCCCAATTAAAGCAAGACATAATTGGTCAGCTTGAAACTAATTTACACAGTGCCGTTGAACCTTACATGAAGACAGATTGGCAACTTATATCTAATCGAATAGTTGATAAATTTGGGCCTATGTTGATATTGTTGAACACTACACTTACAGAATTCGATTATCATCACAAAAAATCACTTCGTAATTCTTTAGATCTCGTGGCAAAAAATATGACAGAATTGACGTTTAATTTCGTCAGAAGATATTCAGATGATACAATAAAAGATTCTGAGATCAAAATGCAGAAAGCCTTCGATAATGCCATTATAGATTATGTTTATTACAACTACCCTTTAACCTCCTCGGCTGAGATATTAATTTATTCATCTATTTTCAAAATTCAGTCAACAATTCAATCAACAATTTTTAATGTTTTCGAAATCAGTAAACGAATTTTAGCTGATATTTACGTTAAGCCGACGGAAGTAAGATTTGACGACTTTAAGACCGAACTCTTGCAATTAAAGCAAGATTTCAATCACCTTCTTCATCAATTGAATTGGTCAATTTTTACTCAATGCTCCTCAAAATGCAATTGGGATGAGGTTTGCTATATTCCTACCTGGGGACCGGGCCCAATGGGCTGGGGATCTAGTGAGAATAAATGGTTTGAATTTGATGGTGATAGGTATGTAATTGGAAAAAAACTCTTCTGTGTTAGTTACAGGGATTTAAAAAGATAAACTAGAATAATATGAAAGTGTATTTTGCAGGATAACTTAATGGGATTTATTACGTGTATTTTCTTATTTTAGAATGTATTTTGTCCATAATAAGTATTCGATTAATAACTTTTACAGAATAATCCGCTTGGACGAGGTTTGTTTGTACCCACGTCCTTTGAATGCTCTTTAATACGATATCATCATACGCAAAGTATACAATATTTGATTTTTTCTTTCATATGTTTTGGGCTGCTTGAGTCACATTTCTCAGATAAGACAAAAATCAAAAGAATTTATGTCAATGCTAGTTTAAATCCCACTATGCTCAATATGTCTCTCCAATCTCCCTTCAAAACTGCAGGATCAAATGAGAAATCTTCAATCCTCCAAATCGTTTTGATTGCTCTCAAAATCCCCGTTGGTGACCCCAGGGGCCAAAAAGTTTCAAGGTTTTGAAATATTTTTAGTATCGAAGCTCTGTATTCTTCGTCAGTATGACATATCCCTGCAATAAATAGACACCAAGTGGGAAACAAATTTTGGGAATCTGATTTTTTTGTACATATTTCTAAAACTCCTAGTAAATTTCTTATTATCAAATGATCGTCATCAAAACAATAATTTGTGTTTATATTTTTGGCTTCATCTTTACCGGTAAGCTGAATAAACAAATTGTGCAAGTATACTTTTGCTGACAACAAATAAGCACTTGAGCAAAGGTAGAGCTGTAGTGAGCCATCATCATTCTCATCTAGACTCTGTTTGAGGTCTCCAAGCTTTTTATAAAGTTGATATAGCATTTCAGCAGCATCTTTCTTTGGAGTCTCTCGATTTCCTTGGGTTAGCACACCCTCATAAATCAAGAGTAATAATCTCGGAGAGCAGCCTAGCATATAGTCAATTTTGTCGTTCTGGAAGAATGTATCAATTATTGGCCAAGGTATAGTTTCAATTATATTATGGAGCTCTCTCCCATTTAAAGTTGTCAATAATAGAATGTATCTCAAAGTGAAATACCTGTAAGCAAAAAGAAGAGTTTCGGATGATAATATCTTTGTCTCCAGCAACGAACTGAATACTAGACAACTTTCTTTAAGGTGGTTGATCCATCTCATGTTTCCTTTGTCACTAATTTCCAAAGAGCACAACATAAGTATCGTAATTATAATTTCGTTTAGACCATTACATGACTGATTTGAGATAAAATTGGGCTCACTATCAAGTATTTTATAGAGACTATTAATAGCATCATCTTTGTATTTAGAAGTTACCTTAGCGTAATAATCTGACCTCTCGGAACCCTTTTTATGTATCTCTTTCGCTGTTATAGCTATAATTGACTGGAATAATGCAGGCGAGGTTATACTACTTGGCACCACTAATGTTTTAAACTGATTAAAGGCAGTATTGGAAAATGACTTTTTCTCAGACACAACATTAATATAATATTCAAAGAGCTCAACCTCCACATCTATATCACGTTCAAATGACTCAAATGAGTTTTCATGACCAGAATTGACTTCTAATATATGATTTTCCCGAATCTTTTTCATAATTAATTCGTTTTCTTTATCGGAATGTGTCCCATTTACTGAATTTAAGCTTCCTAGTAACATACTTGTCTCGAAGTCATGATTCGTGACACTTATCACGTAATCCAATGAAACTTTCGGGGTACAGGTGTCTAAATGGTGTACTCGGTGATTATTCATGTTCCATGTTAGGTCAATTTTATAAGTACAGGGAAGCTGAAGTCGTTGACAAGCTTTACACGTTGGTTTCCCTTCATCGCATTTTTTCCTTCTACTTTTACAAGTATTACATCCCGATCTTGACCTAGTAAAGCGCTTAGATGTTCTTTTCATGTTTTCTATACTTTAAGATGGTCACTTCGGAAGGATCTTGAATCTATTGAAATTGGTACATATCAGGCGGTTACGCTTTCCTTGTTTTCTGTAAGAAAACACGACCGATTTATCTATTTTGCATCTTAATGTATATGCAGTAGATAGCTACAACTTTACTTCTTTACAAGACTGTTAGAATACATTATGATAAATTCTATCTATTTACCTATTTATTGTGAACAATTAAGGCTCTCTTGAAGAAGAGCACACGATCCTCCCGCAGCTGGATAGTGTTCTTTTCTAGTATTCTCAGAAGTTTCTTTATATTCCTCATCGACAATACCGTAGCCACCTCCACCAGGTGTTAATATTTTTATAATATCACCAATCTGAAGCTCAATTTCAGCCGTTGAACCAAGATGCTTCCAAAAAATTGATCCTCTATTCTTATCATATCTTCCTAGTTTATTTTGACCCCGAGCCCCATCGCCACCGCCAGCCATACCATAAGGAGCGAACACTCTTCTTTGAGTTAAAACAGAAGCATGACAAGGTGATGTGAATTCCAACTCACGTATTAAACCATCACCACCGTTCCATTTGCCGCGGCCACCACTACCTTTTCTAATCGAGAATTGGCGTAAGATGACAGGATATCTCTGCTCCAAAACTTCAGGGTCTGTCATCAATGTATTTGTCATATGGCACTGAGTTCCACTGAACCCATTGAAGCCTTTTCCGGCACCAGATCCACCTCCTATAGTTTCGCAAAATCCAAAGCCAGATATCATTTGACCAGTATTCTTGTCAATTCCTCCTTGGCCAAAGCATAGGCAATTCATACATCCATAAGATGCTGCAACAGTCCCAAAAGCTTTCAAAATAGTATCAGTTATTTTCTGTGACGTTATTCCGTTTCCACCTGAGACTGCGGCCGTTACACTCGGATTAAGTACAGTTCCTTCTGGAATGATGACTTTAATTGGTGCTAATACACCTTCGTTCAAAGGGAGATCACCATTAGTGATATGAGTTCTTAAGCAATATGTGATACAAGCAAAAGTGATTGCTTGAGGTGCGTTGAAACAGTTAAAAGTTTCCTCGGATGTACCAGTGAAATCAAAAACAGCCGATCCATCACTTTCGTTAATGTCAATTTCCAATTGGATTTTTGCACAATCATCCATAAAATCAATTGCCCTAAGAGGTAATCTATGCTTGTTTTCTTTTGCGATATTTTTAAGAAATCTCCGAACTGCTAATTCTGACGTTTGTTTAATAGCTTTCATGTAAAATAATACTAGTTCGGTATTATACTCGTCACAAAGATCTAAGAGTAAACAAATACCTTTTTGATTTGCAGCTATCTCAGCTTTTAAATCAGCGATGTTATCTTCAATCTTTCTAGTAGGAGAAGACCCAGGTATTGTCTTGAGATCATCCACGAAATATTTTTGAACACCATCATAATCAAACTGACCACCCAGGACCAATTTCCAAGCTATAAATTTTGCTCCTTCCATATCAAGATGTGTCGCAGACGAATCCATAGATCCCGCAACGGTTCCACCTATCTCAGCATGGTGAGCCCTTGACAGGACAAAGAAGCGAATTTTTCCATCGACGAATACAGGTGATATGATAGTAATATCGGGTAAATGAGTTCCCATAGCTTTAGGGTGATTAGTAGCCAAAATGTCTCCTTCTTTGATAGAATTTCCCCAGTACTTAATTTGATATTTTACGGCAAACGACATAGAACTTAAATGAACGGGAACCGCAGGAGCATTCGCAACTAAGTTACCTTCTTGGTCAAATAATGCACAGCTGAAATCCATTCTCTCTTTGATATTAGCACTAACTGCTATCTTTTGTAAAGTAGTACACATAGACTCTGCAATTGATATAAATCTATGCGAAAAAATTGAGAGTTGAAGAGGATCAATGGTTTCTGTCTTAACGGTAGAAGTAATATCCAGCTGATCTTCTTGCAAATCAATAATTACGTGCCTTGGCAATACTGTCAAATCACAACTTGGTTCTACTACAATAGTTTGAGTAGCATCTAAGACGATCGCTGGACCAGGTATCACATCGCCAACATTTAGATCTTCTAAGAAGTAAACCTTCGAGTCAATAAAGCCGTCGTCGAAGTAGACAGGAGATTTGAGTCTCTCTACTCCATCAGCAACGCGCTTAGTTTTGGTGGATTCTAAAGCATCAAACGGGGACAGCTCAGTGATTTTATTCACATTGCCACTGCCCCTCACTCTCACGTCACTAACAATCACTTCTCTATCCATATCATTAAATGAAAATTCTCTTTGGTGTTTTGCATAAAAGGTTGTTAAAAAATCTTCATTAGCGTTCTCTGATATCATCAACTTAGAATCAGAACCCTTATACCCCATGTTAAAAAAGATTTGATAATTCACGCTATCTACTCCTTGATCCTCTAATTCTTGAGCTACTTCCTTCTTTAAGTCTTCACACTCTTTAAGTAAATGAGCTTTAGAAGCTTCAGTATATGAGCACAAAGTAGGTCTCTGAGACTCATGGACCACATCAGCCAATGCAATACCATAAGCTGACAAAATTGAAGAGTATTTATGAATTATTACCCTTTTTATTTTAAGTGTTTTTGCAATTGAACAAGCGTGCTGTCCACCAGCACCACCAAAAGAAGCTAAATTATGTTTTGTAACATCATATCCTTTATTTTCGGTAAGCTGTCTAATAGGCTTGGCCATTGCAACATTTGCAACCTTGAGGAATCCAAAAGCAATTTCAATAGCTGTTTTAGGTTTCATTTGAGGATTCTCAGAATTAATCTGACTCGCCAATTCCTCAAATTTCTTTACCACACCTACTTTGTCTAAAGCTTCGTTTTCATTAGGGCCGAATATTTTAGGAAAAAATTCAGGCAAAATTCTTCCACACATCAAGTTGGCATCTGTAACTGTTAATTTATTTCCATTCTTTCTATAACAAACGGGACCTGGATGTGCCGATGCGCTCTCAGGCCCAACAGTGTATATCCCATTTTCATATGACAAAATGGAACCACCGCCCGCTGCAACTGTATTGATATCCAATTGTGGTGAAGCTATTTTAATACCAGCAGTTATTGTCTCAAATACGTGCTGATATTCGCCTGCATACCTAGAAACGTCCGTAGAAGTACCACCCATATCAAACCCAACAGTATGTGTACCATCCTTGATATCAAATGACGTTAGGGCCTGACCAACAACACCACCTGCGGGTCCTGACAATAAAGATTTTAAGCCAGTGAATTTTTGGTAATGACATAAACCTCCATCAGACATCATAAACTCAATTCTAGTGTTTTCTTCAAAATTTTTTTCAAAGCCAGCTAATAAGCTTGAAATGTAGTCCTTAATTATTGGAGTAAGATAAGCATCAATGCATGTAGAATGACCTCTATTAACTACCTTTATCATTGGAAGGATTTCGTGAGATAAAGATATATTTTTAATGCCAATCTCTTTTGCAATCTCCCCAATTTTTTTCTCATGATCCTGATAATTGTATCCATGAATAAGTACAACGGCAATCGAATCAATTCCATTTTCCTTTAGTTCTAGTAACTGTCTTCTCGTCTTATCCACGTTTAGGGGCTTCACAATTTGAACTACTTCCTTGGTCGTTGCGAGTACGTATTCGCTACCATCAGTCAAATCGTCTGCTGTGTATCCTGATGCATCTTCTGTGTAAGCAGGCAATGTCACTCTTTCCTCCACCTCTACTACGCACTTATAAAGAACTTCTGGTTTTCTGATATTTAAATCGAACAAATCTGGACGAGATTGATTACCAATATGAAGTAGATCTTTGAATCCTTCTGTGGTAAGCAATGCTGTAGGAACACCTTTTCTTTCCAACAAAGCATTAGTCGCAACTGTAGTTCCCAATCGAATACTTGAAATACTTGATGTATCCAAAAGTTGACCTCTTGGATAAGACTTTCCAGTAGCCCACTCTAATACCCTTCTGATTCCTTCAATATTTGCATCCTCGTAATTAGATGGATCTTCGGAGAGTAATTTGAAAGCATAATCTTTTTTTCCTGGAATGATAGCAAGAACATCAGTGAATGTTCCACCGCGATCTATAGCCACTTTAATTCCACCCTCTAAAGTCATATTTTAAAAATCTTGCTGTCGATGATCTAAGTACTAAAATGAGACTCACTCAGTGGACTATTTATGAACTCTTAAACGAAGTTTGGCGGTTAATTTATCATTTATTTATTTCCCCCGGTTTCCTTGAGCATTAGATACGCCCATCTCTTTATCAGTAATCACTGATGAGTGGATCGAATATCAAATAAACCAGGACAAAAGCGATACGGAGGAAACTCCACGCGCCCGCTAAAAAAAAAACGAAAAATTCCCCTTTGAGTAATAATTTGCGTAAGCTAAATGCACTTTGAAAGGAACAAGATCTTACGAAATAAACGTATATCACAGAGATAATTATCGACTTGGAAGTCAAAGAAATATACCAGGTTTGCTATATTCTGAATAATGATGCTTGAATCCTGTAGATCTACTTTGCTGTCTTATTTCAGGCTAAATACGTCTATATCTTTATAAACTGCATCTGAGCATGCCATTTTCTTCGGCCCACTTGATCTCACTAAAATCTAAGCTATCAGTTCCAACTCTCCAATCCAAGGATGTCGAATCAAAAGCCCTTGTTTCGTCTTTCCATCTCCAGAGCTCTTTGAGCTCTGCATCCAATCTATTTTCTAATCTTAAAACAATGTATTTGCCAATGTTAGGTAAAAATTTGAAGGCATGACCACTGTCACCCGTAGCTACGAAAAGATTCTTCGAACCTGGAACTTGATCGATGATAAAGTGAGAATCGTAAGTATCTGCAATCCAGCATGATTTGCTGTTAAAAATGGTATGGTGCGCTAGCTCAGGAACATATTTTTCTAAGAGCTTTTGAACCTGGGAGATACTGCTACGGGGAATCGTATCACTGGGGTTCTGCTGCTTATATCTAGGTAAACTCTTCGCTTTACGACCATCAAAAGGATCCTTGACAAAGTTTGATGCGCCCGATCCCGGCAACGCAATCTTCAAAACTCTAGTCTCTGGATCTGGAGGAAAGAAATAGCCCATTTCGGCATCGAATACGATCGGCATATTTTTAAATCTTTCATATTCATCGTAAGTGAGTTGAATGTGTGTAACAAATAAACCAGTAGCTGCTTGCTGCTGTTTCAAATCCACTATATATCCCGAAGAAGCCCCAGCCGAAAGTACTATCTGATCAGCCGTGTAAAGTGTACCATTTGCTGCTAAGACGTAATGTTTTTGGTTCCTTTCTTCTACTTTGATTATTCGACCTGCCTCTCCAAATATGAACTTCACTCCTAAACTCTTTGCCTTTTCATACATAGCTCGAAGAGCATTAGCAGAGTGCGCCAACCCAGCTTCTGGATTCCACCTTGCTACCTCGTTATCATGAACACGGTTATTTTCGAGCATTTCAAACTTATCTCTTAAAGCATGGCCTCCTTGTAGGTTCTCAATTTTGCGTCCCTCATTGCCAATTTTTCTTAAATTCATAATGCTCTCTTTCTCATACTTTTGACGTCCCTGATGATGCAAAGGTGTCATCAAAATTCTACCACATTCTTTGTAAACGCCCTCAAAAATCGGGTCCGTTCTCCATTGCCTTGTTGCTTCGACTGACAACTTGGTGTAAACGAATTCTTTGTACTCCGAACGAATAATTTTATTAATATCGTTGGCTGCTGACCATGGAGAAGGAACCTCATAGGCATCCATTGCAGTTATTTCGTAATCTCCTCTTTCAGCCAAGTGAACCACCGTAGATAATCCCATTACCCCACATCCTACAACTATAATCTTCTTGCTCATTTTAGATTTTGCTTGATTTCTAATGTCTTAAATTAGTCAAAAGATACTTGAAATTTGACTTCGTTATCAATGATCTTATTGCAATTAATAAAGAATTTATGAATACAACCAAGGTCCTTAAAAACTAACGAAGTTGCGAAATCTCCGATATATCTTCTGATAAAGATGAGATCGGCTTGAGCTAAAACGGAAAAAAAAGCCGTGAATGCAGCGCGCGTACAGTTTCCGCTGGAAAACTCTAAAGAAAATTTTCAGGAAGGTGTACTCTTATCAAAAGCTCTAATGGCCGATAACTATCTTCTATAACGATCGACATGAAAAGCAAGATGAAAAGTTAATATTTATATTGAGAGACTCAGCTCAGTATTTTCGGATTCAAGAATACATTTTACATACATGGCAAATATGAGCATTACTCATTCTAGCCGTGAAAGCGAAGTAGGAGGAATCAGCGAAGAAAAGAGAACTCTGGAACAATATGAACTAGAAGTACTAGAAAAGGTTGATGAAAGGTCCAAAGATCTCGATGCGGGTGCTAAGTTCTTACAAGATCACTCAGAGCATGCAAATTATACGCCAGAGGAAGCGAAGAAAGTATTAAGAAAGATTGACTGGATGCTTATGCCAATTATGACAATTGTTATCACACTTGCGGCTGCTGATAAGATTATTATATCTAATGCAGCCATCTATGGCATGAAAGTTGATGCTGATTTAGTTGGCAATCAGTATTCTTGGCTTGGATCGATATTTTATTTTGGATACTTGTTAATGGAGTTTCCGGCAAACTACATTATTCAAAAGCTTCCAGTTTCCAAAACATTATGCACATCTTTTTTCGCCTGGTGTATTGTGTTGATGTGTATGGCTGCTGGTAAAAATTTTGGATCGCTAGCAGCTATGAGGTTTCTACTTGGAATGGGAGAGGCTTTTCTCTTTCCATCTTTAACTGTTATCACCGCAATGTTCTACAAGAAATCGGAACAGCCCTTTAGGACTGCCATTTGGTTTTCGGGATTTTCTTCCGTCATAACAGGTATTCTATCCTATGGATTAGGACATGCCCACTCTGCAATTGACAATTGGCGTTTGCTCTTTTTAGTTTTTGGTGCCATAACATTTTTCTTTACTATTATAATGTTTTTCTTGTTGCCTGATTCGCCAATGTCATGTCGCTTATTCAATGAAAGGGAAAGTTATATTGCTGTCCACAGAACAATGGAAAACATGACAGGTACAAAAAATTCTGTTTTTAAAAAGAATCAACTGTGGGAGGCTTTGATGGACTGGAAAACCTGGGTCATGTCTATTTTCGTTTTATCCATTAACATCAGTAACGGTGGGTTAGTGACATTTGCTGCCCAAATTGTATCGGGCCTTGGTTATTCTCCCCTTAACACAACGCTTTTGGGGATCCCAACTGGTATTTTTATGACTTTGAGCAGCTGGTTGATAGCTTTACCCAGTTTAAAGTACCCTAGAAAGTACAGAAGTATAAGCACTGCAATTGTATGCTTGTGTCCCCTTATATGCTGTGCTTTGATGATGAGCTTAGATAGCGGCAAGTTGCTAGCAGCGTACTACTTCTTTTACTTTTATTGGGGTCCATATGTTAGTATGACAACTTTATCGATGGCAAACACTTCTGGCCACACAAAGAAGACTGTTGTAAATGCTGTAAACTTTATTTCATACTGCGTTTCCAACATTATTGCTCCACAATTTTTTATTACTAGTCAGGCTCCTACTTACCAAACAGGTTACCGTGCTATTTTGGGATTCACTGCAGCAGCAGTGTTAAGTATAATTGCGTATGGTGTGGGTTGTCTTTATGAAAATGCAAGGCGAGATAAGAAATATGGCCCTGTTCCCGAAAACTTCGTAGAAGAAGAAGGGTTAGATTTGACAGACATTGAAAAGGAGAAGTATTTTCGATATGTTTGGTGAACATTTCGTATAATTTTCAGGCTCGGAGCTTTTTATTTCTTAAAATCACATTTAATTGACTATGGAATTTATCTATTGGAACTTTTTTCAGTAACTTTAATCCAGATTATAAAGGATCCACATTTAACATATCAACCGAGTAGGTTTAAACAAGATAGCTAGCATCGAGAGAAGAAACTTATCTTCGTTTACCAGTGAAATTACATAAAATGTTTCAGAAAACATATCGAGTCAGACAGCATAATTGGACGGTAGATAAATGACTAACGAATGTTTAGTTGTGTTAAAGAGTAGCAAACTTGGAAACGTTGTCACAAATCCAAAGTGCTCTATTTCCCTTGCTCTCTTGATTAGCCATCAAGCAAGGCATGATATTCCTGACCTCAACAAATTTCATGCCCCGAGAAATTCTAATAGAGTAGAATGAAAGCATTCATTGCAAAAGTTCATGAAGCCAATCGGCCAGGCCCCTAACGATAAAACCAAATTTTGCGTCCCTGGCCATTAGGAAAAAGTATGAGCCATTCAAAAGGGACCATTATTGGGAATACATTACAAATGCGTATATTTGCTTTAGTCCCATCTGTGTTATTGCTTGCTAGCTTCATATCGAACCAAGTATTGTGTTTTTCTGCGGCGTAAAATTATATATGTATATATATATAATTTGAACATAATATATAAGAATCAATCCAATCTATTACTGAAAAAAGCCTGATAAAAAAGATTCAAGACTTTTTGAATTGATTTTCTGCCAATGCTAAATTTTACATATATATTCCATCTATTTATTCTATTCGGACCACGTATAGGGACTTTTTTTCCTTAACTTTTCTCCATATTTGTAAAAGAAGAAGGGCACTGGAATCATCAAACAGGCGAAAGCACCTAATAATGTTGTTGCCCAATGAATACCCATTCCTTTGTACATCTGAAGACCAAATAAAGGAAATACACCAGACATTAAAGATCTGATAAAAGAATTTGTGGCCATAGCCGATGCCGCATATAATCTATAAGCTTCGACGGTATAAGAGAATATACCATTAAAGACAAGGATGGTGCCTGTACCATAAACACCTGTCGCTATTATCGGTACTATCCAATGGACCAGTGAATATGTTGTCCAAGCCAAAAAAAATAGTCCTATAGGAACTATAAATACTCCTATTATCAAAGAGATGAACCTGAATTCGGGTTGGCTTTTACCATTATTTTTTTTCATCAACTTTGAATATTGCAAGTTCACAAAATAGGGAGATAGAAGCGATGTCAACGCCATCCCTATCACTAATCCTAAAAACGACATTCCCTGGGCCTCTAGTGAAAAATTGTAAACTTCTGAGAATATATATGGAACTGCAACAAAGAATAGATATACAATCGCCAATGAAAACCCAGTATAGAAGCAAAGCGCCAACGTCATATAATCTCTAAATATCAATAAGATCGGTCTTTTGGATGAGATAATAATACTTTCATAAAGAGTAACATCCTTTCGTTCTATTGGAGCATAATATCTTTCGTCCTCTCTCTCTTTCCGAATCCTGATGGCTTTCTTTCTCAATAGCACAGGCTCGTATGTCTCTGGCACAAATATTATGACTAGAATTAATAAAAAGGCTGACCAAATGATCATAATGTAGAATGTCCATCTGAAGTTTAAATTTGCATTTACAAATCCTGAAATCAACGGTCCTATACCAGGTCCAATAAATGGTGAAACTGAATAAAGAATCATAGCATTAGATAATTCCTTATTAGCATCTTTATTTTCAGCTATCTTTGCAGATTCTTTTGCTTTAAATAAGTCAGAAAAAGATCCCGAAGCAACTGACATGAAAGAGCTACCAAAGAATCCGGACATGAAGCGCCCAAAAAGTACTCCACCTAAATTATTGCAGAATGCTGTTAAAAATTGGAAGCAAACTACTAGGCCCAAACCAAGTATGTATACCATCTTTCTGCCATGATACTCACTAATTGGTGAAAGAAAAATTCCGCCTGTTCCCAAACCCCAAATATAGCATGATATCCCTAAAGTACTTACTTCATGTCCGACATTAAAATGTCTCATAATATTCTCAGACGCTAAAGACCAGCATGAAGAGATGCAAGTGACACATAACGATGTTAATGAAATCAAAATGACAATTAGCCATTTATGCCACCTTGACATGCTACTAGAATCTTCCTTGTCATCAATTCCATCAAATTGAACGCAAAACTGTTCTAGATCTAACTTTTTTTGGTCTGTATCATTGCTTTCCAAGCTTTCGAGCTTTTGATCACCCAAATCTTCTGACTTACCATCAACCATACTCTGTTTTAACTGAACTCATCTTAGCCGTTTGTAATAATTTATGGTTTAGTCTATCATAAGTCGGTCAACGCTTCGTTCCGACCGGTCCTGAATTTTTATCCGGGATTGCATATAAAGATAATTCTGACTCAAATAATAATGAATCTACGAGAAAGGGTTCACGGAAGAGGAGAATATTATGTCTTCGTGTCGACGACGAAGCAGATGATAGGCGTTTTTCATTGTGTCTTACTTAGGTTCTACTTGAGCGAAAGAAATACGGAAGTCCTTCAAGGTTCTCCGAGCACTATCTATGCAGATATTGGCGTCGATTTCAACCAAATAATAATGTGCTTGTAAAAAAGTCCCAAAAAAAAGAAAGAAAAAGGTTTGATGGAGTTGTATGATAAGCAAATTACTAAGAGAGATAATAGGAATTGAGTTGTTGCTTCGCTTTTCTAATTTAAGATTTTGAATATTCATAGGGAGGAACAGTTTTTGCAGCCTATATCATCAGGTTCATAGCTTGCGACCCAAGAGAAGTGAAAAACCATGGTTTTTCAAATGAGTAAAACCTACTTTATGCTACAAAGAAATTTAAGGATGCGTTTCGTGGATATTCTTGTTGCCATTAACAGTTTTATTCCCCTGACTTTATGTTTCAAGTTTCAAACTTTCTTTTGAGTTATCGAGACTGTTTGATATTTTCACTTTTGATAAAATAATTTTAAAGAGAACTTAGGTAACGTTGTCTTGCAATCCATAAGAGTCTACTCTGGAAGCTGTCTTCAAGCCTGCGAAACTTAAGTAAACAAACCCAGCAGCTTGTAATAGAAAGTCATTAGTATTCAAATATGTATGTCAATCTATGTAAAGAAAGCTCTTTTTTTCGATATCCGTCAAATCCAGATCAAGCTCAGAATTGTCACTTCCTATTTCTAAGATTTGCTTTTTCTTATTTTCAGACTTGACAATGAAACGAAGGACCAAACAAAGTAGCATGATTATGCCATTTAATACTATCAAAGTGATTTTAGCAGGAATATAGTTCGGTGCATCTGTCTCCCGAAAAGTTTGGGGACCTATCATATTTCCAACGCAGAAAGCGCATAAAGTAAGAGCATTTCTGGTGGTTATTTTAGTGTAGCCTGATGTGTTCACAGAATTCCAGTTGTATATTATGGGAATGACTGGCTCAATTGCATTTAAAAGATAGACCCCAAATAGTCTTCCAACTCTTTGCTCTTCTTTTAAAGCCACTATTAATATAGTGCCCAACAAAGATGGTACACACAAGACGATAATCATGAGGGTTCTATTACCAAATTTTCCAGTACAGTATCCTGCAATAAGAGTACAGGACACTGTGACTACACCTGTTGGAATTTGAATAAGCGTAGCCAATTGATTAGAATAGCCAAAGGAAGCTATTATGATACCAGTAAAGTTTGTAATTGCACCATTTTGAATCAGTACTAAAATCATGATCAATGTTAAAATCCAGGTTTGCTTATCTTGAAATAGCAACTCCTTTATTTGATATGGTTTGTACGTCTTATTCTTTACTCCTGTGTTATTCACTTTGACGTGCTCATATGTTGCTAATTTTTCATCTTTTGTAAAAAAGGAACATGATTCAGGATCGTTTGGTAAAAAGTAAATAGTTAATAGGCCAACCAAGAAAGTTAAAATACCCATAAAGACGAAGAGTATTTGCCAGCTCGCAATATTTGTTGATTTCACGTGTTGGAAGCCAAATGATATCAAACTTCCGATTATTTGAGCTACTCCTATCATCATATACCACAAGCAAGTTCGTCTTGCCTGTTCAGCTTTGGTCCACCACATTGCTGTAATTGCAATCAAACAGGGTGCAACAGGGGCCTCAAACAATCCCAAAAGAGTTCTCAAAACCATTAAACCAGCATACTGTTTAGTTGCAGCATGAAAACAAATGATAGCTCCCCAGAGGGCAACGCAGCATCCCAAAAGTCGTCCTATGGGAAATTTTTGAATCATAATACTGACAATGATTTCTCCTGCGAAATAGCTTGCGTAAAAGATAGTCCCTAGATTACTGAATTCGTTTCCTTGAAGGTTATCTTTGATACCCATAACTCCCGCATAGTTTAGTAATGTTTTGTCAAGAAATTGTAGCCCATAGATTATCATTAGAAATGGAAGAATCAAGCGGTCAATCTTTCTTCTCAATCTCTTCTCATCGAAGATTTTGATTGATGACTCCTCGCTCACTCCTCTAGCACTCGGTACTATTCCAATGTCAACCCTTATTTGTTCTTTTTCTTTGGAGTTTTCAAGTCTGTTTGACATGTTGATAAAAGCTTATCGTTCAATGGAAACCAGCTCAAACCTAAACCTCAACAGTTATTTATATCAAATACAGATTTATTCTATTTGTCTTTTCATTATGGGCCCTGTTCTTTTATCTTTGATTTTTATCATCGATCGATGCGGAAGAAGTGTTGCCGGCTACTGAATTGCGACATAGATAAGATCTCAGTAAATTAGGAACTGCTTGGCACTCGCAAACAGAAAATAGGACAGAGCCGTCCCATTTGTTATCTCCTTGTCTATATACTGCATATAACTACCGTTTCTCGTACTCTACCTCGTAAAGTTGCGAACGTTTGATTAATGTCCGAAAAGTTGTTACTGAAATTTATATAGATATAATGTCCCATTACTTTATTGTTAAATGGTTTCGAAAACGAATAAGTATAGTTTATTCAAATATTCACAAAATCGGCTTTTCTTTCTTGTTACGAAGGTTAAAAGTGTTTCAATTAATGAATTATTCTTCATTCTCGAGATAAACTTCTACAGTGTGCTTGTTTCATATAATTATCATATTTGACGTTTTTGGATTGAAGACCAAAAGTCTTAGAAAAGTCTTTTATAAAGGAAAGAGCCCTCAAAAAGTACACAGTCTTTTGAGAATAGAAAATACGCAAGATCTTATAAATGAACTACCTGATCATTGTCAAGGCCCTCATTCGAAGCTCTGCATTTTTGTATCTCAGACTCCAAGGTTAATGTGATATCGTAATCCAACTCCACCAGCACACCCCTCTTCTTCAGAGCTTCCGAAGCTGGCGTAAATTTAATGATAATATCTTCTTTGACTGCAAATACGGAGTCATCCAGACTGTATTGACATTCTGCATCATATGTTTGGGTAACTAATGAATGGTAACTTGGATGAGTTACTCTCCAGTGAATATGACCTGGTCTCATAGGGTGTCTATCCATTAGTTTCAACAAATCGCCTGCGGGACCATCGTATGGTATCGGATATGCTGTAGGACGTAATCCTATAAACTCGTAAGCTCCGTTCTCATCTGCAATGAAGGTTCCTCTTAAATTATAATCAGGTTGATCTGGGTCCTGTTGCTCATATAACCCATTAGGTGCACAATGCCACACTTCAATTTTAGCTCCTGCCAATGGTTTACCTTCTGTATTCAATATGCGCCCTTTAATTAAAGCCTTTTCACCACCTACGTCCTTGATAATAATTGAGTGTCCTTTGGGATACAAGGGAGAATTTTCTCTGTAAAAGGGGCCCAAAATGGCAGACGATGTGTGGTCATTCTTGTCTGAGTTATGAGTAAGCGTGTCCACAAGGGCCTCAAGTCCCAAAACATCTGAAACAAGTATAGCTTCATTTCTTTTGTCATCGGACATTTGACCTATTCTGTTGATAAAATTGACTGCATACAACCAGTCATCTACCATAATATTGTTTTCTCTCGTGAAATCATGAATGTGCTGTATCAAAGACAGCATGATCTTACGAGACCTCGGTGTACTTTTGGGACCAAAAGATTCTATGACAGTATCAGTAAACTCTTGTGACATTTGTAATATAATTTTGTATTTAAGGATTGTATCTCTATATCACAGAGTTAAAGATTATCATGATTTATATATACTGGAGATGCACTAAAAACTTTTCGAAAGTGGTACTTACCCCACATCAAAAGCGGATACATGATAGCTTCGGATATTGAATTTTCTGGGGTAATCGGATTTGAAAAAAAATGAAAATTGAATTACATGAAAAAAAAAACGGGGGATTAGAAACATGTCCGAGAAAACTCCTCATCCTATATATAATAACTCGCTAAATATGATTATCCGTCACACTGTCGCTTTCAGCAAATCAAGGAAGCTCTAATAATCCTAAAAACTCAATTTAAATAGATATAAACTTATTGGCGCACCCCACATAACCTATAGAGTAAGAAATAAATAATTCATGTTCAAAGAAGTTCTCTGAAAGTTGACTTAATTGTTGTGTCTTGTAGTTGCTAAAAGAAGAAATAGCCCTCTATAACTCTACAAAGTGATGATATTCTCATTCAGCTTAAATGCGACAGAATGCTATGCTCAAAAAATAAGTCATTTGACTCAAAATTACACATGAAGACACTTAAATCCTCTTCCGTCTCGTAATTATCAAATTTTTGGTTTATAGAAGCGTTGGAAGGAACGAAAGATCTCTGAAATTGTAGAAAATCTGTAAGATTTTCAATGTCTCCCCTATCAGCATAGCTATCTTTTTCGGAGCTATCATAAATGTTTTCCATCTTGTTCACATTGGTATCGTCTGATAACTTCTGAAAATCGATTGCTTCCATCATATACCTTACAATCGTGTTGAATCTTTCAGAAGTGTCGCTAAAGGTTCCATAAAAGGAAAGTATTTTGTTTGCCTTTATTAAACATCTCATTAAGAATGAAGTGCTATAATCACAGTTTTCGTCGTTAGTCTCAGCATGAATTATTGATAGACCAATGACCAAAGCAGCCATAAAACAGCAGTTAATGGTTGTGTACAGTTCAACTCTGTTAGGATTTTTGCTTAAATAAAATGAGATGAGCTGAATTGATATAACCGACGATTTAATGCATGATTTATAAAAGCTTAAAGTCTTAGCCTGTGGCGGTGACTTCAGTTTGATAACATATAAGAAAAATGGCTTGCTTAGTAAAAAAATACCATACATTTGGACAAGATGCATTAATAGTATGGTATATGGATCCATGCAGTTCATTTTAATTTTCAGAGACAAAAGCAGGTCAATTTGCAAATCCTTTCTCAAATTCAATGACCATGATTTCAAATCTGACGACAAGCTGTCAGCATTTTCCTTCCCCAGAATACCATTCATATAAAAATTTTGGACTATATCTCCATTTATTTTAGCGACCTTTGATATTTCAGCCAAATATAAGGTTTCATAATCGACAGTTTCCAATGGCTCCGTCAAATCAAACTCATCCCAATCATTATGAGATATTTGCAATGGCCTACCAAGAAAAATAGAAGAAATTCTGTCACAGATGTATAAACTGCGCCATAATTTTCTTCTATGTAATACATATTCTGGATTCTTGAAGGATTCATTAATGCTTTTTCTATGGAGACCTAAAGCCTGAGCATTTCTTATAGCTGTACCGAGAGTTAACCATGAAGTGCTTCTCTTTGAGGTTGTCTGGTAGTAAAAATATATAAGAAAGTAAGCCTCGGTTAGCCATAGTTGGCCATCGTCGATGATGTCTTTCATGTAACTGTATCCACTATTGAAAAAATTTTCAGAAGAAACTGGAAGAGAATCAAATAAGGAAGAACCAAATGAAAGCTCTTTAAATAGTAAACCTAATGCTAGAACTAGATATAATAGTGCTAGCTTTTCTGGTTTCGCCCTCAATGGGTTCTCATAAATAAAATCCACTATTTCTTTATTAAAAAAGTTCAAATTGAAGACGTAGAAAGTTTGGTTGATGTTGTCGTCGAATAGTTTTATCAAGTTATCAGTGAGATCTTTTCGAGGTAACTGTATGGGTATGCATGTGCCTATCGTACATGGTCTATCAACGATCTTCACTCTTTGTGGGTCATCCGTAAATTTTGAACTTCCTAATACATCACGAAATACATTCCGACAATCATACAACAAGGATAATGGGCTGCTCTCTCCGATATATCTGAGATTTCCAACAGAATCCAATAGTAATCGAGAGTCTTTTTGCTTGAAATATTCTAACTTCTTCAGGTTGTCTGATTGAGCAATATCTCTTTTATTTGAAGTATCCAGTTTTTCAGGAAATGGTAATTCATCTTTGTGAATTTCATTATACTGAGACATTAAAGGACCCTTCTCCATATGTTCCAGTCCTCGTTTATTAGATGGGGATAAAGAATTTGAATCTTCTTGCAAACTTGAGACCAGTATCCTACTAGACAACACTTCATTTTCATTATTATCAATAATTTTCTTCCCAGCACCTTTTAACCTTCTTTTGTCAATATTCAAAAACCTACAATCTATCTTTCTCTTTTGGCATTGCTCACATGGGACTATTCCACTACACTTAATAAAATGTTAATACAAAGTTTTAAAAAAAAAAATTGTCCTCTAACTTACCTTATATTTTCTAGCTTTGCAGTTGTCACATGCCTTTGAGACCTTTTGTCTATCTTTCTTAATAGCTGTGTTTTTTGTACCTGCTTTGAAAACCATTTGAGTTAGCGATCTTACTCTGTATTTCAAACATCTTCTCACAATAATAATTCCTAATAACCCCACATCATTACTCCTGCATGTATCACAATTGACCACTATCATTATTTGGTTTATTCACCAGCGCATTTTGCAACTTTCATAGACTACTCAGAAGAGGAACTGTTCTTTAAAGATATAAATTCATAACTACTTACAATATTCCCAAGCCATGAAGATTGAACTTAAAGTGAAACGTTGTAATTTATCAATATAATTCTTCTCTAAATAGAATTACAGTTAAAATATATATTCACCACCATTCTGGGCGATCAAATCCATTCGGTCTACTAGGACAGGAATATCCCACTTGAGTTTTCTCGTATTCTACAACTGGCTTCAAAACGCAAAGTTCTCCATTGAAGCCATCAGAATACGCTTTTGTATAATACTCTTCCAGTTCTTCAAAAATCTTAGGACAGGACTTTTTGAGCGACTTCAAAGCTGTTGACGAAATCTTATCAACTGAATCATAATAGCGTAATTTGAAAACATCATCATCTTGCTCTGCTAAAATTTCACGCCACAATGTTGAAGGATATTTGCCCTGTTTCAACAAAAGCAAATCATATTGAACTAAAGACGATTTGCACCAATAACTTCCTCCTTTTGTAGCCCTCTTGTGTATTGCAATTAATACTGCCGTTGCAACTATACAGCCTGTCCCATAGTCACTCATTGGGAAAGGTGGAACCATAGGTTCATTAAGACCAAGGGCTGTTCCTTGAGCCCATGCAACTCCGGTGGCACAATCGGCTATTTGTTGCCAACCTGGCCTCTCGGACCATGCACCTTCAAACCCGAAACAATTTTCCGAAGCATATATGTAACCTTTTCCTCTTTTTTTAGCAAGATTTTGGATCTCACTTGGCCCATATCCTAGCTTTTCTATAGCGTTTGTTCTGTATCCATCGATTATGACATCTGCATCCTCTAATAAGCTTTCAAAGATCTTTCTGTCATTTTCATTTTTCAAATTTAAATCAGTTGCATGTTTCCCCATGTTGCCTTCGACCTGAAAAAAAGGAACATCTGGAAGGTCTGGTGAGGTTACTTTCACTACAGTGGCGCCATATTCAGCTAGAATACGGCCAATTGTTGGTCCTGCAATTATTCGACAAAGCTCCAAAACCTTCACTCCTTCAAGAGCTTTTTTGCCTTTTGTGGAAATCGATTCTGAGAAGGCAACAGGCAAAGTTTCATTTTCGATGCAATCAATCTCCCATAATGGCTTCGAAGAGATTACCTTCCCGTGGTCTGTATCTAAAAATTGCTCATATTTTAATGCTTCTATTCCGGCTTGTCGGTTTTGCACATTCAATGCCTCCAACTCACCGCATGTATACTTGGAAACAGCAGTCTGAATACAATCAACAACTTGGTGATAGTTCACAACCTTAGGATTATAAGCAGGTAATCCAATCATGTTCAAAGTCTTTGATGCTTCCAAGGATCCATGAATATGGTAAAAACGATTGTCTTTTGTTCTATACAAATTGGCAGCCATTCTTCTGTAGGTGATCGATTGAGCCTGATATAAGTCTGTTGGTTTCAATTTCAGTTTCACTTTTTCATCAAGCTTTGTTTGGCCGTCAATTGAGGCAAGATAGGTCAGAATCAAAAACAAATTTGAATGGAACAAGTCAATTTTTGCTTTGTCTTCGATACCAAATCTCAACTTTACCAAACTTAGTGCTGCCAACGACTCAACACCTTTAAGGGCTGCTGAAACCTCGCATTCCTTAAGAGGGCAAGGAATTTTGAGACGCTGGCCGCTGTTTACAAATTCTGTTTGATCTACTAGTTTTTTGCATTCATCAGGTAAGTCTAAGCTCTCATCTTTCAAGAGGGACCTAAAAATAGATATCGTTTCTTTTATTGGATCATCAGAATAAGTCATTTTCGTTGGAGAATGGCCCCAGAAGCATTGCGAAATAGGATACACAAATATATATACTCTAATGCTACTTTCCACCTTTTGATTTCTGCCCATATCGGATTTTACATTTCCACTTCAATTTTTTTGGAGAGCGGAAAACATAAATATCAGTTTCCGAGGGCATTGATCATTTGTGAAGAGTCGAGATAAACCTGATAAAACCCCATTTTCTGAAATTCAGTATTTTCAAAGACCATATGGGCTGCCCAATCCGTCTTCAAGGTTTTTCCATTTATCAATGTATATTCTACATATCCGCTTAATAAAAAAGACGCCTCACTAATTGGTGCAATATTTTTCACCGTATGTTTCCTCTTAGTGACTTTCTGCCACATATTTTTCCTAAGGATCCCGATCTCTTCGTGGCCCTGAACCTTGTTTGAACCCATAATCAATATTGAAGAACTTGTGAAATAATCAATGTAAGGATCTGTTTCTTTTGGTGGCGAACAATCCGACTGTTTATAGAACAGTTGAACAAAGGCCATCAAAGCATTGTTCAGATATACTTCTTTGGGTGCCTGAATCATTTTATACCGTCGTATCAAAAGAATACTTTTCAGCTCTCATTTCACCTCAAAAATTTGCTATCTCTTATAAAGTTCGATCTTCGGAAATAACTTTCAGCCGCGGAAAAATGGTGCAGTATATCTATGTCACCAGCTGTTTGAATTTTAGCTATTTTCTTAAATACATTTAGTCACAATTAACATAATGATATCAGATTTCACATCGCAAGGAATATATTATTCGTTCATGGATACGTCCGCATCTACAAATGCTTCAGTGATTGTCTTTTTGCATGGCTTAGGCTCATCTCAAAATTTTTACTACTCAATTGCTCATCAGCTTTCTAAATCTTACCGTTGCTTATTAATTGATAATGATGGTGCAGGAAGATCACAATTGACCCATACCAAGATCTCAGTTGAAAGTGATGCATTGTTAATCCTAGACATTTTGAGAAATCTAGAGTTAGATGACAAGCCTTTAATCTTCATTGGGCATTCCATGGCAGGAATGATCGTTAATTTTATCAATGCTCAATTTCAAGATGTACTAAACATTAAAAAAAATGTATTAATTAGTCCCCTACATCCCTTCATTGAAGCAGAAAAAATGTTAAAAGAGCGAGTTAATCTTATTAGCGCCAAAGGTAATATGATAGACGTCTCGAATTCGGTCGCTCTGAATGCAGTAGGGTCTTTATGTTCAGATCTAAAAAAAGGATTTATTAGAGAACTCGTTTCTAGTCAAAAGCCTGATTACTACATTGCCAACTGTGAACTTATAATTAGGGAATTAAAAAGCTCAGGTACTTTTGAAAATTATTATAGGAAAATTCAAGCACCGACGCTTTTCATCCTAGGAAACGAGGATAAAACTGCTCCGTGGGAAAAATGTGTCGAGGTGATAGTGAAAAATATCAAAGAAAAAAGAGTTGTTTTTCTTACCGGTGTTGGACATTGGGCGGCAATTGAAAGGGATGATGAAGTTGAAAAAGAAATAAGTGAGTTTTTATGATTTATTTTAGTGCGTCTTGTTTCTTTCAAGTAATTTTATGTTAGATAAAGGAATTAACATCTACAACATTTTTAGCAAGTAGAAAACATAGTTTATTAAATTTTAAACATCTTCTTTTTGAGACTTCGTTTCTTTCAGTCTATCTAAGACATGAAAAATGATTGCTGGAATTCCTGAAATTACTAGTAAAGCCGCCATTAAGCCAAAAGAGCCAGAATACTTCAAATTACTCTCAAACATTTTCGGCAAATAGAAGGGGGCGACAAATGCTAGTAACATTCTCATAAAGTTGCAGAAAGTAGCAATATCTGAAGCCCTCTCAGGATTATTGTCAATGGCATAAGTTAAAATAGTTGTGTTGATAAGTTCATGGCCACAGAGTGTTATTGCTATTCCAATTAAAGGCGTTACCGACCAACTTGTTATCTTTTGTAGTTCGACACCGTATTCAATTAACCCAATGGCACCTAAAATGTACCCCAAGTATAATAGCCACAACCTAAATGATGGCCCCTTACTCTGCTTTTTACCATATTGCATCCATTTATCGGATACCCAGCCAGAAAGAAAAATTCCTGTCAATAACCCAATGAGATGGGCAATATATTGAAGTCCAATTTGTTGGGAACCAAAATGAAATTTAGCTGTAAATATACTAGGAAGCATTATAACGCATGCAATATTAGAAAATGAAAAAGCGACGCCAATTGTGAAACCACTAAAAAGTACTCTCAGAGAACGATAGAGGAATTGAAATGGTGCTAATATTACCTTGAGTCCGAATTTTTGTTCTGGCATTATTGCTTTAAAGTCAAACAATTGATTGAATTTGTCTGTGTTGTTTCTCGTAGAGTCTTCGTAGTTATAAAGGGTTTCCTTCCCGAGCAAGACATAACTTAAGAACTGAATGAAGTTCATGACCGAAAATATGACAAAAATATATTTTGGATCGCATCTTTGCGTCACAAATCCCATGATAAAAGGCCCCATGACACTTCCTATGCTTATCATAACAGACCATGCACCAGAACGAGAACTTCTTTGGTGGCTGAAAGAAGTTTGTTGTACAACTGCACCCCCTGTTGCAATTCCTGAAGATAAAAACAATGCAACTAAAACCCTGCATGCCATTAAAGACGAGTATGAATTTGCAAAAATGCTTCCTAGATTCAATATCAGAGACAACAATGTCAGAATTGTCAAAGGCTTTCTGGATCCATATTTTGCCATAAGTGGAATCCAGATAAAAGGAAGAGTTCCTAAAACTAATATCTGCGCCGATACCAAATATGAAACACTATCAAGACTTACGTGGAATTTCTCTGACAAAGCACTAAATGCTGGAATAATGCTAGACGCAACAAACGTTGTTGAAAAAGCATGAAAAGCTACCATCCCTAATTGTGTCCACTTCATTGAAGAGGACCAATTGAGAGGGTCATTTGCATCCATCGAAGGTAATGGATCCAAGTCCAAAGTCCCGTGTGTTTTTATCAAGTAGTCCTTATGCGCATCACTTAAAACATTTGCATCTTCAACTGACGTTTTCTCTTCGATATAACTCGTTTCTGCCTTTTCAATGGAAAGTGATAAGACTGACATTTTTAATTTAATTATTTCCTTTAAATTTGCATGTTTTTGCTAAGATTAATATATAAAATATATATGAGAAGTTGCAACGAAAATCGGAAATGTAGGCGGGGTAGTATAATATTTTTTGCAACTGAATTTTTGATAACCCGCATGAACAATAATTCGGAAAAGTTTGTTCGAATCGCGGAGAAAACTGACACAAGTTAATAAAAGGATCCTCAAGTAAATGATCTTTTGTGTTTAAATGGGTCGGTATATTTATCAAGGAGATTTAACTCATTCAAGCGGGGATTTTCATTTCATTTTGTATCTATTTTTCATTCTTATTTTGTCATACTTTTATATTGAATCACTTAGCTTCTTTAACAAAAAATGGTAATCATATTTTTGTTTTAAATTTTATCGACTTTTTAACATGGAACCTTCAATGAAGTGACATGAAGTGAAATTTTAAATTTTTTTTTTTTTTGAAAGCCGTCTTTTGTCTATTCCCTGAGTATCAATTACTAAAGAGCTGCATATACAGTAATTTGAGAATTGGCATTATTAACGGAACTTCTCAGAAGCTTAATACATCTTGAATGTTTGAAATCAAAGAGGTCTTAGCTTGAATCTAATACCCTTAAGCCCTTTTAATAGCTGATGCTTTCTAAAATCACTCTTTTCCTTTATCAATAGTGTTTAATATCAATCCTTTCTCATTAATTTAGTAATAAAATAATAGGATTTGATTAGACAAAGGATTATAATTCGAGGAATACCTCAGAAGCTCACAATGTATTCAATGTGAAGTTTGTTTAAATTGTGAAAAAGAGCCTAATGTCGTATGCTAATTGCAGTATTCTTGTCGAACGTAACACAAGTCAAAGTTTTTCGAGATTTATCAATAATCAACAAGAACTTTCTTATTACGACAAAAGTTGAAACATATTACTAAATTTTCATGATCCTCTTCAAGATGAGTCTTAAGCGATTGCATGGTATGTCCTAGGGATATTTAGTTATCTCAAGTCCAGATAGAAAAATATTGGGTGATTTCAGCCACATCAAGTTTTTGCTTGGAGTTTCTTTTTTTGATGGTAAATGTAATTATACGCTGGAGAACTTTCTCCTAAATAACCGAGATTTGCCTCGGCACCTTAAAATAGGACGAAAGACACTTGCCTAGCGGTGATATGAAAGTTCGTAAAATTGACTGCCAGCCACAATCCTAAGGCCGGCTGAGGAAATTTTGCATTGATGATCTACATACGATTAGCCAATAAGCCGTTACTTTGTAGAAGCTTCGTATATTCAAGGATTATGGCTGGATGCGCAGATCGTGCTTTTACTAAGAACTGGAACAATTATCTTAAATACGAATGCGAAGCGTGATATGACGCACAAATATATGGCCCTAACTCCGGGATCTTGTTGCAAAAACTTTAAGCTACTTAAGAGCCTCAGGTGCAATTCGAGCTTTTTTTCTCATATTAAATCTACGTAATGTCAGTATCAGAAAAGACAGCCGAACTGGGGGTTGGTGTTACCAAGTCTATATCTAAAAGCGATTCATCTGATGAAAAAAAGGTTGTTGAATTAAAAGATGCTGATTTAACTTTAAAGTTCATGCATGAAAATGAACTTGAAGTTCCAGAAATTACTCCTGAGCAAGACAAAAAGCTTTCTAGGAAACTATTCTTTAGAGTGCTCGGATTGACTTTTCTAATTAATATGATAATGTATATGGACAAAGCTACTTTGTCTTATAGTTCAATTTTGGAATTTTGGGATGCCACGGGCTTAGATCAAAATAAATACAATAATGTGAACACAATATTTTACGTAGGTTTTATTGCCGGACAAATTCCAGGTACTTACTTGTTGACTAAATTGCCCCTCGGAAAGATGATGTTTGGAATTATAGTTTTATGGTCTCTTATCATCTTCTTACACTGCGCTGCTTATAATTACGCTGGCGTTATAGTGCTACGTTTCTTTTTAGGGCTAACTGAGTCAGTAGCAATTCCTTTAATGACAACAACCAATGGCATGTTTTTAACTAGAGATGAAAGAGCAGCAACTCAGCCTATATTTTATGCGGCATGTCTAGGTTCCTCCATTCCTATTGGTTTCATTGCATTTGGTGTGCTTCATATCTTCGGGTCAATAGAAAAATATAAGATTTTAAACATCATAATAGGTGGTTCAACATTATTACTATCAATTCTTGTTTATTTTCAATACCCTAATAATCCTGCTGATGCTAAGTTCTTGTCAATAGAAGAAAGGGTATGGGTTATAAGGAGAGTTCAAAGGTCAAGTAATTCATCAATCGAGCAAAAAAACTTCAAGAGACACCATGCCATTGAGGCTTTAAAAGATCCAGTTTCGTATCTTATTTCGGGATTCTTTTTGTTACAGCAATTGGCAAACAACTTGCCTTACCAGCAGCCGATTTTATACAAACAAATGGGAGGCATAAGCAGCTTGAACTCTACCTTGGTAACAGTCGCTTCGTCTGGCTACGCAGTTATTTGGGCTTTCGTGGCTTATGCTTTCATGCGGTTTTTTCCAAATACTTCTTGTTTTACAGTAGTCTGGTCAACTGTACCAGCATGGATAGGATCAGTTCTTGCTGTTTCCTTGGATATCAAGAATTCGATAGGAATGTTGGCTGCAATTTGTTTGGCGTCGCAGTCTTTTGGAGTTCCCTGGATATGCTCTTTTGGGCTAGCTGCAACAACAGCTGGCTCTTCTTATACTAAGAGAATGACAAGAAATGCAATGGCAATGGCATCCTATTGTATCGCCAATATAATTTCGCCCCAATTATGGCAGGATAGAGATGGTCCAAGGTACGTTCCCGCCTGGATTGTTCAAATTGTATTGAGTTTTACTGTTGCACCTGGTCTAATCTGTGTTGTGTGGATTATTTTATCGAGACGCAATAAAGAAAGATTGTCTAAATTGACTGATGGTCAAAAGTTTGGAGTGGTAAAGGACAGCGATGGAGAGTCTATTGTCGTAAGTCTGGCAAATTTAGATTTAACAGATTTGGAAGACAAGACTTTTATATATCCATTGTGAAAACG